GAGGCTCCCGGAAAATTAAAATTTAAAATTATTAAAATTATTAAAAGTATTAAAATTATTATTTTCTGCCCTGAGAGGCTCCCGGAAAATTAAAATTATTAAAATTATTAAAATTATTAAAATTGTTAAAATTATTATAATTTTGAAACCATTAATAATTAAAATTTAATAATTCAAATAATTTCAAAAATTTTAATAAATTTAATAATTTTAATAATTTTAATTTTCCGGGAGCCTCTCAGGGCAGAAATTAATAATTTTAATAATTTTAATAATTTTAATAATTTTAATAATTTTAATAATTTTAATAATTTTAATTTTCCGGGAGCCTCTCAGGGCAGAAATTAATAATTTTAATAATTTTAATAATTTTTAATAATTTTAATAATTTTAATAATTTTAATAATTTTAATAATTTTAATAATTTTAATTTTCCGGGAGCCTCCCAGGGCAGAAATTAATAATTTTAATAATTTTAATAATTTTAATAATTTTAATTTTCCGGGAGCCTCTCAGGGCAGAAATTAATAATTTTAATAATTTTAATAATTTTTTTATTTTTTAATAATTTTAATAATTTTAATAATTTTAATAATTTTAATAATTTTAATTTTCGGGGAGCCTCTCAGGGCAGAAATTAATAATTTTAATAATTTTAATAATTTTAATAATTTTAATAATTTTAATAATTTTAATAATTTTAATGGGTCACCGCCTATAGCGGTTCCCCTGTGTTTTTTTGCACATTCCCTTAAACCATCTAACCAAGAATCCCTCAAACCATTAAACCAATGGTCTCCCCCTAAACCATTAAACCATACCATTAAACCATTAAACCAATGGTTTCCACCTTCTGAAAATCCCCTAAACCATTAAACCATTAAACCATTAAACCAATGGTTTCCCCCTTATGAAAATCCCCTAAACCATTAAACCATTAAACCATTAAACCATTAAACCATTAAACCAATGGTTTCCCCCTTCTGAAAATCCCCTAAACCATTAAACCATTAAACCAATGGTTTCCCCCTTATGAAAATCCCCTAAACCATTAAACCATTAAACCATTAAACCAATGGTTTCCCCCATATGAGAATCCCCTAAACCATTAAACCATTTTTTTGGCGGGCAACCATTGGTTTAATGGTTTAATGGTTTAATGGCTTAATGGCTTAATGGTTTAAGGGATTTTCATAAGGGGGAAACCATTGGTTTAATGGTTTAATGGTTTAATGGTTTAGGGGATTTTCATAAGGGGGAAACCATTGGTTTAATGGTTTAATGGTTTATTGGTTTAATGGTTTGATGGTTTAATGGTGCTCCTGCCGAGGTACCTCGACCGCATCTTTTCTGCTCCTAAACTTCTGATTCGCAAGCAGTGTCCCCTGTATCCTTTCTGCTCCGAATATTCTGAATCGCAAGCAGTGTCTCCCGTATCTTTTCTGCTCAGAAGTATACGTATACTATATGGGATTGCGCCTTAAACCCTAATTCTTAAACTTTAACTCTATAGGGCTTAAAGCTTCGGGTTTAGGTTGAATTGCCGGCTTAGGTTTAAGTGCCTCAATCATAAACCCTAAACCTGTCAACCTTAACCCTCTAGGGTTGGGGCGCCTACATCATGATCGGATTTGACGAGCTCTGCGGAAATTTCTATATGACAAGGTTATAACTTATTGCTGTGGTTATAACTATGGGTTAGGGTTTGATTTTTATACACTTACGTAAACCCATAAGAATAAGGGGAGCCCCATCACGCCCCCAACAAGCGAAATATCCCAAATACTTTACCTTAGCTAAAATATCTCAAGCAACCATCCCCCGATACGCAATTCCTGAATTCCATCATTTAACGATATAGTTTGTGTATATGTTGATTCCCAGCAAGTAGTGAAAGTGACGAGCTCTGCGGATATATGTACATGACAAGGTTATAACTTTTTGCTGCGGTTATAACTATGGTTCAGGATTTGATTGATATACATGTAAATTAGCCTATAAGAAAATGAGGGTAACGGTAACCCCATCACGCCCCAAAAAGCAAAACAAAACCTCTATCCTAAAATCTTACCTTACCTAAGATAGCTCAAGCAAAACAAAAACTCTATCCTAAAATCTTTACCTTTCCTAAGATAGCTCAAGCAACCATCCCCCGATAAGCAAAACTTGAATTATCCTCCTTGTTTATATTTTGAATCCCATGAAGTAGTGGAAGGACATTTGCTCACAGTATTCTCGCGTCACCGGGACGAAAGCGCTACAAACGTAGGCATAACCCTATGGGATTCAAGGTTTGGGGATTTGAGCCCCAAGCGCTCTGGGGTTTTAAGGTTCTATTGTATAGGTAATTAATGCCCAAACCTTAAACCTAAACCGTTAAACCCTATAGGGTTCAATGGTTCGACAACCTAAGGTCTGGGCATGTATACCTTCAGTACCCTCTAGGGTTAAAACTTTTGAGCCTTTGGGAGCCCTATAGGGTTTTACGGTTCTGACCCTAAACGAATCAGGGTTAAGGTCTGAATGCCCGAACTTCAAACACTTAAGATTGAAACTTTTCGAGTTTTCGTTTTAAATGCCTAAATCCTAAACCCCAACCCCTTAAACCTTAACTCTATAGGGTTTAAAGGTTCGGGTTTAGGTTGAATTGCCGGCTTAGGTTTAAATGCCTCAATCTTCAACCCTAAACCTGTCAACCTTAACCCTCTAGGGTTGGGGCGCCTACATCATGATCGGATTTGACGAGCTCTGCGGAAATTTCTTTATGACAAGGTTATAACTTCTTGCTGCGGTTATAACTATGGTTCAGGGTTTGATTTATATACTTGTAAATAGGCTATAAGAAAATGAGGGTAACCCCATCACGCCCCAATAAGCAAAACAAAACCTCTATCCTAAAATCCTTACCTTACCTAAGATAGCTCAAGCAACCATCCCCCGATAAGCAAAACCTGAATTCTATCATATAACGATATGGTTTGTTTATTTTTTAAATCCCAGGAAGTAGTGAAAAGGACATTTGCTCACAGTATTCTCGCGTCACCGGGAAGAAAGCCCTACAAACGTAGGCATAGCCCTATGGGATTCAAGGTTTAGGGATCTAAGCCCCAAGCCCTATAGGGCGTTAAGGTTCTATCGTACAGGTAATGCCTAAACCTTAAACCCTAAGCCTTTAAACCCTGTAGGGTTGAATGGTTCAAGAAAGCCTAAGGTCTGGGCATGTATACCTTCAGCACCCTTTAGGGTCAAAACCTTTGTTCCTTGTAGAGCCCTGTAGGGTTTTAGGGTTCTGACCCTAAACGGTTCAGGGTTGAGGTTTAACTGCCCGAACTTTCAACCCTTAAGGTTAAATCTCTATGGGTTTAGGTTTAAAGTTTAAAAATACCTAAATCTTAAACCCTAACCGCTTAACCTTAACTCTATCGGGTTGAACGGTTAGGGTTTAGGTTTCATTGCGGGCTTACGTTTAAATGCCTGAATCTTAAGCCCTAAACCTGTCAAACTTAACCCTATAGGTTTGGGGTACCTCATCATCATCGACTTGTTGCTGTGGTCATAACGATGGTTTAGGGTTAAAATATATACATTTATGTAAACCTAAAAAAAATAAGGGGAACCGCAATAGGCGGACGCCCATTTTCATAATTTTACATTTTTAAATAATTTTTAATAATTTTAATTTGCCGGGAGCCTCTCGGGCAGAAATTAATTTTAACAATTTAATAATTTTAATAATTTTAATAATTTTAAGAATTTTAATAATTTTAATTTTCCGGGAGCCTCTCATGGCAGAAATTAATAATTTTAATAATTTTAATAATTTTAATAATTTTAATAATTTTAATTTTCCGGGAGCCTCTCAGGGCAGAAATTAATAATTTTAATAATTTTAATATTGTTAATAATTTTAATTTTCCGGGAGCCTCTCAGGATTATTAAAATATTAAAATTATTAAAATTATTAAAATTATTAATTTCTGCCAACGTCCTTTTGAAATCCGACCGTAGGGTCTATTTAGAAGCCGTGCTCTTCTAGGTTTATTACATTTAGGTATATGGACCTGTATTATAAATCACAAGCCCCAGCTTCTAAATAGACCCGGTTTTGCTCACACACCCCCCCCCCCCCCCTGCCCCAGCCCCTCCAGCAGCAATCGAATCGCTGGGCCGGCCTCAGCCTCGGCCATGGTGCCGCACTAAACCCAGGCTCCAAGAAGGATCGAGGCAAATGCTGCGGAGCACGCCTTCAAACGGGGCTTGGCGAAGGACGTCTATACTAGTCCACACCGTCCGATCGAGTGACGTCCTGGTGCAGTTTGGGGTGAAGGAGCCTGAGGTTGGCGAGCTTTTTTGCTCAGCGATTGCAAGCAATCCGTTGGGCATGGCGCCTCCATCCATGTGACAGACTGAGGCCAGCAGCAAGCAGCAACCAAGCCCGGGTGCACACGCACCCGGTGTGCCATCAAGGGGCAAGGTTGCTTCAGAAGTACAAGGTTGAGACACGGCATCTCGCTCATCAGCAACATGCATATGATGAAACACGCTCAACTTCTGAACCCAAACATGGAGGTGCAGAAATGCAGTAAAGCTCAAGGCCGCTGAGCGAGTTGCGGGTTGCCCCTTTCTGCGGCAGCACGGAGACAAGCTGAAGGCTGCTTGGCATGCCTTTGCCTGCTCGGCTGCTTAGCCAGTCTGGGGGGGGGGTGCCGGGGGGGTCGGCCAGAGCCGAGCGACACCGACGTCACCACACAGACGGCTTTTGAACAAAACATTTTCAGCAAAACCACGAAGCTAGCTGCAGTTTCGTTGCTAGACGACGTGTCTCAAGAGTCTGGAACTGCACGCCATCTTTCGCAGCCCGTCGGGAGCGAGATCGTTTCAAAAGGAACGTATCAATCAAATCTCGACGTCCGTTTTCTTGCTTTCCTGGCACAGGAGGGCGGGACCCGGGGAAGAACTACGGGTGTGCCTCAACAGCATGCAACATCTTGCGCAGCTTTTCAGCATTCTCGACATTCCGCGCCCGCCTGCCCCTTCTTGTAAACTGGCTTTGGGGCCGGCTCGCTGCCGACCTGGGCCAGCATCTGGCAGAGCCTCGGATGGACAAGTCACGGAAGTGCTACGAGGTTACTAGGTGGCCATCCAGGCATGAGCTCAAAGGAAGCTCAAGCAGGCGGCACACAATGTGGGAACGCAGCCAAGCAGCGTCTGCGGGTACAAGAAGACGGCGGCGCAGATGTCCTCGATGCCGGAGCCCTCAATGCCGTACAGCCTCCGGATTTGATGCCGGCCCAAGGACAAGACGCCGGCGAAGGTGAGGTACGCAACCCAGGCCATAGCCCACATCGCCTTGCCTTCCTTGGGGCCGTTTGCATCCGCCTGGTAGACCCATGAGACGATGTGGAGGATCACGAAAGCCTTGAAGGCAAGGCCCAGCACCAGCGCGAGCATGCCGTGCGTTCCGGCGTGTGTCGGGGCCTTCTCGTACTTGGACATGGCCCGCATGGAGCGCCAGAAGAGGACGGGAGGCATGACTGTTGCCAGGGCGAAGGTCGTGAAGACGCGCAGAGGCGGCATTTTCGACCTCCCGAAGGTTAGGACCCATTCAGGAGCATCGAAGATGCCGCCGTAAAGAGGCAGGTTCCAATCCGGTCGTTGGCCTCTGGGGGCAATCTCCCCAGCCTCGACCTTCAATGCACGCCAGAGGGACGTGCACATCATCATCATCACGATTGTGAATGGGAGGCCCATGACAATGGAGACGGCCTGCAACGCGGTGAGGGAGCTGAAGCCCCCAGACGCGAGTGCCGCGATGGCAACTGCACCCTCCGTCACCGCCCAGAAGATGCGCTGCACGACGTGCGCCTCGCGACCATTTGCGGCAATCAGGTCCACCACCAAAGAGCCACTGTCGCTGGACGTCACGAAGTAGAGGATGGTGGTGACGATGGACACGAAGACCAGGCTGTTTCCCATGCCATAGTACTGGCCCATCAGGTCGAACCAATACCCGCCGAAGAGAACTTGCAGACGGGGCTCACATCCGTGTTAACGGAGTAGCTGCTGTAAGCATCTCCTGGCAGGCTCGCTGGCACGTCGAAGCACTTGCCTGCCCCGCTGGGCCGGAAGGTGAGGTCGGTGTGGAGGAAGTAGTCGGCGTTGCCATACAGTTCCGTGCCAACATTCTCCAACCAGATGGCCCGGCGGTTCATGCGGATGGCGGCTGCGCCGAAGATGCAGAACCACAGCACGGCGTACAGGAAGGGCAAGGTCAGGGTGTACAGGACCACCTGCTTGATGGTACGTCCTCGAGAGATGCGGGCCATGAACGTGCCCACAAAAGGGGCCCAAGCGATCCACCAGCCCCAGTAAAAGATGGTCCACCAGTCCATCCAGGAAGGATGGGCTCCCTTGCCGTCGTTGGGCCTGCCGTTGCCGAGGTCCAGCTGAGCAAAGGCGTCGGTGTCAAAGGCGAGCTCTACGAAGTGCGCAAGGTGGTAGCCGACCGCCTGCACGATGACGTTGAGGATGTACCAAGGCTCATCCAGGCTGAAGATGACCACCATGAGGAAGTTGCCGAGCATGAAGGCCGTGTAGGAGACAGTCTTGATTCCAAAGTCCAGGCCAGCCACCACGGACGCGGTGGCGAGCAGCGTGATGACGGCGATCAGCCAGGCAGCCGTGTTGGTGAGCTGGTCCTGCAAGCATCGGCAAAGCTGCAGGGTACGCTAAATGGACATGTAAATTTGCCCGGGACGGTACCATTGGGGTTGAGGTGTTGTTGGGGTTGGGAGGCTCACTGCGCGGTCCTCGGTGAGGGTTCCCTCAAGCCACTCAAGCCGTTGCATGCCACCGACAATCTGGCGGGCGCCCAGGCCAAGGGACGTGCAGAGCCCGGCGACGATGGTGACGATGGTCAGGACGTCCAGCAAGTCACCCATCCAGCCCCAAGTGGCCTTGCCAAAGAGAGGGGCCATGCAGGTGCGGAAGCACAGCGGCAGGTTCTTCCGGTAGGAGAGGAAGCCCATGGTCAGCGCAGTGATGGCGTACACGATCCATGCCAGGAAGCCCCAGTGGAAGAGCGTGATGTGAAGTCCACTGATGGCCCGGTCGTTCTCGTTGAAGTACCCGTTGTTGTTTGTACTTGTTGGTGCCATCCTCAGCATGGAACAGAGGCTCCGAGGCTCCGTAGAAGATCAGGCCGATGGCCACACCACCGCACCAGACCATCGCCAAGTAGGTGAGGTCGCCGTACTCGGGCTCCTCGTCGTCCTGCAGGCCGCACGCTGCGGCTGCGGCTTCACGAGTCCGGGATGTGCAACGCAGATCAACGCAACAGCACACAAGTACTACACAACTCAAAGCAGCAACGCACTGGCAACGCAGCAAAGGCAATGGATCGCGCCCCACTGGCGCGCAGCTTGATTTTACGTGTGGCAACGTGTGGCACGCGCGTGTGTTCGAGGGCTCTCCCGTGTGGCCTGGCCGAGCTTCATGTCCCCGTAGTAGTAGCAAAGTGGGAAGAGGTAGACAATCCAGTAGTCCTGTGCAGCAGGCTCGAGGCATTACCTGCTGCAGCTGCCGCAGCTTTACATCCAACGACCACAAGCACCATCAGGCACCCAACGCACGGCCTGGGACACAATGTAGAGCCAGGTGAACTTCTTCGTGACGTAGGACTGCCACTCCCCGAAGACAGTGGAGGCTTCTGGGTCCAAGACTGCGTAGAGGACGAAACCCCAGAGACACACAGCGGCCAGGAGGGAGACCACCGGATTGAAGCGGATGGAGCCTGAAATTCTGAACGCCAATTCCTAGTGGTCCCAAAAGGGTTCTGGACTGTTTTTTTGCCATTTACAGCACGTTCTCACCAAGTTGCAGAAGTTAACCTCACGGGTGCCCTGCGGCCCAGCGCCATGGCCGCGCTCGTACTCCTCCACCTCAGCACGACAGCCCCCGACGCCCCCGACGCCCCCCCCCCCCCCCCCCCCCCCCCCCCCCCCCCCCCCCCCCCCCCCCCCCCCCCCCTGCCCCAGGCCCCTCCAGCAGCAATCGAAGCGCTGGGCCGGCCTCAGCCTCGGCCATGGTGCCGCACTAAACCCAGGCTCCAAGAAAGGATCGAGGCAAATGCTGCGGAGCACGTCTTCAAACGGGGCTTGGCGAAGGACGTCTATACTAGTCCACACCGTCCGATCGAGTGACGTCCTGGTGCAGTTTGGGGTGAAGGAGCCTGAGGTTGGCGAGCTTTTTTGCTCAGCGATTGCAAGCAATCCGTTGGGCATGGCGCCTCCATCCATGTGACAGACTGAGGCCAGGAGCAAGCAGCAACCAAGCCCGGGTGCACACGCACACGGTGTGCCATCAAGGGGCAAGGTTGCTTCAGAAGTACAAGGTTGAGACACGGCATCTCGCTCATCAGCAACATGCATATGATGAAACACGCTCAACTTCTGAACCCAAACATGGAGGTGCAGAAATGCAGTAAAGCTCAAGACCGCTGAGCGAGTTGCGGGTTGCCCCTTTCTGCGGCAGCACGGAGACAAGCTGAAGGCTGCTTGGCATGCCTTTGCCTGCTCGGCTGCTTAGCCAGTCTGGGGGGGGTGCCGGGGGGGTCGGCCAGAGCCGAGCGACACCGACGTCACCACACAGACGGCTTTTGAACAAAACATTTTCAGCAAAACCACGAAGCTAGCTGCAGTTTCGTTGCTAGACGACGTGTCTCAAGAGTCTGGAACTGCACGCCATCTTTCGCAGCCCGTCGGGAGCGAGATCGTTTCAAAAGGAACGTATCAATCAAATCTCGACGTCCGTTTTCTTGCTTTCCTGGCACAGGAGGGCGGGACCCGGGGAAGAACTACGGGTGTGCCTCAACAGCATGCAACATCTTGCGCAGCTTTTCAGCATTCTCGACATTCCGCGCCCGCCTGCCCCTTCTTGTAAACTGGCTTTGGGGCCGGCTCGCTGCCGACCTGGGCCAGCATCTGGCAGAGCCTCGGATGGACAAGTCACGGAAGTGCTACGAGGTTACTAGGTGGCCATCCAGGCATGAGCTCAAAGGAAGCTCAAGCAGGCGGCACACAATGTGGGAACGCAGCCAAGCAGCGTCTGCGGGTACAAGAAGACGGCGGCGCAGATGTCCTCGATGCCGGAGCCCTCAATGCCGTACAGCCTCCGGATTTGATGCCGGCCCAAGGACAAGACGCCGGCGAAGGTGAGGTACGCAACCCAGGCCATAGCCCACATCGCCTTGCCTTCCTTGGGGCCGTTTGCATCCGCCTGGTAGACCCATGAGACGATGTGGAGGATCACGAAAGCCTTGAAGGCAAGGCCCAGCACCAGCGCGAGCATGCCGTGCGTTCCGGCATGTGTCGGGGCCTTCTCGTACTTGGACATGGCCCGCATGGAGCGCCAGAAGAGGACGGGAGGCATGACTGTTGCCAGGGCGAAGGTCGTGAAGACGCGCAGAGGCGGCATTTTCGACCTCCCGAAGGTTAGGACCCATTCAGGAGCATCGAAGATGCCGCCGTAAAGAGGCAGGTTCCAATCCGGTCGTTGGCCTCTGGGGGCAATCTCCCCAGCCTCGACCTTCAATGCACGCCAGAGGGACGTGCACATCATCATCATCACGATTGTGAATGGGAGGCCCATGACAATGGAGACGGCCTGCAACGCGGTGAGGGAGCTGAAGCCCCCAGACGCGAGTGCCGCGATGGCAACTGCACCCTCCGTCACCGCCCAGAAGATGCGCTGCACGACGTGCGCCTCGCGACCATTTGCGGCAATCAGGTCCACCACCAAAGAGCCACTGTCGCTGGACGTCACGAAGTAGAGGATGGTGGTGACGATGGACACGAAGACCAGGCTGTTGCCCATGCCATAGTACTGGCCCATCAGGTCGAACCAATACCCGGAGGAGTCACCCGAAGAGAACTTGCAGACGGGGCTCACATCCGTGTTAACGGAGTAGCTGCTGTAAGCATCTCCTGGCAGGCTCGCTGGCACGTCGAAGCACTTGCCTGCCCCGCTGGGCCGGAAGGTGAGGTCGGTGTGGAGGAAGTAGTCGGCGTTGCCGTACAGTTCCGTGCCAACATTCTCCAACCAGATGGCCCGGCGGTTCATGCGGATGGCGGCTGCGCCGAAGATGCAGAACCACAGCACGGCGTACAGGAAGGGCAAGGTCAGGGTGTACAGGACCACCTGCTTGATGGTACGTCCTCGAGAGATGCGGGCCATGAACGTGCCCACAAAAGGGGCCCAAGCGATCCACCAGCCCCAGTAAAAGATGGTCCACCAGTCCATCCAGGAAGGATGGGCTCCCTTGCCGTCGTTGGGCCTGCCGTTGCCGAGGTCCAGCTGAGCAAAGGCGTCGGTGTCAAAGGCGAGCTCTACGAAGTGCGCAAGGTGGTAGCCGACCGCCTGCACGATGACGTTGAGGATGTACCAAGGCTCATCCAGGCTGAAGATGACCACCATGAGGAAGTTGCCGAGCATGAAGGCCGTGTAGGAGACAGTCTTGATTCCAAAGTCCAGGCCAGCCACCACGGACGCGGTGGCGAGCAGCGTGATGACGGCGATCAGCCAGGCAGCCGTGTTGGTGAGCTGGTCCTGCAAGCATCGGCAAAGCTGCAGGGTACGCTAAATGGACATGTAAATTTGCCCGGGACGGTACCATTGGGGTTGAGGTGTTGTTGGGGTTGGGAGGCTCACTGCGCGGTCCTCGGTGAGGGTTCCCTCAAGCCACTCAAGCCGTTGCATGCCACCGACAATCTGGCGGGCGCCCAGGCCAAGGGACGTGCAGAGCCCGGCGACGATGGTGACGATGGTCAGGACGTCCAGCAAGTCACCCATCCAGCCCCAAGTGGCCTTGCCAAAGAGAGGGGCCATGCAGGTGCGGAAGCACAGCGGCAGGTTCTTCCGGTAGGAGAGGAAGCCCATGGTCAGCGCAGTGATGGCGTACACGATCCATGCCAGGAAGCCCCAGTGGAAGAGCGTGATGTGAAGTCCACTGATGGCCCGGTCGTTCTCGTTGAAGTACCCGTTGTTGTTGTACTTGTTGGTGCCATCCTCAGCATGGAACAGAGGCTCCGAGGCTCCGTAGAAGATCAGGCCGATGGCCACACCGGCGCACCAGACCATCGCCAAGTAGGTGAGGTCGCCGTACTCGGGCTCCTCGTCGTCCTGCAGGCCGCACGCTGTGGCTGCGGCTTCACGAGTCCGGGATGTGCAACGCAGATCAACGCAACAGCACACAAGTACTACACAACTCAAAGCAGCAACGCACTGGCAACGCAGCAAAGGCAATGGATCGCGCCCCACTGGCGTGCAGGTTGATTTTACGTGTGGCAACGCGTGGCAACGTGTGGCAACGTGTGGCACGCGCGTGTGTTCGAGGGCTCTCCCGTGTGGCCTGGCCGAGCTTCATGTCCCCGTAGTAGTAGCAAAGTGGGAAGAGGTAGACAATCCAGTAGTCCTGTGCAGCAGGCTCGAGGCTTTACCAGGGCCCCTGCTGCGGCTGCAGCTTTACATCCAACAGCCACCCAACACACGGCCTGGGACACAATGTAGAGCCAGGTGAACTTCTTCGTGACGTAGGACTGCCACTCCCCGAAGACAGTGGAGGCTTCTGGGTCCAAGACTGCGTAGAGGACGAAACCCCAGAGACACACGGCGGCCAGGAGGGAGACCACCGGGTTGAAGCGGATGGAGCCTTCAACTCTGAAACGCCAACTCCTAATGGTCTCAAAAGGGTTCTGGACTGTTGTAAAATTTACAGCTCGTTCTCACCAAGTTGCAGAAGTTAACCTCACGGGTGCCCTGCGGCCCAGCGCCATGGCCGCGCTCGTACTCCTCCACCTCGGCACGACAGCCCCCGACGCCCCCGACGCCCCCCCCCCCCCCTTCCCCAGGCCCCTCCAGCAGCAATCGAAGCACCGGGCCGGCCTCAGCCTCGGCCATGGTGCCGCACTAAACCCAGGCTCCAAGAAAGGATCGAGGCAAATGCTGCGGAGCACGTCTCTGGCGTCTTTGGCTTCCAAGCCTCACCGCCAATAGCTACGAGTGAATGCCTGGCCCCTCTTGCCCGGATCTGCGCCACAGCACGCGGCCACAGGTTTGTGTTCCCGCAACCGGCCAAACTCTGAGTGGACAAGCGAACCCAAAACGGACAACAGCAAGTCTAGCCGATTTTCACTTTCGGGAGACATCGGGAAATTCGGGCGCAGGCTGATATGGGCCATAGTGCTTTGGCACTGTCAAGTGTCGAGCCAATCCAGCCCAGACCCTGCAACACTTTGTTGCGGAGCCATTGGATTCTCAGCCAGCCCAGCACTGAATGCCCTAAACTCTAAACCCCTAAACCCAGCAACCTCGAGTTTTGGGGGGAGAGGATGGAAAGGGGAAGAGAGAGAGAGAGAGAGACAGAGAGACAGAGAGACAGAGAGACAGAGAGACAGAGAGACAGAGAGACAGAGAGACAGAGAGACAGAGACAGAGAGACCTCGTTCGGAGGCATACAAGCAGCAGCCAAGGCCCTCCACAGCTTTTCATCGCGCGGCGAGCACTGTGCCCGAGCCGAGCTCGTCTCCGAAGAGGAAGGCTTGCAACCTTTCCGAGGTTTAGGGATGAGGCTCGGGATCCCCTTGTACTAACAGTATCTATAGCAGGGTTTATAATGTGGGGTACTGGAATCCCTACTAAGGACTGTTAGTATAATGGGGAACATCCCCGGTTGAGGGTTTCAGGCGAAACCCCAAACCCTCAACTGCAGCGCTGCGGCAGAGCCTCCCCGTGCACCGGGATCCTCAACTCCCCGGTCCCAAAGAGTAACCCTAAACCCTAAACCCTAAACCCTATCTCTACGCCGACGCACCCAAGAGGAAAAGCGGAGGTTTCGACTCTCGCACGAGCAGGCAAGGATTCAGTCGGTGTTTAGGGTTTAGGGTTTAGGGTTTAGGGTTTAGGGTTTAGGGTTTAGGGTTTAGGGTTTAGGGACCCCCCCCCACCCTAACCTGTATGAAGCAAGGTGTTTAAGCAAGAATTGCCACTCCGCTGTTTTGTTTTTGCACCCCCGCCCGAGATCTCAGGACCACGCAGTGGCACAACTTTGATGCCTTGGCTCAGGGTCATGGAGGGGTTGAACTACTTTCTGGACCCTTTCTTTACCCTTAGCGAATGAAAAGGGTACATATCTATATATATACACACATACAATGCACGGATCAAACAAAGTATATATGTATCATATATATATATATATACAGATGTACATACACATAAAGAAATGCTGGCCTGCCCCCAACAGATCCAGCCAGCGCTGCTTTTAGGGGAAAGATGGGGAAGGGAGAGGGAGGGAGAGACAGACAGAGACAGAGCAACCCGCATGCTTGACAGAACGATAGAAGGAGGTCACTGCTCTCAGATCCGGTTGTGGGGTGGTTGCGCCACGAATGTCTTTCTGTACGTACACATTAGGCTCTCCTGCTATACCGGCTCTCGCATTCTACATCTAATCACTGGGCAGAGATGAACCTTCGGCGCCACACGATCTTGTACAGAATTGTCTTGCTGAGCTCCATACCCGACAGAAGGGAAGGACACGAGGAAAATGGGTGAATCCATGGGGGCTGAGAGGTACCGTATACATGTACGTTTTAGGGTTTAGGGTTCGGGGGTGCGAAAAAAAGTATACATCAGTATATGCATGTGTATATATGTATACATATATATATATATATGTATATATACATATGTATTATATACATGTATACAAGAATGTATAACGAAGTCAGCACAAAGCCTGCACTGGAGATAAGATGGTGCTCGACCTCCAACAACGCCGAGGCACACGAAATGTCTGCAAACAGCAGCTGCACTTCCTGCAGTTTGGGTTTAGGCTCGCTCACTCTCTCTCTCTCTCTCTCTCTCTCTCCCTTCCTCCGACGAGAAGAGCCGTCCGTGTCGCGGTTACCGCGTTCTTCATGGCCCGCTTTTGAAACTGGGGTCGAGGGTCTGCGCTGCGCCCCTCAGTTTTCCGCCATGTCAGTTGCGGGTTCGGGGTTCTCAAGCCTTTCCCAAAAGTAAGTCGAACCTCCAAGACATTCCCCCCAACAAGTGCCCTAACCCTTGAAGTCTTGTCTCCCCGCTGTGCCCCCGCTATCGCCCTGTTGGCATGACTGTCTAATCGCTGCCCCTTCATGTGTTCTTCTCCTCCGTGTGTCTATGTCTGGTAGAGCCGACCCTCGATGTAGCCCCCACGGTCGTGTGTCATTCTCCGGTGACGAGAACTCTTCGGTGGGTTCATGGGGCATCTGGGCTCTGGTGGTGGTATTGGTGGTGCTGGTGGGTGGAGTGCACGTGTGTGGTGGGATGGTGTGGTGGAGGGTTCATGGGATGGTGTCTGGGGTATTCTCCCCCTGGAGCTCGCTTTGTCCGGCTGGGTCCTGGGATTGGGACTCTATGGTGCACACCGTTTCGCCCCATGTCTCTCTCTCTCTCTCTCTCTCTTTCTCTGTCTCTCTCTCTCTCTCTCTCTCTCTCCCTCCATCCCTCTCTCTCTACTCTATCTATATCTATATATATATATATATGCATTCATAATATATACGCGCATGTGCATAAATGCACTATGTACCAATGGATGTTGCGGGATGCCACGTGGCTTCATCGACTCTCCTAACCCCTAAACCTGTTTTGCTTCAAGCCCTAAACCCTAAACCCTAAACCCTTAACCCTTAAACCCTAAACCCTAAACCCTTTTTGCAACTCCCTAAACCCTAAACCCTCTCCACTCGGCGACCTCCAGAAGCATCCCTCAGTGGCACCTCCAGACGTCGGGCGCCGAGCACTAACCTCAAGGTTGAGGTTTAGGGTTTAGGGTTTAGGGTTTAGGGTTTAGGGTTTAGGGTTTAGGGTTTAGGGTTTAGGGTTTAGGGTTTAGGGTTTAGGGTTTAGGGTTTAGGGTTTAGGGTTCGGCGTTTAGGGTTTAGTTTTTTTTGTTTTTGCCACCTTCTTGGTACACTTCTCGATTTAGGGCTTTCTGCCAGCACTCTCTGTAGCAGGCTCGACTTCTTTTCGCTCCCGCATGGCTGGCCGAACCACAGCAAGCTTGATTTAGAGCTTAGGGTTTAGGGCTGAGTGCGCAGGCCTACACCTGTCCACGTGCCCCATGACTCTGCTCCATCGGCCTGCCGCAAAAAGCAGTAACACTGTTCCATCTGCTGCCATGTGCGTATTTCTCAAAATATAGGGGTGCCCGGTTTATTGTCCTCAAATACAGCACACTTTAAGCCCAATAAGCATCCCCAAAATGTACCCTGATTTTGGCGGAAAACCTCCCCAAATTTGCGAGCCTTTTGTAGAGAGTTTCGGGGCCCGAAACCCTAAACTTGGGATTCACAGTCGTTATAGCACCCCCTAGGAAAATCCCAGTATAAGGACTGCCAGTATAACGGGGAACATCCCAACCCTAAACCCTATCAAACCCTAAACCCTAAACCCTAAACCCTAAACCCTAATCCCCAGTTTGCAGCCATGTTCAGCCACGCAGCCTCGCACGGAAGGCAAAGATGGCAGCCGCCAGCACAGCCACCAGGACAGGGGAGTCGAAGCTGCAGGGCGGGGAATGAGGGGGGGGGTCAGGGTTTAGGGTTTAGGGTTGAGGGTTTAGGGTTCAGGGTTTAGGGTTTAGGGTCGTTCAGGGTTTTTGGGGTTTTCGGGCGTTGGAGATTCTAGCGGCTTTTTGGCTCTCACGCTCGCACAAGGCAGGCAAGGTTTCGGTCGGCCCGTCCACAGCTAGTGTCCACGGCTTACTGCCCATGAGAGGACGTCTCTTCCGTTTTTAAGGCCTGGGGTTTACGTCTGGACGAGCCATGCGAGGCAAACGAGTCCGCTCACATCAAGCAGCATCATTGGGCTTGGTCTAAGCTGGCATAATTCGGGCATAAATTACGGTTGCATGTTGTGTCCACGTTAAATATTTGCCGTTGCTTGTCCATCAGTTTCTGGTTTCTCATGCGGCTGATACTATGCACTATGCATGTATACATGCCACTGGTTTTGTGCATCTATTCATATATACATACATACATGTATACATATATATATATAAACAGATATGTACATACAAATATATGTACACACACACACATATATATATATATATATATACGTTTCTGTTGATAAACTTATCGGCAGGACCCTCTGACCGGCCAAGATGCCCAAGGAGTCGGTCCCAGAGGTGTAGCAACTGCTCTGCGGGAAGGCCTCGAAGGTGGGAGACTCGCGCGGGGGGGCAAGGGGGGGATGAATCGAGGGAAGGGTAAAGAATGGAGTGCTGAACGGATTTAGGGTTTAAGGCTTTTTTGTTTAGGGTTCAGGTTTAGAGGGGCTTCCAGGGCGATCTCTGAGGATTCTGAGCAGCTACAAGTAGGGTTTGGGGAGCCTTTCTGTATCGGGTATCGGCACTCGCTCACACTCGGACACTTCCCGCGCTCAGCAGATCGCCAGGCTCAGGAGATGTTCGGCGGCGGTGTGTAGGGCGTATCTTCTGGCAAGGCGGGATCATACTCCGGCGGCTTCTGGCTTTGCAGAGAGGCCAGGTAGAGGACGATGATGGACAGGATGCCCCACACGAGCCCCACGATGACGCCAGCGTCGATGATGGCTCTGTAGGGATTGTCTAACTGCTTGACGCCTATGACCACAGCAAAGATGACTGTTGTGACTGCCCAGCTGGTGATGACGCGCCGCGTCGTGCCGTGGAAGTAGCCGATGCAGAATGCCGGCGCCAGCGCCTTGTGCCAAAGTGGAGCTTCGGATGTCTCCTCCGAGACGACCCACGCGCGGCTGACGACGCGCGGGGAGAAGCCGAGCTGGAAGCCCCGGTAGCCCTCTACATACGCGAAGAAAAGGAGCGTCACCGCCAACAAGCCCCACTGCCAGACTTCCTCAATGGCGCCCAGCCCATCCAGCACGATTGGCACAACTTTGGCCACACCGTAGGATAGGTACGCAACCACCCCAAACACACCCCAAGCCTGCACTAGCTGGGACCTGTCACTGACCTCGCTGCCGTCAGCTCCCGCTCTTCTGGACAATGAAGATGGCCCCGCATCAAGGCGCGACAGGGCTTCTTTCCCATGTCGATCACGGCCTTGCGAAAGCACCCGGGGGGGCGCAACGAAGTCTGGCAATGGCTGACAAGCCAGCCACCCGGAACACACTGCAGCCACCACCAGCATCACAGGCCCTGCTCGGAGCTTCCGCCCCTTCTTCCATAGGCTGCGCGCCATGTCCCAAGCTGAGAACGTGGGATTTCAGAGCTGTTGCTAGCGGCCCAAGGATAGACCTCAGGAGCCAAAACGAGAGGGCACTCTCTGCGATGGACCGCGCATGTCATTACTATATAGTCATGTTTACAAACAACTACATACTCTACATATATGCTAGATTCTATATTCTATGTTCTATATTCTATATACTATCTACTATATACTATATACTGTATACTATATACTGTATACTATATACTATATACTATATACTATATACTATATACTGTATACTATATACTATATACTACATACTACATACTATATACTATATACTATATACTATATACTATATACTATATACTATATACTATATACTATATACTATACACTATTTACTATACATTTTATACTGTACACTATACATACATTTTATACTGTATATTCTACCTGATATTCTCCAAAACTGTTGCGTGTTGATGTCACGTTTAACACCTCTTGGGGCGTTGGCAACCGGCGAAGCCGGTGACGATCCAGTGGAAGGCGAAGCCTTGGAGTTCGCGGCCATCCGGCGGAAAGAGAGAACAAAAGTTAGAGCGCCTAGGATAGGGTTTAGGGTCTAGGGTCTAGGGTCTAGGGTTTAGGGTTTAGGGTTTAGGGTTTAGAGTTTAGGGTAGGGTAAACAACTTGCTTGCGACTTTGCTTGGTGCTTGCTTCTCTTTTGTTGCCCCTTCTTTGCTTGGCTTCTTAAGGCGGCCCTCTGACTCTCTGACTCTCTGAATGCTCAGTCCGGTGGCGAAGTGGCGCGGAGTCCACGGCCAACCTTGAAAAAACTCGGCCCGGCATCGTGAGGCTAAGGGGGTGAGAGTATGCTCGATGCTCGTGCAGCTGACATGTGTCTGGGTTTAGGGTTTAGGGTTTAGGGTTTAGGGCTTAGGGCTTAGGGCTTAGGGTTTAGGGTTTAGGGTTTAGGGTTTAGGGTTTCGGGTTTAGTAGGGTGGCCGCCTCTCTTCCTTGGGGATCCCGCTGCCGGGGATCCGGCTGCTTCACGTGCTGCGCCGCACGCGGGGCCGCGGTGTCAGCGAGGGACTCGAAGAGGGCACAAAGCTGCAACAGCCTCGGACCACTTTCCCGCAAATATGTAACCATATACTGACAACAAGGACCACTTTCCTGAATATGTAACCATATACGGATAACAATTCGAATATGTATAAATGTATAAGGTGCGCACTCTCCTGCACCCCTGGGTACAACTCCCAGCTGTCCCTTTCAGTGGAAAAGGTTCCACAGTGTTCCTGCAGATTCATCCACGCCGTGAGTACCATGTGTCCTAAGATTATTGCATGCGAGGCCGTGCTTCGGAAGGAAAGAACGAATGCAACAGGCAACCTCCGCAAAGATTTCATATTTCCATTCACTTCTACTAAAATGAGTGAGGTTATGAGAATAGAAAATAAATATAGAATAGAAAGATTTTTTTGAATGGAATTGAAATGAAATCCTAAGGTGTACGAAATAATATTCTATTTACAATTGAACGAAATAAGAATACGAATAAAAGGAGAAAGGACTATTAGAAGAGAGCTCATTTACTATATTTTGGTGTTCTTATTACTGCATTTCCAAGATAAAGCCTTTCAATAACAAGAAAGCGAGAAAGCCGTTCTGATTTTGCCATAATTACATTGCACCTGAACAGCCATTATGTTGGCCAAAGGTAAACTTTACATCCAAGCGGCGTCTCCGGCCGATTCGAAATTGTGTGCCTTCGGGTGGCCAAGGCTTCTCAGCTTGTGGACGACTGAGCGCGGGCTAAAATCTTACTACAGATGCTTCCGAAGCTTCTTCGCAGATTGGGGCGAGAGGGCCTCCCAAAAAACGATCCTCGCTGAGGCCCAGGCAAGTGGCACAGAACTCGGCAGTAGAAGGCCCGAAACAAGGGGTAGGCCTCGGCACTCCGAGGAACTTGGCTAAAAGGCCTCCGCGAATGCTCTGATCGCAAAAAAAAAAAAAAAGGCGAACGTACGCGCATATGTACACATATATATATATATATATGCTTATTTATTTGTCTACTGAGTACTGTTTCTGTATTTATTTTTGTATTGTCATATTTTCTTGTTTATGTGAACTTTGTTCTTTAGTTTTTTAAACTTCTCATATTCTGAGCTCGATGATGCGCTTTCACTGGTGGCCCCAGGCCGTCTCCAGTCGATCGGCCAGGAATGCGAAAGGACACGCGTAGTTGGAAAAGCCTTTGAAAGGCACTACCTTGGCTTTAGGGTTTAGGGTTTAGGGTCTAGGGTTTAGGGTTTAGGATTTAGGATTTAGGGGCCAGTCAACTCAGGCACTCTGTGCGCAAGGCCCTGCTCTCTCTTCTTGCACTGCCACAGTTCGGGTGCTTTTTGCAAGAGGCCGGTTTCTCTTGCCCTCCTAAACCTTCGGGTTTAGGGTTTAGGGTTTAGGGTTTAGGGTTTAGGGTTTAGGGCTTAGGGTAGGCCCTGAGACCTAGGCAGGTTGCTTCGGGTTTGGGATGCGCGACGTCAGTCCCACAAGTCCTTCAGGCCTTGGAGTCAACCAATTTCTCAAGGGGAGAAGCTTCGAGAGAATCACCCTAATATTTTGATATTATGCAAAATATTATGACATGATGATGTAAGCAGATTACTATATCATGATAGTAGTAGAGTAATAAAAATTGATGTAATCATAGAAGAGTCGTTTGTATCATTCTGTCAATTCATATGAACCTTATGTTTACATTCAGGTATTCGTATACGTATATTAATGTTGCACCCGCAATATTCTAGGGGGGGGCGCTATTATGAAAAGTTTTCCGGCTATTCAGGATCTGGACCCTCTGTTTTGGGGGTCCGCTATAATGAAAAGATTTCGGGCCGTGACTGTTTTTTTGAGGGTGTCAGGAAGGCATAAGCTTCTCGAGAAGGAGAGATACTTGAAGCCTGAAGCCTCGACCTGTCCAGGATCTCCGACAATCTTCTTTTTTCAGGGCGCCTTTTCTTTATAAATTCCTTACTTAAAACTAGATGATTCCATAAGCGAATCATATCCGGAAAGGGGGTACCTTACGGAGGCCTCCGGACACACTTTAATACCTTTGTTTGGGGGCCCGCTATAATGCAAGTCTCCCGGGGCCCGGGGCTCAGTCCTGAAGCCTCGACCTTTCCAGGGTCGGGGGGTAGCTTAGGGAGGCCTCCGGGCTCCGGACCCCCCCCCTGACTGTTTGGGGTCTTTTTTTATTCAGGGTCGCGACTGTTGAGGGGGGGGGGGGTAACTTATTAAAGCAGGTCCAACATTACTACATTTGTATATTGCAAGGTCGCCGGTGCCAGAGTTCAGGTGGACCCTGGTTGCCCACTCCAGTGTGCGCCGAGGCGCGCCTGAAGGGGGGACTCGCAGACCACCTGGCTTAGGGTTTAGGGTTTAGGGTTTAGGGTTTAGGGTTTTTTTGGCACCCGCATAGCTGGACGAACCACTCCGCAAAAAACTCCAAGCCTGAGTGACGATGCTTTAAGGTTTAGGGTGAAGGGCTCAGGGTTTAGGCTGGGGCTTGGCCTGTTGGGCTGAAGGGCATTGCCCTCAATGCAACCCCTTGTGGCCCTCTCTCTGTGAGCCTTGATAAACCACTTGCTGTCGACAGTACCTTCACCTAGCCATGGTCCGGTTCAGGGTTTAGGGTTTAGGGTTTAGGGTTGAGGGTTGAGGGTTTAGGGTTGAGGGTTGAGGGTTGAGGGTTGAGGGTTGAGGGTTGAGGGTTTAGGGGCTTGGGGGTTTAGAGGCTCTGATGTGTATGGGGTTGATATCACATCCCCACCACCAAGAACTTTCCGATCTTTTGCGAAGATGGGCGCCTTCCTGTTCAGCTCCTTCCTTGGCCACCTCGATTCTTTGGCTTCTTTGAGGGCTGACCTACATGATGGGGGGAGCCTGTTGGGGTCCCTCTAAGAGGTGTTTTAGTCCCTCTTAGCATTCTCGCAAGAAGTCATCGTTGAACCTAGCATTTTAAAGAATCGAAGCACTGCTTGGCCGGACGACAAAAATCCTCCTCGCCAAGGCTTGCAGCGAACACTGCTGCGCACCGTGTGCCCTAAACCCTAGAAACCAAAAGCCTAAAGCCTGGTTCCTAAACCCTAAGCCCTAAACCCTAGACCCTAAACCCTGAATCATAATCCTAACGCCCCAGTTCGAGGCATGAAGTTGCAAGGGATATGTGAGGGATTCTCTAGACTACTGGCCCTTACTTTGAAAGGCCCCGTCTGATAATTTAGGATCCCCAAAGACAAGGGCACCATGCTCCAGAGGACCAACCACCCCCCCCCCCCACCCCATGTCAGCTCGACCTCTGCCATCTCTTCCCGCTGATCTTAAGCCTCGCACGGCTGCCTCCATCGCGTCGGGTGCCGGGATCAACTCAGCCAGGGGGTTAGGGGGGGGGGGGGTTTAGGGTTTCGGGATTGAGGTTTGTTTAGGGTAGGCTCCCATTTGGACGAGGATTCCGAGCTGTCGCGACGACGTCAGAAAGCTTGAGAAGTTTGCTTGCCACTGCAAAAGATGTGGCTCTCCGGCCAAGCCCCGCACAATGGGCATCTGCGGCGGCCTTTCAGGTTCGGAAATGGGTGGTAGAGCTTGGGCTACACTCTAAGTTCAAGCTGAAGAAGCTGGTGCCAGGGGGGGGGGGGGGGGGGGGGAGGCGGAGGGGCCCCAGGATTGGTCACGCAAGCTGAGTGCATGGGGACGACAGCGCTGGGTCCCAAGGAACCCAGCACTGGGTTTGGGGTTCACAGGGGCTTCCCACATAGGACGCAATTGCAGGGATCAAGGGTTCGCCCTTTAAGGAACAGGTCCCTCGTCAACATGGGGCGCCTTTGATTTGGGCATCTCTCCAAGTAAGGGCCCATATCCCAATATACTTAAAAGTTCTTATTCATAGTTTAATAGGATATCAGAGGAACCCCGCGCCCTCAAAAGAAAAAAAGTTCCCCCTGGTCTCGGAAAACCCCCATTTCCTTGCTGGGCTCGCAGCCCGCTTTCGCACATCGACGAGATCTGCGGGTCTCTGCCTCGGAACAGGGGAGTAGAGCTAACCCCTATTTCAGGAAAACATCGATTTTTCTTCTGCATTTTGCTGGGGTTCGAGGCCAAAACCAAAGAGTACCAAACGCAAATATCTAAAGGTACAAAAGAATTAGGGGCCAATGGCTTTAGGGCAAAGGGTCCCTCTGAGGGACCCGCGTAAATATAAACGGGCCCCCAAGCTACTATCTGCCTAACAACCGAAAGATAAAAGATAATCACCCCCTCTAACCCTTATACGGAAGACTTTCTCTTATAGGCAAATAATAGTAATAGCAATAGTAGTAGTATTAGCAATAGCAATAGCAATGGCAATAGCAATAGCAATAGCAATAGCAATTGTCATAGTAATAGTAATAGTACTAGTAATAGTAATAGTAATAGTAATAGCAATAGCGATAGCAATAGTAATAGTAATAGTAATCGTAATCGTAATAGTAATAGTAATCGTAATAGCAATAGCAATAGTAATAGTAATAGCAATAGTAATAGTAATAGTAATCGTAATCGTAATAGCAATAGTAATCGTAATAGCAATAGTAATAGCAATAGCAATAGTAATAGTAATTATTAATAGTAATAGTACTTAGTCATAGTAACAGTAATGGTAGTAGCAAGTTGGGGAGAACGCCGTGGTTAACAGAGAGTTAACAGAGTCAAGCTGCTGAGTGCCAACACCAGCGCCTCGGCGATCTCATCGAAGGGGAAGTAGGACACGTCGTTCGCGCCTCTCTGAAGAAACCCTAACCCTAAACCCTAACCCTAAACCCTAAACCCTAAACCCTAGACCGTGGCCTACAGTGGTAGATGGGCCCACAAAGGCCGACGCAAACACCCGTGAGAACCTGACCACGGTCCCGCAGCGGAACTCCTTCCCACGCCCCCTCAAGCCCCCACTGAAGAGCCGAGCGCGGCTGAAGACCCCTGTCCGAGCACTGGGCAGTGCTCCGACACATCGAGTCGCAACACGTCATCTGTGAGCCACTCCCACCTCATTGGTCAGCAACTTCACCCAGTGTAGAATATGCAGGCAATCTTCTGACATGTTGTGCCGTCAATCTCGCACAGTCCAGTGCGCTACTCACCAAGCACCGGGGGATTCACCCAGCAGACGCCCCAAGAGCGCCTACAGTATCAGCCGCAGCGTCTGCCCAAACCAAACTCTTCAAAAACACCCTCAACCATCCTAAGCCCCCTGGTTTTTTGCATCTGGACGGCGGGGAATCAGCCCAACATTCTTCAGCAGATGCCGACTCTGAACTCCATCAAAACAAACTCTCTAAACGGGTATTTCCAAAAGTAGGGGTGCCCCTCTTATACCCCAAATAGACTAGAATCCCCTTAAAGGGACCCCCCAAAAAGGGTACCCCGTTTTTTCGGAAACCCCCCCACATTAGGCCCCAAACGCCGGAGCCCCTAAATCACACCCAAAACTTGGGAGCCAGGCTCGTTGATTCCCTTCGCTGCCTCCTGCTAGCTAGGACGCAGGGGATAGGATTAGGGGGACCCTTGGGGATATAGACCCTCTGAATAAGGTCCCTTGTTAAGAGAGCCAGGGTTAAGAAGGGGTAAAGGGTTCTAGGCTAGGGTTTTAGGGTACTCTGCGGCTTACATTGAGTTTTAAGGGTTGGGGTTTTAGGGTACTCTGCGGCTTACATGCGTGAACTGGGCCAGCTTCGCGCAATCTGCGCAGTCAAACGGAAGAGACCCGTAGCGGCCTGCAGAGCTGCGGTCCCCGTCGATTCGACAACCTGGCTGGCGGCGCTAGTACTCGGCACCCTGGAAACATCTGGAAACAACCTCCGACGGCTCGAGGCGCAACGCACAGTGCGCGATGCACGAAGGGCGCACAACCGTACTGCGGGCCCACACCCCAAAGCCCAATCAAAGCCGAGGATGCCCCCATGATGGAGCTCCAAACCTGCCATCAGTCAGATGTCTCTCGGACCGCGACTTCGGTGTGCTCCGCGCGCTCCGCGCCTCTCGCCGCATGCTGGGCGGGATGCCGAAGCGGGCGAAGATCTGCGACGCGGGTGAGGGCTCCGGGATTGAGTGCTCTTTGGAGGTGCAGGCTCTAAGGTGCCGCCTGGAAGGAGCGGGAACTACAGCGCTTCCACGGCTGCCAGGAAGCCCACAAGGTTTCTGAGCCAAAGTCCTCCCAGCCCGCCTGGAGCTCTGCCGGATAGGCCGCGCCCTGGGAATCTGAGAGCTTTTTGGTAATCTACCCCGGGGGGGGGGGGGGGCACTTTTTGGAATTCTCCGAGCCCCCATAAACCCTAACTTCACACTAAATTCAGCCGAATAGTTTGCCCTTCTCCGCAAGCTCAATCTGGGCCCACTCGCCGACAGCAGCTGCGCCGCTAGGCGCCGCCGACGCGTCTCCAGGCGCTGCGCCTCCTCCCATGCTTGTTTCGTCTTGCTGTTCCATGTCGGGCCTTCTGTACCCCCTAAGCCCTAAACCCTAAGCCCTAAACCCGAAGGTCTTGGGTTAGAGCTGGACGATACCAGGGTGTAGGCTTCCTCAAACAGGGGCGTGTGTTGCAGAGGGAGGCCTGGCTCGTCGATACTGGTACCTTGAACCCTTCTGGCAGCAACACCAAGACCACACATCGAAAAACGTCTTAGACAGATATATCCAAGGTCACACCTTTCTGAAAAACGCGAGGCAAAGGTCAACCTCCAAACATCTGACAACTTAGACCTAAGCTGGGCCGTTTAGCCACTTCGAAATCCCAAAAAGCCCTGGCCTCCAAGTTCAGTCCCCTGAGGGCCGGTTCTAGGCGCGTAGAGGCGGCCTGTTGAATGGGTTGGGTTTTGCTTCTAAGGGTAGTTACATGGTCCCTTAGTATGGGCCCTTAAAAGGGTACCCCTCATATACCCCTGAGAGACTCTATACAAATTAAGGGCCCATGCATCAGAACCCTCTAAAGGAGGTTAGGGACCCTCTGCAGGGCCCATGAAACCACCCTCAGATTGCTAGGGTGCCCAAGGTCCTACGAGGTGGTACGCTGCAGTTTGGCGGCTGACTGCCGATATGTCTTACAGAACAGGGCCGGCTTCTTGTGGCATTTCCGCGAGGGTTCTTGTCCATGCTGCATGCTTTAAAAGGAAGACCCTGCCTGAATCCCCAAACAAGGCCCCAAGGCTAATCGTCTTCCAAGACCAATCTTTTTTTCTCACCAGGGGCCCGGACAGCAGCGTCAGCGGGATCTGGAACCTGGCACAGGCCCCTCGACGCGAGTGCCAGGAACCCCAAATGACCCCAAACCCATTTTGCAGTGGGCTTCTGAAGATTCTCGCTTAGTCGGTGGCCCTAAACCCTTTTGCGTCTGGGCTGCTGTGACTCTGCCCCTAAACCCTAAACCCTTTTTGCAAGCAGGACTCCTCACCACTGCCTACTTCGCCCTTATCCCCCCGCAGCCCAGGACAACCACCTAAACCCTAAACCCTAAACCCTAAACCCTAAACCCTAAACCCTAAACCGCCAACCCCAAACCAACAAAAACACACAGACAGCTCTCCGCTCCCGGGGGACCCCGAGGTGCGCATGGCCCGGGGCCAGCTCGGCGAAGCGCAGCCGCAGCGCGTCCATGGTGGGCACACTGAGACAGGGGCGTGTGAGCAGCTTCTACAAGGGAGTCGGTATTCTGTATAGGGTTTAGGGTGTAGAGCGGCTGATACAAGGGCTTCTCAATTCAGCTGGCTTTGAAGGCAAGTCGGTTGAGGGGATGAGGAGTGCCCAATGCTTCCGACCGCATGAAGGTCTATCTCCAACAAGAACGAATCAAATTGCAGAACCTGGCTTGAAAGAAATCGTGTCAACCCTCGACACGAAACCCCGGACCCCCATGAAGTCCGAAACCTGGCACGGTGAACGCACCCAAGATCACCCAAGCACCCTTCCGAAATGGCGCCTGAGCTGCACGCCTGCGTGGGCAGGCATGTGCTTAGGAAAGAAAGCCCAATTGTATGGGGTTGCGGACCTTGCGGCCAACATGGCCAGCCGTCGGGCAAATGTAGGTTGCAAGGGCGCGTCTAGCCACCAGCCAGTCTCTGCTTTCGCAACAAGCTGTGAACCTCGTTCAGGCACGCTGGGCCGTACTCTCGGTTGTGACGGTTGTGATGGCAGTTGTGAAGCCTAAACCTTAGACTCCCTAGACATGCAAAAAAGGAAGCCGTGGCCCTTGATCCCCCGAAATCCGAGCACCCCGATTCGAGCTGCCCGTGCCTAATGCCGCGCCCTCACCTCATGGATCCGGGCATGACACAAGAGACTGAGCGCTTCCAAACAAAATTGGGCAACGCGAGCAGCATGCAGACCTAGAAAAGGCAATAGCAAGAACACTAACAAACCTTAACTTAGTTTTCGTGCCTTTCTCTCACCGGGGCATGTGTGTCGAGATGCCTCGAGTTACATGTACGTTTGCGTTCAGATGCAAGTTGCACAAACCTTCGCTTGAGATGCACGAAGCATTCTTGCGAGATGTTCAGTACCGAGTCGTATCTTGTTCATGTTTCCCACGAGTGTTTGGTGTCCTCAGAAGGGGATTGGGGATTGTCCAATATTTGGGGTACACATGGGCGTAACTCTGGTCTAGGAAACGCCCACGTCTTCTGCCAGGGTGGAGAAGCTCGAAGTGCCAGAAGACACATCGGCCTACATTACATATTGGGAAGCATGGACCAATAGCATAGGACCTAGAGACAACCCGACCATCCCAAGTCATAGCATAGCGAAGAAGTTGCCGAGAGACCTGCTTTGAAACGCCTTGGTCGACATGTGCCGGGGCAAGTCAAGTACAAGCAATTTCTTGGTCCAGCTCAGGATCAGCATGCCACGCGGATGGAGAGGCCGCCCGACGCGGCTTAAGAAAAGTAGCATGGGGCCAACATTGCGAGATACGGAAACCTTGCAGCGAGACAGGCTACAATAGGTCGCACCTGTGGATATCTGCGCATGATTTGCTACGCATCAACAACCGATGACTCAACACAGAGATACCATTGCATGTCTGTGTTGAGACATGTGCGCGAGAGACGAGCAAGCGGTTCGCCGTTGCGACACGTTCTGTGAGTTTTCTGTCTCCCTGTGTGGCCTTGCGCGTCCCATGCGTCCCGTGCTCTTGGCACCAGCATCTGCAGCAAGAGCGCAACGTGATCCACAAAATGCGCAGGAGCGAGATCTTGTATGAGGCTACTGAAACGTTGCGTCTCCTGGGGTGGGCCAGTGCACAGCATGCGAACAGACCGGCAAGGGGCGGCCCGGCATATCCTCCGCGGGCCACTGAGGCACAAGCGCAAGCACCCCGAGCTCAACTCAGCGGAGTTCTGGGTCCTACTCGCAAGGCAGTGCCAGCCGCGCATTGTCGAAAGCAGTCGCGCGCTGGTCTGTTGGTGGGCGGAGCCCATCTGGATGTGCAACGATTGCTGCGTGCCCCGACAGCCATGTGTCATTCCCTGAAGTTGTACCGAAAACCCCGTCTTGTTCATTGTGCATTTACTTTGTACACATCAGAGATCCACTTTTAAAAAACAGAGTTCAAAATCAACCCCCCCAGATTCGGATGTCTTGTCGGCTGAGGACGTTGCGCTTCACAGCCATCACCCGCGAAGCTTGGCTGAAGGTCCTGCATGCTGAGGTTGTACCCTAAAACCCCAAAGTGAAGGCTTTTTGTTTGCCGCCCCCAACTGCCATCAACTACCTCAAGCCTAGCCCATTATTGAGAACCACCTGAAATTTGTTTTGCAGCTGTCAGTAACTACACCCCGACTGAACTTTGAACGCTATGGAGGTAGGGATCGCACTGCTTCGGCCCATCACCTTGAAAAACACCCGGACAACACACACACACACACACAATTGCATCCATGGGTGGGGCGCCTCAGATCGCGCGTGATCCTTAGTTGCATCCACTGTGCTTTGCCAAGTCTCAAAAAGGTGCTGCCAGCCTACAGAATGTCCCCGCAAAGATGCCATAATACAGGGTTTAGGGTTTAGGGTTTGGGGTGTCTTACAACTTGGTTTTGGAGCGTTTAGGGTGCTTGAGTCTTGAAGCTTGGGGCCTAGGCTCCACAGTTGGTGCGCTCTGCTGAGACGCCTTGCAGCGTGCTAATCTACCCGAAGTTCAGGGTGCAGATGGGAGTGGCCGGCACACAGAAGATGGCCACAAGTGACAAGCACCCGGAAAGCCCAGTGTTGGTGCAAGGTCTTTGAAGCCGCGAAACCCTAAACCCTAAAACATTCTTAACACTAACCTAAACCCCAAACCTCAAACCCTAAACCCTAATCCCTGAACCTATACCCTGGGCTCGGCAGAGCGTCAGCTTGTACAACGCAGCCAGATCCACAATGTGGCGTGTGCTGACCTCCACTGGTGATGGCCACAAGGTCGGCAAGGTTTCAGAGGGGAATATGCCCTTTAACACCTAAAACCCTTTCAAAACCCGATAATCCCTGCGAACCCATAAGCCGTATGTAATTATTGTTTAACGGACCACGGACTGAACCCTCTCAAGACCCTAAACATCCGAAACCCGCCTCGTCTAGGGTGTAGGGTCCCGGGATTCTTTACCCAGGCGCTTACCTTTGGGGCCATATTTTCCCACATAGGAAAGAGATCACAATGCATTATAGCCTACACCACTGTGACTGAAGTCTTATTCGGGCATATGGAATTCTGAACCCTTTTTTGGCCCATTTCGTACTTGAGGTAGTTTTGCAGTGCAGTGAAGGTTACTCTTGCGAGGCGAGCATGGCAAGCAGCTTCGGCGCACAAATTTGCACTGCCCCGACTCTCATTCTGCTGAGTCAAGCTTGACATGCCAGCCCTGGATGAAAGAATCGTGTCCTGACCAGACACCCTGTTCCTGGTGTGCAAGTGAACTTGCCGCAACTAGCTTCTCTGCGGCTGGGCCTCTTCGTCTTCGCGCCTGCCGCCCACGCTGGCCGACCTTGCATGACGACCACCAGCGGCAGAATTCAATTGCAAGATTTCCGAGCGCTGATCTGAGCTCGAAATGTCAACTCCTTACTCTCAACCATGCGCACAGGGGTTCACCACTCCACATGGACTTCAGGTACTAAGGCTCTTAGGTTCGTCGGGCGCCTCATTGTGGCTGGGGCCCTCGACCGGGGCGAAACCGAGGTCGTCCGATTCGTCGACCTGGGTTTTCTAGGTTTGGAGCATGTTGGGGATTTATGGGTGAGGGTTTCGGGAACGATTTCCATTAAGGGGTGCTGGATGGTACCCATTGCCAGGGAAAACTGTGTTAATTTTATCAGAATATATGATTCTTTGTAATATTACCAATGAAGCCACATTAAGACGTGCTCGATAAGCATGTCGAATTCAGGACTTCCAGGGTTTTGGCCCACCTGGGGTCCGCAGGGCAAGTGGGCCAAAAAATCTCGAGGATCAGCTTAGGGTTCAGGGTTTAGGGTTTAGGGATCAGCTGCAACTCGAGCCAAACATTAGCCACCACTGCGACACAGGGCAGCCAGACTACGAGACAAGCGCAAGAGCAAAACAGCCATGAGACTACAAGAGCCAACAAAGTGCATTTTAGTCTTCCCTAGCAACTCTATGAAAGCCTAAAATAAAAACGCCCAAAGTAAATTGAGACAACCAGAGATTCGACCCCCCCAAAAAATAAAGTGTCAAAAAAAACGAAAAAGCATAAACGAATATGATAACAACAATAATAAGCCAAATCGGCCGCACCTGGGCGAGGCATTGATGCTCCGGCGTCGTCGGAGGAAAGCTTGGCGCTGGTCCTGGTGTGAGGTGGAGGATGGAATTGAAGGGAGGTAAAGGGAAGGCGGGGCGGGGGGGTGGGTTTAGGGTTTAGGGTTAGGGTTTAGGGCTTAGGGTTTAGGGCTTAGGGCTTAGGGCTTAGGGCTTAGGGTTTAGGGTTTAGGGTTTAGGGTTTAGGGTTTAGGGTTTAGGGTTTAGGGTTTGGGGTTTGGGGTTTGGGGTTTAGGGTTTAGGGTTTAGGGTGTTTACAAAGGAAAGGGCAACAGGGTCCCCCCCCTTCCACACCTAGGTGCCAGAGCGCAAGGGGGTCTTGTTGTAGAATTGGGCTTTGGGGTTTGGGGTGAGGGGTTGCAGCTGTTATCTAAACATTGTACTCAACTGCGTGCAGATTATGCCTGCACGCTACATTTTTGTGGTTTCTGGTTCAATTGCGATGGCTTTCAAAAAATGCCTTGCCCACATGTTAAGGTAGCATTTCTGACAAGTACTACAACAGTAGTGTTGTTCACAGCCAAGTAGATTCGGAGCATCGCGTTTACTGCGTGGACCGTTCGTGTTTGCAAATCTCGTGTCGAGCTTGCTTGCACCTCTCACAGGTAGGACAGGTAACACCATCGTCTTTGATTCTGAGCCATGGCACCTCTGCTGATCCTCGCAACTCAACAGGGCTTCCGGGGCCCTAAACCTCAAACACTAAACCCCAAACCCTTTGTTACGGCTGGGACTGCTGCACCAAACGCTTTTCTCCATCTTTTTTCCACCAACCCGAACCCACCTGCGCCAGTCCATTGAGCCGGGAGGTGAGGATGTCGGCCCAGGTCCTGGCTGAGAACGAGTGCTCGGACTTCCGTTGCTTCTAAGAGTCGTCTGGTGCATTGCTACGACCATGTGGCCATCTGCATCTCTACTGCTTGCCATGAAAATGCACACACACACACATTGGAGGAGTTGGCCATCTGAAGATCTGCTTCGGCCCCGTAGATGAAGCTGCAGGCCGGCAATCCTGCGTGCGAAGGCAATGGCCTCGGCGCGAAGCGATGGGTTATACCACATCCCAACTGACTCCTCTCAGTCCCCTGCCCGAAACCAAAGTTAGGATGGAGTTGGAATGGTTGTGTTTTTTTCCGCGCAGCCAGTCTGCAAGCCTGAAATAGATGCCAGCCATGCCAAACGCAAAAGGCCTGCCGTCAACAATCGGGCCGGTAATGCCCACAGGCCTAGACAGGAATATCCCGCAAGAAGCCATCACCAACCATCCTTTAAGGTACACCTGGCAGTCTACAGCCACTGTCTGCATCCCAAGCGGATGCTAAACCATGGTGGAAGATGCATCCACGAGAGGTGATGCTCTAAATGCGCGCATCAGTTGATCACCATGCTCTCAATCTTCTCCAAATGGAAACTCCCTCGTCGTAGGACCTCCTGTCAGGAAGCCCAAGGCCGGAAGCAAGCGTGGAATTTTTGTGTTGCAGCTCTTAGTTGCTGAGCTCATAAGCCCCCAAAAAGTGTTGTGCACTTTTAGTTTTGTAGAGATTATAGTATCCCAAAAAGTGTAAAGAGTACTCACTCAGCTACAAAGCAACCCTGCCATGGCTGCCGACACCTTGCCCCCCCACTCTGCAAAATAGGTGCCGGAAATGTGGCAGGCAGCTCCCCCCACCCCGGACAATTTCGAGGGGATCCTCCCAAAACGAAAGGTTAACCTTTGATGTACCGGCGCCGCAACAAGCACCCGCCGATTTCTAAGCGCATACTCATTCGCTAATGACATGCTAGGCCTCTGTTGACTTCGCTAGGTCATTAATCCGGGATGAAGCACTAAAGATGTAAGGAGCAAACGCAATAACGCACAAGGTTCGACCAGCCCTCAACCTCAAGATGTCAAGCAACAAAACCCAAAAGCTTGCATGCGGGCGTCCTTGGCACGATCGCCCTGTCCTGAGGTTTCAAGGCTCAAGCGGGTTGAGGGTTTGGCTGAGCCCCCAGTGAATTCCACCTACTGTTGCGAGCCGGGAAAGGGGGGGGTGGGGGAGCCTGGTTGTACGTCACACGTCTGCATTTGTAAGCTTTGGCGTTGCATGCAGTTACTGTAGCGGAAACAGGTCCGCACGGCACGTTGAGATTGCTAGAGCTGCTAAGGTTTCAGGTGCTGGGAGACTGCCGACACCTTCAGCGCAAGTCACACGCAAGCATCCAGCAAGTGGATTGATTCTGGTTTGCTGCATGGTTGATAGAAAATGACAAGGCCTGTTGCCTCTCCCTCGTTTTCCTCTTTTCTGTTGCAGGGCTTTTGGTCTGTATGCTGCGTAGCACTCGCGGGACTTGCGCGTGCTCGCTTTCGCATTGTTCTTGCTTCCGGGCTCGGGTCAACCAGCCCGTTCTCTCTTGTTTTCGCTTGCCACCTCTCTTTGTTTTACTCGGGGCATTATTGGGTTTGCTGCCTTCCTCCAGCAGCAACAGTCCAAGGGATCCTTCAGATCGACAGTCTCTGAAAAGTGTGGGAGCTCTGAACATGTCCTGCTCCATGAGTCTTCCGCTCTTCAACTGCTCCGCAGTTCCGCTCCCTCCGCTGTCGCGGGCAGCTCGCCGCTCAAAAAACTGTGGTGGACATGCAGCCTGCCGACACAGGGCACGTTCTCGAGCCTAGATTGCGTGGTTGGGCTCGTAGCTGTCGTAGCTGTGCAACTTTCCTTGCAGTGCGTCCCCTGTGAGCACAGCACAAAGTCCCTAAACACAGGACTTCATTTCGAAAAGGGGGGGGAGGGGAGGTGGCCTTCACTGCAGGCACCGCAAGAAGTGAGGAGGGCCGCAGGGCCATGGCGTGCCGCAAAGCGACAAAATCAAAAACCACCCTTATTCCCAAAGGGATCCTACACCGGAATGTCAGACGCTTCCTTTACGTCCAGGCTCGATCCATGGCCCGAGTCCGCTCTTCCAGGAAAGGCGCCTTCCAGTCGTCGTAGATCTGAAGGGGGGGGGGGGGGGGGGGGGGGGGGGGGGGGCGGAGTGGTTTAGGGTTTCTGATGCAGGGGTGTTGAACCACATGATGTAGGGTTCCTGTCATGATGTTATTCAGGGTCTGGGGCACTGTAGGGCCCAATTTCCTGGATGTACGAGTGGTCGGTTTTGTTCAGGGCTTTCCGACCCCGAGATGCTCCTCTCAGGGCATGTCTCGGCCTTGCGCAGCTCTTCTACGTAGCGGGCGTGAAGCTCATCTATCTGCTCCTGGCCGAGTCTTGGAATTAATTATAGACCCTTTACGTCGACTTTGCGGTCATGTAGCCCACATGCTCAAGGAGCCTGAGCCTCACGTGGCACTGCAACCCTCATGTGATCTCATGGGTTGCAGTGGACCACCACACAACCACGCCTCAGAAAGTTGTGCACTTACTTTCTGAAGGGCAGAGAAGGGCAGAAGCCCCCTGCAGAGTCTGAGCCAAGCCCTGCAGCCTGAAAGCCTTCTGGGGTTCATCAAACACAGGGTTTAGGGTTCAGGAGTTTAGGGTTCAGGGTGTTCACGATTGAAGCGCTTAGGGTTTCTTTGCGTTCTGGTCGTGCTCATGCCTGTCAAGAAGAATGACTTCGCTCTTTGGCGTTGCAAGGGACGATGTACATTGTACATCATTCTGGGTCCTTGACCGGGAGTCAGGCCTGTAGTACGCACTGGAGGCCTTGAGACCCGAGGGGGGGTCCTCCCAGAAGGCCTTCTGAGACCCTCAGCCCCAAGTTATTTCCGTGGTTGCCTATGTGACTGACAGCTCCGTCGCCAGCTGGAGGGCTTCTGGCTCCGGAGCTCCCTCGCCTGCGTGCGTTCGCCCTGCTCGACGGCGCCGGGCTCACTCAGTTTAGGGCTACGAAGGGTATGGCTCAAACTGCAGGGTGCCTGTGTCGGCTTGGGCACGGGAGCGTCCACGTGGATAGGCCTGCCCACCACGGACTGAACCTGGGCGTCACCAGGATTTCTTGGTGTGAGAATGCCTTGAAATCGAGGAGGGGATGGGGCGGGGCTTGTTCTTGAGTAGGGCTTCAATATCACAGAACCCTCTATGAAGCTGATTGGCCCTTAAATCCATCCGAAATCCACGTCGCCGCAAGGCTCAAAAACTCAATGCCTGGACCTCCGGTACACTCCCTGCTTTTCGGGACGCCGCCTCAAGACAATGAACGCAAAGATACCTACCTGAAGAACCCTAAGCCTACTTTTTGTGTAGGCTACCCAAGAATCCTATGTAAGAGATGTTAGCATATAAGAACATACCACAAAAACAGGTAGGTTTTGGGTTCTTGGGGTCACCAACCACACCACTTCGAAGTCCAAACGGCCGGCATCCGCAACGGCATCACGCCCCGGTTCATGCCGAATACACGGTGGAGTACACCGCCTCTGCCATACGTGGGAGGGAAAACTGACCCCTTTGGGAGTCCGCATGTAGTCTCTGTGCAGTTGCATTGCCAAAAAGAGCCTTTGGATACACTTCTATACGTATCAGGAGCACTTGTGCTCTGTTATGAGTCTACAAGCGGCGAAGGAATGTTTAGGACCTGCATGCATCTTCAATGGGATCGCAGCACGTTCTGTCTGCAAGGCCAACTTGCGCCGTTGCCCCATAACCCAAAACCTCCACAATCCCCCCACCCCCCCCCCCCCCCCCCCCCAACCGGCCAAACTCCAAACTGCACAGCCTGTCAGAGCTCGCCCAAAGAAGAAGGGTATGCCGAAGCCTCGATGCAGGGGCTTCTTGAAATGCTCTAAGGGCTTTCGAGGTTGAGAGCTGTAGGCTCTTGGGCTCCGCGGCTTAAGGTGGACTGTGTAGGACCCTTGCCGTGGGCTGCACAGGTAAGGGCACTGAGTGCTCTGAGTGCGCAACCCAGCTGCTTCTGCAGCCAGAGCTGGAGCCTGGGGCAACGTTGAAACAATGGACCCTGGGACGAGCACATCACAACTATGTCGAGGATCCTCATTGGCGCGGTCGGGTACCCCCAAAGGCAGCCATACGCACTATTCCTCATCCAGAGCATTTGAACGCTGCTCCGCCGAGTGTGACACGAAGTGAGCCACAATCCAATTTATTGACTATGAGCTGCATTTATTCTTCCAAATCTTGGTATCATCCTTCTACGGCAACCACTTTAGCAAGTCGTCTACCCCTTTTGTTCCATAATTGTAGGTTGGGGTGCGAAACTCCGCTCCTCACCCCCCACTTCCACGTCTGCTCCGCCTGCGAAATCGGTTGGAGGCGTAGACGCCGAAGAGGTCCGTCTCACCAAAGGAGTAAACCTCGGAGGAGGCACATCGAAGCGCCCCTTTCAACCCTAAGCCCTAAACCCTAAACGCTGAGAACATGGTGCTCTCAAAGGAAAGCTCTTGTCGGGCAAGATTGGGGCTTAGAGGGAGCGATTCCAAAGGCTTCTCTAGGGCCCCTGAAGACTTTAAAACGGCTTCTCGTTTCGGGTTTGGGGTGTAGGGCGATTAGGGACTTGGGTTCCCCTTGTTTACAAAAATCCCCCTGTGACATTTTATCTGCCTGGCATGTCTTATCATTTTGGTGCTCCCTTTGTTAACAGTTAACAGGGATCTTCCCCCAAGAAATCTAAATTCTGGGCTTTATTTACGTCGAAACAAGTCTTTTCTGTTAGTGTAGCAAGCAGAGGGGACTTGTTTGTGTGCCACCTGTTCAGCACAGGGTTTTAGGCACAGAGGGCAGGAAAGGGCGTTTCAAGGGGCTCTCGGGTGTATCTCCCGCAAGAAGATTTTGGGGGAGTTGCGATAATAAGGGGACCCGAATATACTCTGGTACTAGTAGGATTCCCTGCAAAAAAAATATGGACCCTATAATGAGGTACCCCTAGTTTCGGAAGTTCCTTTACCGCCAGAGGGCGGGGACCAAGGAAGCCCCACGCTGCAGAGCCAGCTTCACGAAGCCCTGGGGACTCCAGGAAGGCTCATGGATTCAGAGTTCCCCCTTCTCCTAGCAGGTTCCTTCATCGGGATGCTAGTAGGCTTTAGGGTTTAGGGTTTAGGTTTTAGGGTTTTAGGGTTTAGGGTTTAGGGTTTAGGGGGCACGAGAATCCCCACTCAGGACTCTTCGTACAAGGGGGAACATCCCAAGGTCATGGGGTCTTACGGGCTGATGGGGTGCAGGGCAGAGGGACACAGGTCTTCCAGGGACTTGCAAGGATCACAAGGGGCAGAAGGTTGAGGCTTTGAAGAACTCACTGTCAGCTTACCAGGGAAGGGTGGCACACGCCCCCCCCTTCCCTTGTGCTTGGGCCCGCTCGTGCCCAAAGTACAAACCCCCCGTGAACTTACAAAGACAAAAGGGATTAAGGGTTTAGGGCGGCAAAGGGAACATCCAGAACATGAGCGTGATTCTAGCCGTACTACGTATATCCAAAATACATACATACATACAAGAGTCCTGGATCATGAGGCTCCGCAAGGGCATTTTCTGGCCTTCCGGTTGCCCAAGATGAGCTTGTTCGTGCCCGGCGCCGTCTCCAGCGACTCACGAGCACCTTTTGCAAGAGGACCCTGGGCGCCTCGTTCCGAACGCATCCCTTCCTTCTTGGGCTGCTTGCGGGGTCCTCGTGTTAAGCCCAGATCCCAGCTTTGCAAAAAAAAAACGTCGTTGCCTCATTTCCATGTCGGGCAACAGGTCTGTTTTGTTCAGTCCCAGGGGCTTCTTCCGCCGACCCCTGATGCCCCATGCTTTGTTGTATCTACGGTACCGAGCTCCCTCATTCCCGACTAAGAGCCAGTAAGCTGAACCCTGTACCACGCGCACTGTGCGCTCAGCGCCGTCGCATTCCCAGGACCCCTCAGTCCCCCAAACCCTGCATGGTAAACCACATACATGTAAACGCCCCCCCCCCCAAACACCCCCCCCAAAAGCCAACCGTCTCGCACGAGAACCCGGAGCGCGCCTCCAATGACGATCATGACAGACGCCCCCGGCCCTCGCGCGAGATTGCCTCTTGGGGCTGCTCTTTTGGGACCGGCCGGCATAGCGAGGGAATCTGAATCCGGCTCTAGAAGCAAGCTTAGGGAGGGGGGGGGGGCCGCACGTGAGGACGAACGTTAGACGCTCGGACCTCATTGCGCAATGGCGCTCAGAACAGTTGACATAATAGAAGGTTCCGATGGGCTGGCTGCGACAGACCAATGGCACCGAAAAGCAATCGACAGAGCCCCGTCTTGAGAATTCCGGAATTACTCCTGAGATCTCTAGCAGATTGCCAAACTAGCTTGCATGGTATATAAGATAGCCTATGTGTGTACATATTCATGATATGAAAGGATACCATACGCCATACGATGTGAGATGAGACTTAAGTTGCAGGCATGACAACTCCCATCTTGTCGAACCGGCCTTCGATCGACTTACGGCTGACATCGTTCACCTTGGCTGCGTGATATAGATACACACACGTACGTATGTATATGTATGTATATACGTAGATGTATATATATATATACACATAAGATCTTCCATTTCAGACCGGAAATGGGCATTCTGAAGCTATGGCCTCATATCCTTTGGACCGACACATGCTGGGTAACAGCAGCGATGACGTCTTGCAAACCTTCACTGCAGTTTTTGACCCAGTGACTTTCATGCGCTAAGCTGGGGCTCTTGATGCAAGACCAGCCGCACCTATGCCCAGCAGATACTCGCGGAACACCGGTATCCTCATGTCAATTGAGGGGGCACTTGGAGGTTTCAGGGCGCTCATAACCCCAGCTATAGCTGTACTTAAAAACCCCCTAAGTCCCCTCACTAAATGAACCTCCACGTATTTGAACATCTGCCAAGTGGATCTTTTGGGGGGAACATCGCCCCTGTGACCCCGTTATACTGTCTTGGGCTTAGGGGGTTTGTGCTTGAGGGATCACATCACCCTAGACCCTAAACCCTAAACCTTATAAACCCTGAACCCTAAACCGCGATCTCCACTGCCAGGTTCCGCCAACCCTTGTGAACCCCGGTCTTGATTCAGCTCACTTTAAGATGTGTCCCTTCGAGTACTACCCTCAAACCTCAACCCTGAGCCCTGTACTGGTCTACATGAATCCGAGTCCTTCCCTGAGCCCATGAACCCGGAACCCCTCTTGAGGCATGGACTTCAGCCCCTACCCCTAAACCCCCCCTAAACCCTAAACCCTAAACCCTTACCCCTAAACCTAAACTGTCCGGAAATCTTTCCAACAACTCGGCCTGAAGTTCAGGCCCAGCGTGAGGAGGCGGAGGCTGAGTCCGGGGAAGAGCGCAGAGAAGCCCGTCGCCTCTTCAGGGCTTCCTAGTTGTCCCGTAACCTGGGGGAATTAAAGGTTTACCCTTGGGATTCTATTGGGATTCGAATACCCAAAAAGGTTCAAGGTTGCCGAGTCTACTACTGAGGTTTTTAGGGCTTCGACTGCCAGCTAGCAGAGGCCGGCGAGGCTCGGGGTTTCGAGTCCATTTAGGGTTTAGGTTCGTTCTTGGGGTTTAGGGTTTAGGGTTTAGGGTCTAGGGTTTAGGGTCTAGGGTCTAGGGTCTAGGGTCTAGGGTCTAGGGTTTAGGGTTTAGGGTTTAGGGTTTAGGGTTTAGGGTTTAGGGTTAGGGTTTAGGGTTTAGGGTTTAGGGTTTAGGGCTTAGGGTACCCCCAAACACCCTAACCAAGCAGAACTCAGAAGATCGTGGAGCACAGCATGATTGCCGGATGGACTGGTATTAAGTAGACACAGAGCACAGGGTCTATTGAGCCTATGGTAGAGCCTATTGAGTGGGATGTTTCCCCCTTATACTAACAGTCCTTCATAGGGATTCTACTAGGGGGTCCTATAATCCCTATTAAGGACTGTTAGTGTAGGGGGGGACATACCAACCTATAGAGTGCAAAAAGCTTCTGGAACTGCCTCGGTGGTGAAGTTACACAGGGCCCCCATGCTGATCACCTCAGCCGGGCTTTGGAGGCTCAGGGGTTTTTGGAGGGTTTTTTGAAAGGTGCTTTGAGGAGTCTTTTTTTGATGAGGGATCCGTTTGAGGGCTCCGGGTTTATGAAGTTAGGACGGAGCCTTGGAGGGGTTGCAACACAAGCTCTGTCATGCAATCCTCAACCCTCCCCCTCCCGTGGCCGTCACGCCACGCCGTGCGGATGATAGCCGAAGATGTAGTTCCGCTTCCTGCAGCAGCGCAGCACTGCAGCTGCACTTGAAATCCACAAAAGCCGACTCACTACAAGTTGGGCTTCAGAAAGCCATAAAATCTGCTTGAGCCCTCAACAGCTGCCCAGTGTCGGATCAAGCTTGGCGGTGCGTGTCAGGGACATGGGGAAGTAGGCCTCCGGGGCTCGCGGACGTTCTTCCGCCCTACTTCCGGTAAAACACGGTGGGCGCTTTTTGTTTTTCGGGACCACGGGGTGCAGTGCTAGGAAGAACATGTACCTACCCAAAGAAGATTGTATCTAAATTATGTGAGGAATCCACATGCATGTTTCATACACGTACGCACATGTTATATATATATATATATATACACACATACATATTTTCCGTTGTTCATTGACACGTATCTACTTGTACTACCAATATTTGTACACGTATGCAAATCTACGCGCGTGAAGGTTCAGATTGGATTCGCGAAGAGGTCTGCGAGGCGAAGCCCGCTTGCCAAACACTACTGCGAAGGTGCAAAGCGCGCTCGGTGGTGTTGACATGAAACTTACAGAGAAAAAGACGTTGATCAGGGAAGACAAAGGGCCCCTGATTATTCCCCTCTGGGTGTTTCTGGAGTCTGGGGCCGAACCTCACCATCGTCTATGGGACATGTCAGGTGAGTGCCACTTCTTCACTAGACCAGCTCTTGTGGTTTGAGCATGGCCCCTAAACCCTAAACCCTAAACCCTAAACCCTAAACCCTAAACCCTAAACCCTAAACCCTAAGCCCTTGGCTGCTTGAGCGCTGCCAAGGGGCCGCGAAGTGCCTCCAGAAGTTGCGCTGGCGGAGGGACGGAAGAAAACGGCCGCCTGGTCGGGCTCATGTTTTGGATGTTTTGGTTTAGGGTGTAGGGTTGAGGGTTTGTATGGGTTATAGCATTCCGCGAGCACTTCCGGGCCTGGATGGAACCCTTCCTGGGCCTTGGAGGGATTGGTTGGGGGAAGCAAAGTTGGGTGAAAGGGTGGCAAATCCCTCGTTTCTTGAAGCAATGAAGGGGGGGGGGGGGGGGAAGTTCGTATGTAGTCCTACTTCGTCGTGGATGAGGGGAACTCTTTGGCCAGTTTTGGCCTCTCAGCGGCGCGGTGTCCGCCAGCATGTACCAGGCCACATACAGGCCTAGGGCAGCGTTTCGACGGATTTTCGACTCATTTCGACACTTTATGGGCTTTGAAGCTAAAGCTGCATTCGGCTGGAGGTGTAGGGCTTCAATACTCGCAGGCTGGACATTGCACTGTCTTGGTTGTGTGAAGTTCGAGGCACCTGCATCCCATGCAGGGCCGGGGATCCACAAGCTAAACCATAATCTAGTCCCCAAACAACACCCTGCTTGCCTTGCAGAGCCTAACGCCCTCAAACCCTTAAGCCTAATTCCCAACAAGCCCCTTCGGACGCTGTCTCATTCAAGACCCGGCGGCCGAACAGCGTGCGGCCCACCTGCAAGCTCTGTGCTGGAGGACTTAGTGTTCAGAACCCCGGCCCCATGGACTTGCAACGCCATGCCACCCTGCCACCAAGAGCCCCACCCGCAAAAGCAGGCTGCGTGCGGCTGCTTCCATGCGACATCCCAAACCCACTGTCGATTGACATGCCACCCCCACGTCGAGAAGCGTCCCCTCATTTACATACTGGCACCTGCCCGGGCAGAGTCGCCAAGGAACGACCCAGACTACGAACTGCTTCCGCATGGCGACCCGCGGGGCAGGTCGCGCAGGGCTTAAAATATGATTACTCTAAGCAGGGCATTAGGGCTCCATGCAGAGCCTGCGCATTCTTCCTCGCTCCCCCTTAGCAAAGAAACCTCGATGTTGAGGGACAACATACACCCCTTAACAAGCGCCAGGCGCCTGCCCGCCGCGCTTCAGGCACCAAAGAGGCAGAAGTCCGGAGCTCAGAACCTAGGTTGCAGAAGTCTGAATTCCGTCGACTGGGCCGCCGCACGTGGCTGCACGTGGAAACATCCCTCACCGGACATGAACCGCCCCTGTGCGGCTGGAAGGCGAAGAAATAGATAGAGATCATGGACCGCACCTGCCGGCGAAGAAGCGGCTTCCACTTTGACAGCTCCTGAGGCTGCACATGGGCTTGGGCTGAAAGGCTCCGACCTCATATCGCTCTGCAGGGGACCAGCCCAGCCGCAGCGGCGAGATCCTGGGCTGCATTGCATGACCCAAGCAGGTTTCGGGTGCAAGGTTCAAACGCCCGCTTCAATACTGAATTGGCGGCTGCGGGAGCTTTGCCTTCATTGACTTCCTGCCCCTAAACCCTAAACCCTAAACCCTAAACCCTAAACCCTAAACCCTAAATTTAAACCCTAAAGCCTCCCACGGTTTTCAGGGTGTTTAGACTTTGGGGTCCCAGGGTTTGGGGCAGGGGCGATGACTTGACTGAAGTCTATGGCTTGAGAGTGAGGGATAAGAGTTCCTTTGCGCCCTTCGGATCCCCTTTGTTTTTGTGGTATCCTCCGGTCGGAAGAACCCACGCTGCGAGGCGCAGGAGCGCGACGTAGGCGGCGAGGGGATAGACAGGGCGGCCGAGGAGGTCACACCACCTGGGTCCCCAAGATGGCGGGGGACCCCCCGTTTAGACCCCAAACAGAATAGGAGCCCCTTCAAGGGCACGGAAGATGTGAATGAACCTCAGGAGGAGTCCCACAGACTCAACCCTACAGTCCGGGGGTTGGGGCCTTTCGGTGCAAGGCTTCGGAGTCCGAGGATCTTGAGGAGGTGAGGGCTTGCGGGGCTTTTTGGCTAGGCGTCAAGGGCTGCCCTACAGGTTGATGTCATGGGAGTTAGGCTTTTGTTCAAGGGTTGAAGCCTTGGGAACCCCTAAACATCCCAACAAAAGGTCACCATTCTTCTTTGCGGCCAGGTCACATGTACATTAACACGGCAGCGATGCTGTTGAACTGGGCAGGGCGAAGAGTAGGGCACCCTGCATAGGGGACAAACACAATCCCCAAAAGCCATCTGAAGGGGGCATTCCCGGAATGTCTCAGAGGCTTTTGGGCCCCCTTTATTGCAGTCGGACACAAAGCGACACCTGCCAAGAAAACCCACACACTTAGCACTGCTGGCTGGAGATCCCGGACTCTAGCAACGACAGTCTGCAGAACATCTTCAAAAAGCCCAACGTTACCTTGACATAAGTCTAGTCATAATGAACCAAGTTGGAGATTGTATCAGACACAAGGAGTCACAGACAAGAGAAACATAGCGATAATGGCGGAAAATGCTACCCTCAGCCCTCGCTGGAGGGCGATCGGGTTTCGCAGTTTCGGGAACCCAAAAGCCTCAACCCCTGACCCTGAACCTCGAAGTATGCCTTGGGACCCGTATGTCCCCCCACTGCCCCCCAGTTGAGACGAGAGGCCCGTCTAGGCTCTGACAGACGAAATATAGCAGAAGGGTACAATCTTCACTGAAGATTTGGGGGGAAGCTCACCGTTCAAAGCCTTCTCCTTAAACCGTGTAAACTATTGGCTTAAGAACCCCCCCCCAAAAAAAAAAAAAAAAAAACGAAAATCCCTTTATTGCCCTTTAAGGAGGATTTTTTGGGGGGTTCTTCAAAGCACCTAGTCGTTAACACACCCTCAACTCCACGAGAAGGTCGGGCCCCAGGGGCCACCAGCTTCGGCAGCGTAAGCTGCGGGTCATCCGCCAGCTTCTCGGCGGTTCGAGTCTCCACCTGACATGTACGTGCTCCAATGAGTCTCTATATGAGTCTCATAGGGAGTCTCATAGGGTTTTAGGATGTTTTAGGTCAGGGGCTGGAAGAGCTTCTTGGAGCTGCTTCACGGCGGGTGCCAAGTGTCGCCTAGAGCTCGTTAAGGAGTCACGTGCAACTTCCCATGTGCCAGGGTCAGACGCCTGAACCGTAGATCTTAGCCATGTATGGCTCAACGACTTAGAATCCGTGCTTCTGCGCCGTTGTAAGACCCCGGAGTTCGTCTTCGGGCCGTCGGACCCCTCTGGAACCTCTCGGCTCCGCCATACGCATTTCTACCGCCCACGACGCCTGGTCCCGCGAAAAGTCTGGCCAAGGCCGAGCCGCTTGCCCGTGCTTCCTCTCAGCCGTAGATCTTGATGATCTGTGAGACTTCACCTTTGCACATGGGACATTTTCTGGCCGATCTTGAGTCTTCGGCACACGCGGTACAAACACACCGGTGGCCGCACGGGACGAAAGCGTGACTCCTGGGCTCGGCAAGGCAGATGACACAAAGCTGCTCGTCGTTCTCGTCTCGGCGTCGCTGCTCTTTTTGAGACTCCCGGTTCTCATGGCTGCCCAGCTCCTCGTTGGTCTGCGGATTCTGAGGAGTGGCATCTGCAGCAGAAGAAGTCCCCCGTCCCCTTGGCAAGGGTCGCTGAGAAGAGGGCTGCTGCGAACTCGACACGCGTGCCAAGCCCTGCCTCCTTGAAGTTCCTGCACCGCTTTGTCCCGTAGCAGCTGTCCCTGTGTCAGTGTCTCCTGAGTAGCCCAGTAACCATATCATCCGCCGACCCCTGCTTTAGTGGGGGAGGCGTCAGTGAAGACCCACTTACCCCCATGCCGCATGCCCAAACCCCCCCGCCCTCACCCCTTGCCCTCGACCTCACCCTTACCCTTTTAGGGGCGCCCCCTCCCCCCTAACCTTTTACTTGGAAATAGTGCCCCCCCCACCCACCCCGCCCACCACTCCGCCCACCCCGCCCACCCCCCCCCTGGCCCCCGCCCCCGCCCCACCCCCCCCCACCCCCGCCGCCCCTTACCCCCCACCTCACCCCTACCCCTAACCTTTTACCCTCCCCCCCCCCCCCCCCGACCCCCCCAGCCCCGCCCACCCCCCACCGCCCACCCCCCCCGCCCGCCCTCACCCCTTCACCTCTGCCCCCAACCTTTTACCTGCAAATGAAGTGTTTTAGGGGTGCCCACGCCGCTGCCCTCGCTGCCCACCTCACCCTTGCCCAACATTTTACTTGGAAATGAAGTGTTTTGGGGGCTCCAGTGCATGCCCGGACTCCCGCCACTGCCCCCCCCCTAAATCGGGCAGCGCGAGGTCCCCAAGGACCGAGCATTGGCGGACCTTTTAACCGGGTCGTCCCGGGAATAGCCTTGCTAGCCTGCGGCCTTCTGCGAAGCAGAATTGGGCCGGACGCCAGTGCCGCCGACCCCCGAGTGCCGCGGGTGAACGGTTTTTTTTTCGTGTTTTTTGCGTCGCCACGGAGGCCCCAGAGGGCGCGCATCATGAGCATCAGCGGGTCCAGCCCGAGACCCCCAGGCGCGCGTCAGGAGCATCAGGCGGCTCTTGGGGCGGGACCCCGGGGGCGCATCAGGAGCATGATGCCCCCCAAAGGGCGGGCATAAGCGACGTGTCTCAGCCCGGGGCTAGGAAAAAGGGAGCTTAGGGGCCTTGTAAAGTGCTTAGAAACTTTAAGGGAGTCTAGGAGCCTCAAACGCTTAGAGATTTGAAGGGAGTTTAGGGGCCTGAAAATGCTTAGAAACATTAAGGGAGGTCAGGAGCCTCAAACGCTTAGAGATTTTAAGGGAGTTTAGGGGCCTCAAAATGCTTAGAACAGAAACTTCAAGGGAGTTTAGGAGCCTCCAACGCTTAGAGAAACCCCAACCCTGTGACGGATCTGCTCGCCCCGCGCTTCTGCCTGCGCTGCCCGCCCATGGGCGCAGCCCCTTAAAATCCGGCCCCCGCGCCGCCCATGGTCCAGGGCGGAGCCCGCGTCGCACTAAAGCACTAGCTTTAAGGGGCGAGCGCCCGAGCCGCCGACCCCGCCCAAAATTGCTTCAAATTCGCGCGGGGCCCTTCGGGAGGCCTCCAAAACGGCATCCAAGGGGACGCAACACGCGGTGGTGCGAAAAGCACGAAAACCTCGTAAAAACCATGGGTTTTTACGAAAAACCGAGGCCACAAAACACCCGCAGCACCCCATTAAACCCTCACGGGCGCGCATCATCGGCCCTAGCTTTTCACATGGGGCGCGCGCCAGGCCGAAACCACGTTTTTCAAGGTTTGGGGGGGGTACCGGAAGCCCAAAACCAGGCGAGCATCATGAGCATCAGCAGCCCTGGCCCGCGGGCCCAAGGCAATAAAAAACGCTGAAAAACGCTGAAATCACCGTAAATACCGTGTTTTTATGAGGTTTTTCACGCGTGCCTCCGACCCCCACCCCTGTTGCCCTTGACCCGCCCCCAAAGTGCGCATCATCGAAACCCACGTCCGGGGGGGGGTCTGCTGATGCTGCTGATGCGCGGGGGTCCGGGCGCATCATCGAGCCATCGCTTCTCATGGGCTTCGTGGGCCTCCGGGGCCGACGGCCCAGAGACCCAGCTGATGCTCATGATGCTCGGTTTGGGGGGGTGTTCCAACAGCAGAAAACCTCGTAAATACCGAGTGTTTTGTGGGTCCACGTAAAAACGCCCCTAAAATCGCTCATTTTACGCGCTCGAACGGCTTCGTGCCTACAAAACACCCGAACAGCAGGACCCCGAGTGCGCTTAAGGGCATTCGGGGTCTTGCTTTTGGGGGTTTGGTGGGCACGCAAGCGTTCCAGGAGGTTTCGGATGGCCTGGGGGAGGCCGCTGATGCTCATGATGCTCTCTCTTCCTCGGTTCCAAAAGGCTTCCCAAGCTCAAAAACACGTGTTTACAGCGTTTTCTGAAGGTTTTTCGAAGGCAAAACTCATGCTTAGAATGTCTTTTGGGCTCCCAAACCAACCCCAATGATGCTCCTGATGCGGGTGCGCGCGCGCGCGCGGGCGGGGGGGGGGGGGGGGGGGGGGGGGGGGGGGGGGGGGGGGGGGGGAAGGGGAAGAGCGAGAGGGAGGGAGAGGGAGAGAGAGAGAGAGAGAGAGAGAGAGTGAGAGCGAGAGGGAGAGAGCGAGAGCGAGCGAGACAGAGAGAGAGAGAGAGGGAAAGAGGGACACAGGGAGAAAGAGGCAAAGGGAGAAAGGGAGAAAGAGTGGGAGCAAGAAAGAAAGCGAGAAACGAGAAAGGGAGCAATACATTGAATTGAAATGGAAACGGACAAAAAGAAAAGGAGACACCAACATAGACAGAAGGAGAGAGATGGTGAGAGAGGAGAGAGGGGGGGGTGACAGACAGGGCAGCGGAATAAAGACGGAGCAGAAAAACAAAAACAAAACGATGCCCACTTCGAGGTTTCCTGTTTTGCGGGGCGGGGGCCGGCCCGTGCCGCTAGGCCTAAAATGATAAGGGCACCCTTTTCTTGGTTGGTTAATTGATAAGGGAACCTTGAACCCCCCAAAAAAAAAGGGAAAAGGGTACCACTGGGCTAATAAGTCTCTGTAGCCTTCCATGTCCTCTGGTGACGGGTCGAGGTGCCCTGACGGACGTTCTAGACATGGCTCGTTCGATCGGTTCTGGGATTGTCCGCAATGCGCGCAGGAGGTCCTGATCCTGCCAGACATGTCCATCCTTTGACTCCACATGTGGCCCTGCCTTGGAACACATGGCTCGTTCGATCGAAATTGCGACTTGCCACATTGCGCGCAGAAGATCTTGATGCTGCCAAAGTCCATCCTTTGAGTCCACATGTGTCCGTTACATCCCGGTGTTGCAACGCTACGCCCCGAAAGAAGGCCAAGAAAATCGGCCATGGCCACGCACAGGCCGGATGTCTGCACAAAAGAAGTTTCCTGATCCCAGGATGCAGCTACGGCAGCTACGGGGTCTCGGTGGCGGTTCTCCCCCCATGACTTCTGCAGGGCATCTACCTGGATAGCTTATGGTTCATGTCTCTGCTGAAAGTGAAGACCTCACAATACCCTGCATGTTGCCCAGTGCACCTCATCACCAGATGCGCAGGGTTTGTCTGGCTGCTCCTGAAAGGCCACCGGAATCACGAAATCACCGCTGCTACAGCGCAATTTTGCGAACAAACCTCCACCATCACCGGCCTAAGCCCCTTCCTTGCGACAGCCCCCAGACACCCCAAGAACCTTGGCTGTGCTGGGAGTTGTGAGCTTAGACTCCTTGCTGGTGGACTCCGCCATAGCTGCTCCCGCCTCCCCACAGAAGTCGGTTTAAGAAAACAGCGGTGGATTGACCGAGCACACGCTGGACAAGTGCCTTCTGTGGGCCTGTGCCGGAACTCCAGCTGAAGGCGCCGCAATCGCAAGTTGCTTGCTTGCTTCAGGACGTAAGGGAGGCTGCCTGTTCTGATAACGTGTTGTGTTGAAGGCCTTCCTGACAGCCTTGGGTGTGCTATGGTGTGTTGTGAGCATTTAGTAGGCATCTCTTTCAAGCGCTGCATGTGTTGAAGCCTCCAACCTTTGTCAGGCTCCTTGCTGCACGTACTACTGCGCAGATGCCTGTTTCAGGTCCCGTGGCTGCGGCTGTGGTCGGAACTTGCTCCCTGTTTTCGCATCCTGACCTGTGGGACTGCCCTGAGAAATCTGCAACCGACATCCACCAACCCTGAGAAGAGCCTCTTGACCCTCCCAAGTGATGAATCGCTGATCTCACCCGCAGCTGAAAGCTCCAATTAAGCCGAATCCACAACCCTGCTTGCAGGGCTTAGGGTGTCACAATGTGTCACCCTAAACAAAACCCCATCTACCCCTCAGCCCTCAACCAATGCACTTGCTTCTGTTGTTGGGGAGAAATTAGCTTGTCATTCAGGGACTTGGCAAAGAAGTGAGCTGGACCTGACCCAAATCCTAACCCTGAACTCTTTCTTTCTCAGATCTGGACTGCGTCCGTTGGCGTGACTTCCTCCAGGTCGCCTCAATCTTCACATCAGGCGCTACATTGGCGAAGCATCCCTGGCAGCACTTAACCCTCCCAATCGAGAATCATGCCCCGCGCCTCCTCGGACGCGCACCGCTCTGAGTCGATGGTAGGCAAAGGCCTGCGGGCAACGCCGCCCGGGCCCCGGCTGAAAATCTTGCAAGGAATTCCTAAACCCTAAACCCCAAACCCGAAACGCTAAACCCCCAACGTGTACTCTTCCGGTTCTAGGAGGGCATTCCCCCCGAGTCCCTGAGCGCTTGCCTTGACTTTGTCCCTCCAGCCACTGGCCGCGAAAGCTTTGGCGACCGCATCCCGAGGGACCTGCCAGTCTCGGAAACCGGAAGAGTACTTGGTTTAGGGTTTAGGGTTTAGGGTTTGGGGTTTAAGGTTTGGGGTTTAGGGTTTAGGGTTTCGACTCTCACACTGGTGCACACGTAGACAAGGCTCCGGGTAGTCTCTCAAAAAGAAGACACATTGGGCTTAGAACTCGTCACTCATACCCACCAAGCAGGCTCCAAACAGGGTTCAGGGTTTAGGGGCCAGCTTGTCCCACTGCAGGCGTCATTTAACTTGTGGGGCCCTGGACCTGCAGACATGGCCCGCATCCCAAAGCGCGAGGGACATGCAGGTGGGGTCAGCGGATTCTGAGTGCATGGTTGAAATAGTATTGAGATATCCAATGTATAAAATACACATTCACTGTGTATACATATATATATATATATATATATTCGTCTCTTTATTTATACTGTTTCGGTCACGGCTTCCAGAGGAATTCCGTGGCGGATCTTCTGTGCAAGACGAAGACCGCGCCATCCCCTGCCTTGCTACCGTCGCGGCCGGGCCATAGCCTGGGGGAAACCTCCGAAGCCGAAGCCTTTCAACTCTGGATAACTCGGGAGGGTTTGAAAGGGTTTGGGGTTTGGGGTTTGGGGTTTGGGGTTTAGGGGTTTGGGGTTTAGGGTTTAGGGTTTAGGGTTTAGGGTTAGGGTTTGGGGGCTTTTGTTGCCACCCGACTAGCTACAGCACAGCGGGGTCGACTGCACCAATCTGCACGACATGCCCAGCTTGACGCTGAAACAGGTCGCCTCGTGGCATCATGTTAGGAGGGCTTGGGGTTTGGGGTTTAGGGTTGTTTAGGGTTGTTTAGGGTTGTTTAGGGTTGTTTAGGGTTGTTTAGGGTTGTTTAGGGTTGTTTAGGGTTGTTTAGGGTTGTTTAGGGTTGTTTAGGGTTGTGGGCTTCGACTTTAGGGTTTAGGGTTTAGGGTATACACAAACGCAAGCCAGCAAGTGCGATCCAGACAAAAACAAGACCAAGAACTGAAGCCAACAGGCCGGGGAACATGGACCGGCAAACCAATGAACACAACACAACAGAACATTACTATCCTTACTTTGAATATATTCATTTACTATGTGACTATACGGTCGTGTGATCGTGTGGTCGTGTCGTCGTGTCGCTCGTGTCGTCGTGTCGTCGTGTCGTCGTGTGGTCGTGGTCGTGGTCGTGGTGGTGGTGGTGGTGGTGGTGGTGGTGGTGGTGGTGGTGGTGGTGGTGGTGGTGGTGGTGCCTGACACCCTAACAATCATGAGGTCCCCGCCCCGGCCGGTCCTCCACCTGAGCAGGGGCTTTGGAGATGGAGATGCCGAGCTTCAAAAAAAAATGTGTGTGCGTGTGTGCGTTTGCGTGCTGATCTTTTTTGCTTTTTTTTGGGGCGGGTGGGGGGGCAGGCAGGGTTCGGGCTTCAGGGTTTTGTTTTGCCACTCGGCTAGCCGCAACACTGCGCGGTCTATCTTGCGGAAATGGTGGAGAAAGCCTGCCTGGCCCTTAAGGTCCCAAGAAACAAGAAGTCCCCCAGACCCCAAACCCCACAACTCTAAGTTTTACAAAGTGGATGGCAGCTTCAAAAGCTTCTCAGATCCCTGGGTAGGTCTCTCCCTACTGTCACCCAAAACCAGGATCCAGCGAAGGTCTACAGGATCTCTGTTGAGGGCTTAGGCGAAGAAACTGCTCTTGCAATGCAAGTAGCTCTCTGTGGGGAGGCTCGGAAAAATATGAAGCCCCTCCTGCAACGAGCCTTCCCTAAACCGGAAGACCCTTTTTGCATCGTAAACCCCTTGTTGAAGCATGGACAAGTCTCAATCACAAGATTCTTTCACGAGACAACAGCACTTGCATCTAGGAAATTCACTCATCCGGAGCACCCTAAAACAAGCAAACCCTACATCCCCAGAACCCGAAAACCAATTCTGAAGCCTCCTGGCAGCTGCGGTTTGCAGGCTTCAGGATCTCCTCCTTCGTGGCCTCCGAAAGATTTTGGAGACATTCTGGCTTTTCGGGTTAGAGGTTTCAGCTTTAAGGTTTGAGCAAAACCCGTCCCCCCGCAGCAAACCCATGCAATGATTTTGCTAAACCGCGAGCTTAGAAGTTCAGAACCTCAGTGGCGAGTTCGTGAAAACCTGCTAACCAAGTAATCCCAAATGGAGGAGGTTGGGTTCTCGAAGTGGAAGAGACAGAGGGAGATGAAGCCCATCAAAAGTCCTGGTCTGGGCCTGCTTTGCCCTCCAGAAGAAAGACTCCTGCTGCCATGGGGGTCATGGGCATGCTGCCATGCCTTGTGAGCAAGCAAATGGCAAAAGCTGAGCAAAGGCCAACCCCCCCCCTCCCCCCCAATGTCTCAAGCCATTTCCCAAGCAACACCGACCATCTCTTCGGCGCGTCCTTCTGCAGCGTCGCCAGGATCTGCAGCGAGTCCACACTCAGAAGCTCAGGAAGTTCACAGATATTGGGACATCTCTTTGGCAAGGCTTCTCAGGAATTGTCAAGGCTGCCTCATCCACAGCGGCATCCATGGCATCACTGGCACCGTGCAACACAGCTGTCGCGACTGAGTGAGTCGATGTGCGGCGCTTTGCTGGCTTGCTGGCTCACTGTGAATCATGGAACTCCCACCCACCCCTGTTTTGAGCCAAAAGCAGACCGACGCAAAGGATCCTCAAAGGATCTTACTGGCCAATTGGGATGCCTGTTGGGCTTTTCGGGATGCCGTGGATTGTTTTTGCTTGTCGGCATAAGTAGGCATGACCAGCAGGCTCGGGATTTTGGAAGTTGAAGCACGGCCTTTGCGGAACACGGTCTACCGCACGTGTGCGACATGGCTAGCGCAGCCTACCGACCCCTCTAGCCGCATCAGAAATTGACGGGCTCTACACCAAGCAAGCGTGAGTCAGCGTAAGGCGCTCAAAGCGACGGTCGTTTTATCTTTCTGTGTCCACCACCTCACTGCTCAGTGCTCTGAGCGGCTTCCTTGCTCCAGGAGGGCACCATCGGCCTTCGACGGCAAGCACACATTTGCAAAGCGCCTGGGGGCCCTGGAGCACCAAAGAAAGGTCCTCAACAAAACGCCACCCTGTTGGAAAGCTCCGCTGGGCCTCGACGTAGACGTGGAAGCCGCCCTTTTTGTGCCTGTAGGTCGCTTGGTTTCAAGCTTCGAGAGGCTCTATACTTCTGGACTGCGCGAGCAATGACGACTTAAACGTGGTGTGCAGAGAGACATGGGGCCAGCAGCCAGGCAACCTCCTGCATGCTCCCTGTGGGTTTCCCGACGTGCACGAGAACCCTCAAGCACTTCCAAAACAGCGAAACCCTTTTTGCGCAAAAAAAAAAAAACCTGCTCATGATGTATGCCATGGAGCTTCTTCGCACTCGAGTGCTTGTTGTGCTTCTGGTGGTGACTGGCTTTCTCTCGCGCGCTAGCTTTCCGGGAGGACTTCCGCTTCGGAGGCACGTTTTCCTCTCAGGTCAGGATGTCGGCATATAGATTCTCCAACGTGCTGCGCCAAGTACACTTGGGAGCAAGATGGGCTCCATCTAACACGCACACATCAGACGGCCAAACGGTCGCAAGAAGGAGCAAATAACCCTAAACCCTCAACCCTAAACCCTCAACCCCAAACCCAAAGCAGCCCCCACGTCCTCTGTCTCTATGAGGTCGGCCCCGGTATCCTCGGAGCTGGGATCCTCGCTGGGTTCGGTTTGAGTCCCCGGCAGCCCCAACTCTGTGCCGACAATCCCCGGCACACTCAAAGCGGCAGCCCGAACCCTCCTCAAACCTAGCCCTGATCTCGCTTGCACGTTGAGTGCTTGTGGGACTCAGCGAAAACTGGAGAAGTGACCATTTCTGTAATTCACCATCGCTTCCGGTTCACATGAAATTCTGTGAGCAGGCCCGCACCTCCTCATCTTCCTTTGCATCCCGGTCCGTCTCCGCAACGCCGGAGCTGTCGCCCTGCAAGAAGGTTTGGGAGGTTCAAGGGACCGGGGGATGATGTGATCTTGGCTGAAGAAACCTGCGTCAACCTGCCGGGCTTTGGGACCCGAAAATCCCGAACCCCACTGGAATTTATTGGGCAAGGCTACTGACGCAACTCGCTTACACCACATCTTTCTTTTGACTGGCGGAGGTGGAGCAGGCGAAGCAGGCGGAGCCCTTAACCACTCCAGCAGATCGGCAGCATGCGGTACGCGCCGTCGTTCTCCCCGCTCTCCTTCCACACCTCCTCATATCCGGTGCGTGTGCATAGCTCGATCGAACAGGTGCTTACCCATCGCCCGCTCGGGTTGGCCGCTCCGCGGTGCAAGACCTCGTTGTCCACGAGCAAGCACGGGGCGCTGGCAGTCGTCATCTGCGAGTAGTGCTCCTCCCACGTCTCTCCATCCGTGAATGCCCCAGGCACAATTTGCGTGGTGCAGTTTGCTCCCTGGCGACGCTTCCAGAGAATGTGGTGAAACCGCACACGTCCAGGACGAGGCTTGCTGCCCCAAATATCTGCGTGTAGTGCCTGTGGACAGCTGTGCGGCGGTGCCAGGGCCCACCCGAGGCCTCGAACAAGATTTGGCCAAGAGCCATCAGAGCCCTTGGAGAGTGTCCGGTCGGCCTCATGTGGCCAAAGAAGCTGCTGAAGCGGCTTAGGCGGTGCCGGGGCGCCGGAAGGAAAACGCTGCCAGGCGGCCTCTGTTACGGAGACATAGAAGCGAGGTCCACTGACGGACCAGGGCGCCTCCTCCTCTTCTGATGGCGGCGGGCTGTACACTGCGAGGCCTTTCTCGCGCAGGCGCCGCGTCACTTCGTAGGCTGCATCGCCCCCGGGCCGGTCGCCGCTGTGCCAGGTGCCACGGAGCTCGTCAAGCTGCCTCTCAACTTCCTTGTGGTGGAGGTCGTACATTTCTTCCACAAACGATATCAAATCCCAGACCCAAGGCAAAGGCGCGAATTCAAGGAATCCCCTGTCAACCAGCTGGCCGAGAGCGCCATTCTCAACTCCTGGCGAGTCTTGAGACAAGGAATCCGGGTCGCGCTTCCTCTTTTTCCTTGCCAGGCCATTCTGCGCACAAGCGTGTTTGCTTGCAGGCATCTGCGCAGGACCGGCCTTTACATCAAACTCAAGATGGCTCTGAAAGCCCCGCGGCTGCGTCCAAAGCATCCGCATACTCCCGCTAAACCCTTAAACCCTTAAACCCTTAAACCCTTAAACCCTTAAACCCTTAAACCCTTAAACCCTTAAACCCTTAAACCCTTAAACCCTAAACCTCGGCACATCTCGGCACACTGAAACCCGAATCGCTCGATCCACCCTGCAAAGATTTCAGGGCTCCCTCTGCCTCATTGCCGGAGTCCTCCTCCTCGTCCTTCCCAGTCGCAAGGCATAAAGTCATATAAAGTCTGTGAGTTCTTCCTTGCTACGAGTGTCCCCAAAGATGGTGAAGGCGTGGGCTCGTTCCGTTCACGAATTTATCTAGCCATGTTAGCCAGGCCCCACAAACGGTCCTCTTGTTGGGCCTTCTTGGCGGCCCTCTTCTCTTGCCTTGCCTGCTTGGGCTCCTGGTTCTCGTCGTCCTGAGAGGTTCGGCGTGGATGCCGCCGAAAGGGATGCAGAAGCCAGAGGCTGGAGAGTTGAAAACCCCCGGAAAGCGTCCTCCCCGGAGTCCTCCTGAGGTTCCCTGGCTTTGAGGTGCCTGGCGCATGACGGGCTTCCGTGACTTGAACTGCATCTCAAGGGTTTTGTTAACCCCTAAACCCCCTAAACCCTAAACCCTAAACCCTAAACCCTAAACCCTAAACCCTAAACCCTAAACCCTAAACCCTAAACCCTAAACCCTAAACCCTCCCTCGCCTGGGATGAGAGGGCTTGGACACGAGCTCGCGCGCCTCCTTGGCTCAGGGGTGTGGCTGTGGGTAGCTTATGCCTCATGCAGGCCTGAGACTTGGGGGTCAAATGAACCCTAACAGGCTTTATGGTTCATCTGCTTTCATAGGAATTGTAGTCGCACAGGGTATATGGCCCCCAATTTTGGGGTTCATGTGGTCCCCAAAGCCTCAACTCTAGTCGAAACACAGTCATGAAACTGGGAACCATAAAATGGGACAGCTCCAAACGTGCCTCCGCATGCCTCCTCCCTAAACCCTAAACCCTAAACCCTAAACCCTAAACCCTAAACCCTGATTGTACCGGGCGGAGTCTCAGCCGCGAGGGTCTGGCCCGTCTTGCCCTCATCGTGGTGCCGGTGACTGCGTCGAGCCCGGGGCACATGGCCTCGCCATCGGTTAGGGTTTAGGGGTTAGGGTTTAGGGTTTAGGGGTTTAGGGGTTTATAGGGTTTATAGGGTTTATAGGGTTAATAGGGTTTATAGGGTTTACAGGGCTTATAGGGTTTATAGGGTTTAGGGTTTAGCAGACGTCACCCTGAACCCGCAAAGACCCCACTGAGGACAGCAAAGGGCCGTAGCGGCCGTACTCAAGCTGAGAGCAGCGCCTTCCTGGCTCTGGTTCAGCGCTTTGGCCAGCCACTCCTTCTCCGTCTGCAAGTCTGCCTTGGCCCACGAAAGCCACATTTAGGGGGTTTAGGGTTTAGGGTTTAGGGTTTAGGGTTTAGGGTTTAGGGTTTAGGGTTTAGGGGCTGAAAGGATCCTCCTTCACAGCTGGAGGGAGCGGCAAGTGGGGTTGATGCTCCCCTTGTTGCTATGCGAATACACACCAGCAAGCAAGTTCTTCTACGAGGCACGTCTTTGCATGCATGTGTACGCCCGCGAATCCTCCCAGTCACCTCAGCCCCTTTTTCAACCCATGAAGGTTGAAGAAGCTACATATTATGGACGTATGAATATACATGAGAAGACATATGCATATATTCAAATAGAATAGTACATGAGGTTGTTATATAATATATGTATGTATATATATATATACTATATATATATACAGATTATAAAAGGGTGCCTCCGCCGCGGCTGCTCTTCGCCGCGCCTCACGCAGCTCCTCCTGCAGATTCTTACAGACTATACATACACATACATTAGAAGTATTCCTATCAATGTTCTTAAAACTTCCTGTACGTTACTAAACATTACAAATGAGTACATATAGTGTTCCGAATCGGATGCTGCGAGGTGCGGGGATGCTTCTGAGATCTTCCGAGCTCCGACCTGCCGACCCGACTTCCATCTCAAGCTCCGGACGACTTTTAGGGCAAGCCGACGCTGTCTGTGTGTGTGTGTGTGTTTAGGGTTTGGGGGTTAGGGTTTAGGGGTTAGGGGGTAAGGATTAGGGGTGTCTGTACGTATGTGTATTTCATTCTTCAAGTCTTGCGTCCCGCTCCTGGACCTTCTTCAACGCACTCTCCTCGGAGCTGCGTGCATCCTGGGGCCAGTGGCTCTTAGACAAAAAGGGCCCGCCCTTCAAGCGATCCGGGGTGGTTTAGGGTTTGTGAGGTTCAGGGTTTAGGGTTTAGGGTTCAGGGTTTAGGGTTTAGGGTTTAGGGTTTTAGGGTTAAGGGTTTCTCTTGGTTACCTAGTGAGCTGCCTCGCCCTCGCCCTCGTCCGCGGACTCTCGCGCCAGCTCCTGCCAGAATGCGGCATCGGAGCATGGGCTACCTGATCCGACCACAAGCGGACAGTCCAGTTTTAGGGTTTAGGGTTTGGGGTTTAGGGAAAGCTTCTATGATTCCACGTATCTTCTCAGGATCGTATGCACATTGCTGAGGTTTCCTCTGCGCTTTCTTGTTCCGAAACATCCATTCCCCGAAACGAGCGCAAGCCGATCTGTGCTAGTGAGCGCATTGTCCGATGTCCTTGGAGACATTGACTCCAAGCTTCTCCGGATCGGGTGCATCGTCCGGGGGCGGCACATAGTCCTTGCAAGTGCGGGCCTGAAGGCCTTAGGGGTACCCTGGTATACTCCCTTAAAAGGGTATAGGGGGGGGGGGGGGGGGGGGGAAATAGGACCCTGGTATACTCCCTGAAGGACATAGGTTCCTGATCCCCCAAATTTCCTAGACTCGCAGCAATGTGCGAGAAGCCACGCCCGCCCACCCAAAACCGTGTGACAGGTTACGAGCCCCCAAGTAACGTGTGCCTCGTCCCCCTGCTTTGGAGGCTCCTGAGCTGCATGGTTTTGAGTAACACTAAACCCTAAACCCTAAACCCTAAACCCTAAACCCCCAAACCCCTAAACCCTATGTTTCTTTAATTTTCTTCAGGCATGCGGGGGTTTGGGCTTTCGGGTGTGGCGGAGGCAGACACAATTCATGGGAGCTGGCTGGGCCAAGAGGCGTCCCCACGATCTTTCCTTCGCTGCTTCGATGCCTTCGGCTCCTCCTGAGCGGCGCGTGGGCTGCCCTTGCAAGGTCGGAGCCCAGGAAGCCGAAGGACACAGAAGTTTAGGGTTTAGGGTTGAGGTTATCCACTGATGCCTTCTCATGGCAGAATTTTAACCTCCCCTAAACCCCTATTTGCTAAGCGCTAAACCCTATCCTAAACCCGAAAAGCCCTAAACCCTAAACCCTAAACCGTGAACCCGAAGAAGTACTAAGTCTCCTCGGCACTTGCTCGGGTGACGTTCACCTTTGCCTCCTCTCGGGCCGCTTGGGCCGATGACCACTTGGCAGCCGCCACGAGCTCCTGAAGCACCCGGTTTCGGGTTAAGGGCTTAGGGGTTTTTATTGCCGTCCCCCTAGATTTAGGGTTTCGGGTTTCGACTCTCACACTAGCGCATGCGCAGGCAAGGCTTAGGGTTTAGGATTTGGGGTTTAGGGCTTAGGCACCCTGAAACCCTTCTGCGTCAGAACCACAAGCTCTTGCCGACAGCCTCTTTCGTCCTCTGCCCCGGTAGAGGTTGGAGAAAGTCAGGGTGCTATGTCTGGACCCCTTCAGAAAAGTAGTCATTGAGAACCCCAGCCTCGGTGTGGAGTTGTTAGATTCTTAAACTAAACTCTTCGCCCCATATCCCACCCCAGAGAGCCCCTGCAGTGCTCCACCCCAGAGTGTCCCCCAGATGTTCGTCAACCCGAAGTGTCCCCCATAGACCCCAGAGTGCACCCCAAAGTATCCAACCCCCAGAGTACTCCCCGAGTCCAGAAGTCTCCAACCCCCAGAGTATTCCCAGAAAAATCCCTGAGTGCCCAACCTCCCCAACAAAGTGCCCCTGGAGTGCTCAACCCCTGGCGTGCCCAATCCCGGAGTATTTCCAGAGCATCCCTGGAGCGACCGACCCCCCAACCCCAGAGTGAGCTCGCCAGTTCCTTGCAGGGCGGCTTAGGGCTTAGGGTTTAGGGTTTAGGGTTTAGGGTTTAGGGTTTAGGGTTTAGGGTTTAGGGTTTAGGGTTTAGGGTTTTTTTTTGTGCCACCCGCCTAGCTGAGCCCAGGGGGCCACTCTGCAGGGACAAGTCGCGGACAGGGTTTAGGGTTTAGGCTTTAGGGTTTAGGTTTGAAAAAGCTTGCTATTTTTGATTCTTGTGCTAAGCACCCACGGTGCTCGTGGCACAACGGCCTCAGCTACTTCACCCCGATGCCTTCAGCAACTCTTTGTCGCTCTGCTTCATCATGTCTTGGGCACTCTTCTCCTCGTCCTCCTGACAGGAAAGAATGACATGCTACAAGATAGTGCGTTTTGCATGGATTTCCTCAGAAAACCGCTAAACCGGAGCTGGAAGCCTCCTTGTCGCCCGCTGCTTCACTGTCCTCTTTGTCGTCCTCCTTGCTGGAGCCCTGTGGGCCGGCAATTTTTGAGGCTCTGTCCATCAGGAAAGGGCGGGGGAGTATGCTGATGTATGCCGAACGTCACTCCCTTCTTTGCGGGCCGCTGCGCACAACTCAAACCACACCCGAAGCCCTTGAATCCTTGAGGTTCGCTTCCCAAGCAGCTCCCAGTGCCTTGGAGTCCTCTTGGCCGCCGACACCCTGCCGAGACATCGGAGTCTACGGGGGGGGTTCATCTAAACGTTTTCACTATGGGCCTTCTGGGGCCTTTTCTACAAGATCAAAGCGACTGCTAAACAAAATGTTTACACATTTCTGCATACACAGACGTTTGCTTTAAGACGCATTTCCTTGAAGGGGCTCATGGTTCGCGTCTGGGGCAGCAAATCGCAGAAGTCGGAAGCTACGGAAAAAAAAGCTCGGGTGCGCCTGAGGGCTCTGTGGATTCAGATCTGCATCCTCCTCCTCGCGCACCTGCACTTTGGGCTCCGACTCGTCCTCCTTCTCCTCCTTCGCCTCCTTCGCCTTCGCGTCCTCCGGCTGCTCCTTCGGAACGCAACAGGCAGCCTGGCTTCCCCGCGATTCTACACGGGTCGAGCTCCTTCGGAGCCTTCATGGGAAGCTTCAACTTGCCGTACCCCCGGATCATCGGCTCCTTGTCCTGGAGGGTCTCGTCCGCGTCTTCCTCCGACGGAGCTTTTGCATCCTGCCGGGATCAGTCTACCAGATTCTACCAGTTCCCAGAAGTCCTAAACCCTAAGCCCTAAAGCCTAATCCCGAAAAGCCTAAACCCTAAACCCTCAACCCTGTCTCTGCTTGGACCTATGATCTCACTTGCAGGTCCTCCTTCTGGCTGTCGTCAGAACTCTCCTCCCCATCCTCCTCGTCCTTTGCTGGCTCCTCTTGTGTCTCACGTTGGGCTGACTCAGAGGGCCCACTGAGTGTGGGATGTGGGTCGAGTTCCCGAACAATGTGCACACGAGCTCGTCCCGTCACTGTCCGGGATCTCCGCAAACATCAAGCATGATGTGATTTGCGCGAGCCCGAGGGCCTTCTGCGCCAACTCCTCCGTCTCCGTCTCCTCCTGTCCAGACAGTGGGGGCCAAATGGATTCCACTGATTGTACTGGGCACTTGCTCCCTACGAGGCCCTACACATTTTGCTGCTGGACTTGTCTGCTGGCGCTCATTGCCTAGGCTGCCTCGCTCATCTTCAAACTAGTCAACGGGGCTTCCGCCCGCCTCCACCTGCTGCTGTGGCCGGGCCCGCCTGGACCACTCACCTGACCACTGAGACCTGCTGGAATCGGCAACAGGAGGCGAGATCGTATCTGGTCACGTCCATACAGGGACACTACCAAGCATCTGATGAACCAGACAGGTATCCTGCACACCACAATCTACGACACAGCGCACCACCCACAGGACCAAATTGTTACAGCAGTCGCAAAATTGGTGTGCAAACGCTCCCGCCGAAGCTTCTCCTACTCGACTGCTACTAGGCATCCTTTCCCAGACCAGGACTCCAGCCAAAACTCCCAGCGTATTCTGCAAGGTGCTCCCTCAACGTTGAACCCTCTATTTGCCTGCATCCTGTAAACGATCCTGCAAACCAACCCCTTCTTGCGGCAGGCCACTCCCCTAAACTCGAACCCGTAAAAACCCTCTATTGTAGGTTTTCCCGAAAGCATCGCGAAGGGTTCTTCCGTGCGGAGCCCTCTGACCCAAACAACATAGACTGAAGTGCACAGAGGTGAAGTGCATAGAGTGAAGTGCACAGAGTCAAGTGCACAGAGTCAAGTGCACAGAGTGAAGTGCATAGAGTGAAGTGCACAGAGTGAAGTGCACAGAGTGAAGTGCATAGAGTGAAGTGCATAGAGTGAAGCACAGAGTGAAGTGCATAGAGTGAAGTGCATAGAGTCAAGTGCATAGAGTGAAGCGCATAGGCATAGAGTCAAGTGCATAGAGTCAAGTGCGTAGAGTGAATTGCATAGTGTGAAGTGCATAGTGTCAAGTGCATAGAGTGAATTGCATAGAGTGAATTGTGCATAGAGTGAATTGCATAGAGTGAATTGCATAGAGTTTAGTACAAGTTAATAGGAATTACGAGATTTACGTAGAATTTAGTAGACCTTCGTACCCAGTACTACCCAGTCCTAGATTTCTTAATTAAAATTACTCTTTCTAAGGCGGCGGGCTGGGTTGACATCGCCAATCGGGATTGCAACCCTCTGCGGGTTTCGGCGTGGTCGCGGTGCTAAAACCATCGTTTTTTTGCGTTTCTTTCTGTGCACGGACAACCCTCTGCGGGTTTCACCGTGGTCGCGGTGCTAAAACCGTCGTTTTTTTACGTGTCTTTCTGTCCGCGGACAACCCTCTGCGGGTGATCGCTGGGTCGCGGCGCTAAAACCGTCGTGTTTGGTACTTTTTTTCTTTCGCGCAGACACCCTCTGCGGTACGCCAGCCCAAGACAAAAAAAGAGACATGACTGCTTAGATTCCTGCCTGCAGCACGAAGGCGCATGTGCCGTCACACATCAAACCGGATGCTCTACATGCGTGCATGCTGCGTTCCTGCTTCCTGACAGGTGCTCTGGACTATGAGCTTGGACTTCAGAGCGACTGCCGATGATGCTCATGGCTGACGGCTCTCGCGTTAGATGTTTTTGTCTTTTCTTTCATAGCTTCGCGTGGATTGGACGTGCACAGCCGAGTCGGGTGCATGCAAGTGAAGTTCATACAGTTCAAGTCCAGATGTATTGAATGCCCATGGAGTGTATAAAGTTGACCACAAGTGCATGGCATTCAACTCAACACACTTGAATGCCATGCAGTTCAAGTGCATGCACGTCCAGTATACAAGTGCAGTATACAAGTGAGTATGCAACCATATAAGTACATACACTTGTCCAAGTGCATACAGTTCGAGTGCAAAGAGTCAAGTGCATGGAGTCAACGCACGGCAAGTCGATGCTTTCGGGCCATCCCTCTTCTAGTTTTAACTAGGCTTTTAAATACCTTCTAAGGCTCCCTAACGTGAATCACCCTCACCCAGTTCTAAAAGCACTTAAAAAACACCTAAGCCCTAAACCCTAAAGCCCTCTAAACCCTAAACCCTAAACCCGAAGGCCCAAACCCTGAACCCTAAAGCCCTCTAAACCCTAAAGCCTAAACCCTCAAGCCCTCTACACCCTAAACCCTACTCAAACCCTGCGAAACATCGGGCAGCCGGCGCCTGTGCGTCTCCTGGCCCAGCTCCAGGAAGGTCCAAGCCTCGACCTCCGGGAAGTCCCTCGTTTTAACTTCCACCAAAAATGGGGGTTTAGGGTTTGGGGTTTATGGTTTGGGGGGGTAGGGTGTAGGGGTTAGGGGTTAGGGGTTAGGGCTTAGGGTTTAGGGCTTAGGGTTTAGGGTTTAGGGTTTAGTTTGCCTGGGCTTTTGAGCGGCTGTGGTACGTTTTATGTTGCGCGGGCCGGTGGGCAAGGGTTCTCGCACAGCCAAGAATGCTTTTGTACACTGTCCAAGGTCTACTTGTCATGGCATCTTTGGTTGGCCTTTAGTGGCTTGTCCTTTAGTTTTGCTCCAGCTTGTTAGCTTGGCTTCCACGGCCAGTCCGTGGCCCAGGCATGCAGGTGCCTGTACACGGTCTGCCCAAGGATCTGAGGCAGGTAAGAGGCATAGGTAGCCTGAACACACACATCGACATCAAAGCGCGAACATCTCTTTACAGGCGCTGGAATTGCCAGGCAAGCCTGGACCTGTACGATGGAAGACCAAAATCTTGCACTGAATTACTTGGAGGCCCATGGGTAGTTATAAGTAGGGTGTCAAGTATGGCAGCTCTACCTATAAGCCTACTTCTGCCCCAATGAACCTCCAAGCAGTGGGATCTACAGATCAGTAGTGGAGTCCCACCAAAAAAGCCCCAATGGCGGCGCAGGTTCAGACCTGGGAGAAGCGGAAGGCTGTGAAGGGCAAAGTCTCGGCCCTCCGGGAGCTCCGTGAGGTCCGCGAACTCCGCTCCGAAGGCGCAGCCGACTTGGGCGCAGCAGCCGGTTCTTCGGAGCCCCTCTCGAGGTCGTCCTCTGCGGCCTTCGTGGCAGTCTTGCTCTGGGCGTCCTGGCTCTGTGGCTTCTCCTTGGCACTTCCCTGGGGCTTGGGTGGAGTGATCCAGCCGCAGAAGGCCGCAGTGAAGGGATCCACCACGACGAAATCCAGGAAGATGGCGAAGAGGACGGAGGTGCCCCAAGTGGCCAGCATGGAGTTCCAGGAGTCCAGGCTGAAAAGGCCAGCCAGGTGCATGCAGATGGCCCAGGGCCAGTGGGTCAGGTAGATCGTGTAGGAGAGCTTCAGCATGGAGGCCGCCAGCTTGCGGCTGCCCTCTGTGAGGCTGAAGAGCAGCCTCTACTCCCCTTAGAAACCTAAAAAAAATTGGATTTTTAATATCCTCTTGGGTTGTATACAAACAAAATCTTTAAAAAAGTTCCCAAGGGGGATATATGATATAGCAGCCTGAAGGAGTTGCAGTCGCAGCTCACCAGTACCACCAAGGCCAACTGCAGGGGTCCTGTGACGAGGTTGTTGTAAGCGATGAGCGCATCGACCATGGGCAGCCCCGTCGCCGGCAGAAAGTGGGAGCAGCCAAGCAGGACAATGATCAAGAAGTCACTCAGCAGCCAGACCTGCCACTTTCGAAGCCAGGCGGGCAGCGTGGTCCGCGTGGTGATCTGCTCCAAAAGTGCCCCCATGAAGGGGACCCAAATCTGCGTAGGGCTCCACAGGTGAATGATGCGCCCGTAAGCCTGGAGGTCTCCGGTCCACGCCTCCAAAGCCAGCAACACCAGGCAGGCAATCGCCGTGCGCAGTACGTACAACGAGGCCAGCAGGACGAGAAGCTGTCGAACACTCCTCCTCCGCATCCATCTCAAGAAGAACGGGGACACGTAGTGGTACGTCAGCAGCGTCGACAGGAACCAGAGTGGGCGGTTCATGGTCCACCACGAGAGAAGCGGGTTCCAGCCACCGATGGTTAGAATCTCGAGGCCATACTGCACTACGCACCGCCAGCTCGTGCATTGCAAGGCCAGTGGCAGGGCTGTGAAGAACACCGCCACGATGTAGGGCGGGATGAGGCGCGCCACCTTCTTGCGCATGTGGTCGCCCCAGCTGGCGTCCTTCCATGTGGCCGAGGACAGCCAGCCAGAGATGAGCATCATTCCCATCATCCTATACTCCCCTTAGAACCTTAATAAAAATAGTGTTTTTAATGTCTTCTTGGGTTTTATATAAGCAAATTCTTTAAGAAAAAATAATTCCCAAAGGGGGTCATAGCATCAGTTCCACACCATGGTCCACAGTCTGGTACGGCACGTAGTGGGACAACTGCACGCGATGGCTCGGGGCATTCAGCAGCTGCTGGTGGAAGCCCACCAAACCCAAGATGTAGAATGCCTTCACTCGGTCAAAAGTCACCACGGCCTTGGAGCCTTCCGGCCGGAACACGGCTAGCGTGCGGCCCTCCATGTCCGAATCGGCAGAAAGCACACTACCTGCTGGCTCCTAAACGGGGGTTCGCGGCTGAGCAACAACAAGTAGCCATTCAAAACATGGCATACCAAAAACACAACACGTGCAGAAGCCTGAACACCATGTGTCTACACTGTCCCCCGCTACGACTTGCCACAAAGAATCACGACATGCAGAGTTCCCTCACCTCGGGTGGGTGGATGCGGTGGACCAAAGACGTCGGCCTTTTGCCTGGCAGAGCCGGTTTTGGTGCTTTTGGAGAAGCGTCCAGACATGTTACTGGGCAGCGACGCTTGTAGGCATGAGCAGGCATGAGCAAGTGTTCATGAATCCAAAGGGCGGTGGGCCTGGTTCCATTTTTGGCAGGACCAGTTTGCTGAAGCACGCTGGGAAAAGGGGCGGAACTTAGCGCCCCGCCTACTGAGCCGACTGCCCCCGCAGGGGAGCGAGTAGGCCGAAGGCTCTGGATGTTGCTCTCAGAAGCCCCCAGAATGCTGCACAAAACGCTGCCGAACACACGTGCAGGGCTGCATCTCAGTGACCGTATGAGCGAAGAACAAGAAACGCTGGCAAGACTCGACTCTGGGGTTGAGCATGGTTGAGCTACGAGGTACCACATCTGGACCCAGTGTTCTGAGATCCAGCAACTGCCGATGCCATCATATTCCAGGCGGCGTATAGCTTCTCACCACCAAGAGCTGTGCTCAAGTCAAACCCAGGTCTGCATATCTGCAGACCAAGGTCACAGCAGCCCTCCAAACACCCTTCTTGATTAAAGGGGGGATGCTGACTTGTCTCACATTGCGCTGTGCAGGTGAGTGTGCATGACCACTGTGAAACGCTGCGGCACGCGGTGCCGCGCTGTACCACGCCACAGAGTGCCGACTGTGCCGCAAATCCAAATCTGCTCTGGAAGCGATGAGTGCACAAATCACAAAGGCTTTAAACGCACTCGAAATGGGTCGAAGTCACGACATACCACACTCGCGAATTCCATAAGAGCTTGAACCCTCAACGCCCCAAATCTGGGTTTACGAACACAGGGGATTCCCGTAAATTAAGGTACCCCTATTCTGGTGAACCCCCAAATTATTAATCATTAATCTGTGTCTGCCTTCGTTAACAGCCGGTGGCAAACGGACTCGTCGGCCACAACGGGAAGCCCGAGTCTGGAAGTTTTTGACCCAATCGTCGGCAGCAAAAAAAAAACCCAAACAACCCTAAACCCTGTAGTTCCAAGCTCCGGACAGTGCCCATTACAACTACGCATGTTGCCTGAGATACCTTACGCAAGCCTTAAGCTTCCTAAACCCTTTTGTTGAACCCGACTCTGCATGTCAGCTGGCTCTGAAACGTGCCCTGAATCCTGTAAACCCTAAACCCTTTTCCAATTGGGCAGGAAAAGACGCCCTAAACCCTAAACCCTAAACTAAACTTGAACAAGTTGCCCGGGAAAAAGCTTGTCAGGACGTTCAGTTCTGAATGGCCGTGGGGTGCTACTGCTACGCAGTCTGGGACTCCCCTAGGTTTCTTCCAGATTCGAGGTGCTCTGTTTCGAGTTTGGTAGGCCCCCTGTCTGCCGTCAATTTAGACGCGCTGCAGGTGATGGCGAAGATTTGGCCGTCTGCGCGCTTGCCGGGTATTTATGTTCTGCTTGCCTGTTGGCCTTATGTCGATGCTTCTCAGCGGCTGCTCTCAATAGAGACATCCACTTGAGTGGGGTGCGTGCTGGTGCAAGCTGTCGAGCTTCTGCAGCACCGTGGCGCGCCTTTCCTTGGCAGGGCCATGGGCTGTGCTTGTGAACCCGAAACCCCGACATTACCTCTTCATGGAACACAAACGGCCAGCCCAAGCATCTGCCACGAGAGCTGCAAGACCTCCTTCGGCCCCATCAGCAAGAATCCGAGGCGGCGCCGGAAACTCCTCCGCCTCTGACAGCTGGACCTCATCAGCCTCATCAGCCTGCGCATGCGGAAGTGCAGATCTCAAGGCGCCGGACTCGGCACCAACATCCCTGGCAGGCTCCGCTGGATAAAGCCAGATCTCGGGCATCTCTTCAAAGCGGACCTTGCATCCCCGCATGTCTGGCAAAGTCTTCGAAAATACCTGCAAAGACTCGGTGCCGGCCGGGGCAGTGGAAGATATGGAAAGCGGCGCGCGTTGCAGGACGGATGGGCTGGATGTGGATCTTGGTCTCCTCCGGCTCGGTGGCATGGCTGGTGGCGTTGGGGCCAGTGCAGCGATGCTGGTCATGTGCGTCCGCGGCGAACGCGTGTACAGACGGGGTGTGGACGGCTTCTGAGGAAAGAAGGAAGGCATGGGGAAGCGGTCCCGAAAACTAGTCAACTACAAGAGCAAGAGGTGATTGAGCCATCGGTGTGTTGAGGCAGCGCGAAGCCCGTGAGCCCATCCCTGCCACCTCTCTGGTCCCTCCCTCAACCTCCCTCCCTGATAAGGCCTAAGCCTTAACGATGCCCAGCCTCGCGTCGTATGTGTGGGCCGCTTGGCGGGCCGCTTCACCCGCTCCTGATTTCAGGGCCAGAGTTGTCTCTGGGTCTATCACGTCGAACTTCACCGGTGATTGATAACTGCAGGGTGGCTCCCGCTGACAAAGCACACGGCTCATGGGGGCGGGGGGTGGGGTGGGTGGAGTCTCATTTTTCTCCATGCATACCCTGGGGCCTTGTGATTGTTGGCCCAGGGTCCTGCCATTTCAAATTTTCGGGGTGGGGAATATGCCCTAGATACGCCATGCCATAGCCTCCAAACTCTTCCTTGCCGCCCTTCTAGACAGTACTGCCTAGCAACTACAGGAAAAAGGAGCTCCGACTGGCATCATCGGCCTGCCGCGCCACGCCTTCCTTGCTCTCGCTCTCTGTGGCCTCCGCTGCAGAGCTTCTTACCCAGGTCGGACCGAGCATGTTTTCTGCGATCTGCCGGGACCCAAAACGAGTCCAAACCCCAAGCCCTCGATCTTGAGCCCTGATGCTAGCTGCATGCCCCCGCAACTGTTCCCTTTCGCAGGTTGTTTTCACATACATTGCGGCTGGCAATCTGCGGACACGGATGGGGTGTTTTGACGGAACCCTAACCAAGTCAAGTTCCCCACCCATGTCTTCGCCTCTTGGTCGTGGCCGCGGCCCTGCGAGGGAGAGGGGCTAAGGAAAGTTTTGACGTGGCGAATTGCTTTGAACCCGATCTCGGCCCTGGAAACCTAGACCGGATTTCACGCCTTGGTCCGGATGAGCCTCCACGAAAAACAAGGACAGACTTTTTCAGCACCTTGTGTAGTCTGCAACCATGCAAAGCCTTTGGCAAGCCAGCCGGCTGTAGATGAACCTGATCCCTTCTTCTGCTTCTTCTTCTTCTTGCAAAATAAAACACTCTGGGGTCTTCTCTCAGGTACTTCCAAATGATCGTGTCGCTTTTGGGCCTACTGTGACCCAGAACCCTGAACTAAACCCTTAACCCTTAAACCCTTAAACCCTTAAACCCTTAAACCCTTAAACCCTAAACCCTAAACACCCCAAAGAAAAACACCGCTCCTCACGCCGCACCACGCTCGACCCAGCGAGGACCACCACAGCCGCAAGAACGATGAGGCGCATGTCCCGGCCTTCGAAGCAGGGTTTAGGGTTTAGGGTTTTGGGTTTAGGGTTTAGGGTTTAGGGTTTCGGGTTTAGGGTTTAGGGTTTAGGGTTTAGGGTTTAGGGTTCAGGCTTTAGGGAGGGATGCTAAGCGAGCGAGGGGAAGAGCGCCTTCGGGCCTTTTTTTGGTGGACATGCCCGGACCTCAGAAGTGTCAAGTCTGTCTTGAGCGTTCTGTTTGCGGCGGTGCCTTAAGGGCGACTGTTGGTGTGTAGTTCTTGGGCTTAGGTGTAAGCTTGCGGATTTCTTTCCGTAGATTCAACTCCCTCACCCCTCCTCAGCACGCAACCATACAAAAGACTTTAGCTTTCCAGGATCACGGAGCCTCGGACGATATGGAAACACCTGCGGCAGCTGCCTCAGATGAAGGTTTCGCCTGGGCAGGACAAGACCGGAAACATTCCCAAAGAGTGAAGACCTGCCTGTAATTTGCACACACACAGGTTTGATATTGAAGATAGTTCACGGTCAAAAGGCAGAAGATGTATTCTTCAGCACGCGTCAACAAACATTGCACCGCCAAGCGGCAAACTCTCGCAAACATGCGCAGTAACAGGTGGCTGGGCCCTGTTGCTGAGCCGTGGTGCGGCGGATTCCGAAAAACTATCCTGAAAAGGGCCCATAGCAAAGGGACCATGTAACTACACTTAGAACATCTGGACACGTAGTGCCAGCACGCTTTTTCCGTCTGCGCCTAACTCCTCCGTGGGCGTCCTTGAACCGACCAGTGACGGGGCCGGCCCATGAAAGTTTGGGCGCATGCCTAATCGCAGTAGCTTCCAATCGCCAAACATTGCCCTGCACTCAACCTCTTATTGGCACTGCTAGCCGGCAGGTAGGAAAGATGCCGAATGGCAGGCTAAATAGAGAAAGCGACAGTCAGGTTCGCGGCGAACTGGCTACGGGAAACTTGAAGCCGTGCAAAGTTATTCTCTTGTTGAAAAGCAACCCATAAGCTGAGACATACGCAGAAAGCAGTCATCAAATAGCGGAGATCCAAACATCTACTCCGCAGGCCTTTGTCAAAGGGTAGATAGTGCTGACTGAAACTTACGTCCGTATCCTGGACATTGCCTTATATCTATATACACATATATAGACATACACATTGTACACACACGCATTTGTATATTATACATATCTATATATACATCCAATCGTCTGTGCGAGTGCATGACACATGCATATCGAAGATCCAGGCGTTGCTGCTCTTGCCTATGGCATCCAAGCCCAACTTCATGCAGGCCGACCCAACAATCACCTTTTGCTGCATCGACCACTAGGAGTTGTGTGGATCTGAACTGCTGAAAGCGCATATGAAAGTGTCTGGTATTTTTCCCGGGTGCGGGTCGACTGAATTGTGTGGACGAAGCAGGAAGGGTGCCATGCAGCGTGGGCTGCAGCATGATATTGATTGCGGCAATGCGCTCAGCGCATCCCGTGTTGGTGGGGAAAATCGCCCCCCCTTGGGGCGAAGTAATCCCACTCTGCATGTCCCAGGAGGCTTAGAGTATGTGAGATAATGTACAATTTTCAATACAAGTGCACGTACATAGACATATGTATATATATATGTATGTATGCATATGACCTAGTATAGAATATACCATATACCGTACCGTTTGCCATGCATACTTCGCGTACACGTATCATATACATCATTTACCACATATATATATATATATATCTCTCTCTCTCTGCCGCTATATATGTATATATATATATGGTCACCCCCCCCCCCCTCGACAGACCCCGGAATTGTATTTCCGATCTGTCCAGGAAGCGGGGGGGGGGGGGGGGGGGAAGAGCACCACTCCAAAATTCCTCGAGTTTTCAAAAATCCAAAAATCCAAAAAAACCCAACCCAAGTTTCGGATTTTTGGAAACTCGAGGAATTTGCTCAAAATCCAAAAAAACCTCGAGTTTCCAAAATCCTCGTTTCGGATTTTTGGAAACTCGAGGAATTTGCTCAAAATCCAAAAAAACCCAAAATTCCTCGAGTTTCCAAAATCCAAAAATCCAACCCAACCCAGTTTCGGATTTTTGGAAACTCGAGGAATTTGCTCAAAATCCAAAAAAACCCAAAATTCCTCGAGTTTCCAAAAATCCAAAAATCCAAAAATCCCAAGCCCAGTTTCGGATTTTTGGAAACTCGAGGAATTTGCTCAAAATCCAAAAAACCCAAAATTCCTCGAGTTTCCAAAAATCCAAAAATCCAAAAATCCCAACCCCAGTTTCGGATTTTTGGAAACTCGAGGAATTTGCTCAAAATCCAAAAAAACCCAAAATTCCTCGAGTTTCCAAAAATCCAAAAATCCAAAAATCCCAACCCCAGTTTCGGATTTTTGGAAACTCGAGGAATTTGCTCAAAATCCAAAAAAACCCAAAATTCCTCGAGTTTCCAAAAATCCGAAACTGGGGTTGGGATTTTTGGATTTTTGGAATTTTGGAAACTCGAGGAATTTTGGGTTTTTTTGGATTTTGAGCAAATTCCTCGAGTTTCCAAAAATCCGAAACTGGGGTTGGGATTTTGGATTTTTGGATTTTTGAGAAACTTCGAGGAATTTTGGGTTTTTTTGGATTTTGAGCAAATTCCTCGAGTTTCCAAAAATCCGAAACTGGGGTTGGGATTTTTGGATTTTTGGATTTTTGGAAACTCGAGGAATTTTGGGTTTTTTTGGATTTTGAGCAAATTCCTCGAGTTTCCAAAAATCCGAAACTTGGGTTGGGATTTTTGGATTTTTGGATTTTTGGAAACTCAGGTTTTGGTGAGATTCTTTTAGGGGTTCTACACTCATGAGAAATATGAAATATATTAAAAACACAGAGAGCTATGCTAGCAACAGCTACTGAAGTTGCTTACGGAAGTGCGAGGAAAAGTGCTTGATGCTGCGCTTCTGCCCACGTTAATGAGAACCCTATGATAGTTGATAGGAATCCTAATAAATTGAAGAGGACCCCTACTACAATTAATGGGAACCAATGGGACTCCTATAACGAATGTGAACCCTTAACTAATAGGAATCCTATTAAAAATGATATGAGCCTAAACCAATAGGAATCCCTTTCAAATGAATCAGATCCCTATTAAAATTAATACGAATCCACATATCATGAGTAAGAGCTCTGAAATTGATATGAGTCTTATTGCAGTAGTAGGAGCTTTATCAAAATAATTAGGAACCATATGAAACTTCACTGGAATCCTATGAAAATAAGTAGGAATCTTTCGGGCTCCTACGAAATTTATCGGGGAAGCTAGTAGAAAGCCCATGAAATTGAAGAGGAACCCTTAACAAATCAAAAGAACGCAGTGAAGATTAATAGGAATTAATAGGACTCCTATGAAAAATAAGATTCGTTTAACAAGAATTAGTAGGAATCCTACTAAATGAATATGAGCCTAAACCAATAGGAATTCCTTTCAAACGAATGAGACCTCTATCCGGTACGGATTCTTAGTTCCTGGGTTACCTCTTATTGAAATCCTTTTTGAAATATATTGAATTTCAATAAGGGCGGTACTAGGAACTAAGAATCCTGTGTTTCTATTTTAAGACCCTTATTGAAATATTGAATTTGAATAAGGGCTGTACTAGGAACTAAGAACTCAGACCAAGAGTCCCTGGCAGTCTTAGTTCTTAGTTCTTGGTTCCGCCCTTATTGAAATTCAATATTTCAATAAGGGTTTCCATAATGACCACCCGTATTGAAGTTCAATACTTCAAGAAGGGTTTCAATAATGCCAACCCTTATTGAAATTCAATATTTCAATAAGGGTTTCAATAATGACCACCCTTGTTGATTCAATATTTCAATAAGGGTTTCAAAAATGCTAACCCTTCTGGACATTCAATATTTCAATAAGGGTTTTAAAATAGAAACACATAGGTTTAACAGACAACAAAAGAAAAACATACAACAACAGAGCAAAACATCAAAGGCATTAAACAAAGCAAAAAAGTATAGATCTTTGGGGAGGGGGGGTACCATATATCTCTATTGTTTGTTAACGTGTCTGGCTACTGTGTGCAGCTATGCTGTCCGTCGCGCCCTCAGCCCTTTTTTTGCTTCCGGGGGTCTGTCGAGGGGGGGGGGTGAGCATATATATATATATATTTATTTATTTATTTATTCACATATTTGTTGTTTCCCAAAGTACCAGTCTACAGGAGTCTACAAGGCCTGAGCCTACGGACGTAGCTGCGAGTGGGACTAGGCGGCTTTCGCCTTTGCGAGCTCCTCCTTCAGCGCAGCGTTCTCCGCCTCCAAAGAGCTGATCCGAGCTTGCGCCTCTGCCAACCTGGGTTCAGGGTTTAGGGTTTAGGGTTTAGGGCATCACGAGCAAGCGGGTCTGAACTTCAGTGCTTTGAGAAGAGAGCTGGCCAGGGACCAGTGATGTGAGTTGCGGGCAAGGGGAAGGGGGAGGGGGAAGGGGGAAGGGGGAAGGGGGAAGGGTGAAGGTGGAAGGTGGAAGGGGGAAGGGGGAACAGGGAAGTTCGAGAGGGCGAGCAGACGTTCGTGGGCTGCCAATGGCACGTCTCACGCGCCGCAGTGTATTGCCTATCCTAGGGTCTCTTAGGTCCACAAGTCTAGGACAGGAATGCTGTGAGCGCCCTGGGCCCAAGGCTGCTTCTTCAGATCCTTCACGGAGACCACGGCCGGGGCGCTGCTGGTGGTGCCCTGCACACGCATGGTGCCCGGCCTGGCAAGGGCGCCACTCGCTTTCGGTGCTGCCCTACCTCTTGGTGAGAGAGGTGTTTATCAAGTTTTCAGGACTGCTCCGGTTCTTGCCATGAGAGATCAGGAGCAGAGCTGCGTTCCCATCAGCCTCATGGGTGTCAAGGTCGGAGGTCTGCACTCCTGACCGGAGACCCAGTCGTCGGCGGCCATGTTGGGCACGCCGGCAGGGCAATCAGGGAAGATGTCCTGGCGTGTGCACAGGCCATTCAACGACACACCCAACACTTCTTAGCCCCGCAATGCCGAAGGGAGTCGACCCTCATAAAAAATCCCTCAGTACGCCTACTTGAGCATCGCATATACAGCCTCCTCCAAGAAAGAGGATGGGTCTCTGAAAACTCATCCCCCAAGCTGTGCCTCCTGGAATGCTTCGCTCTTCCGGGGCACCCGGAAGGACACTGGCCTTGAGGTTTTCAAGCCAGGGCTTTAAAAAAAGTTTCGCTACAGGCTTGTGTGCAGGTTTGTGGGTTTCGGGGGTGGTTCCGTGCTCCACGCTGCGAGCGCTCGAGCTGGTGTCTGAGATGAGATCTCAACATGCAGCAGTCTTGCGAACAAGAACATCCCTTCTGCTCCATGTACAGTCTTCCTCTGTAGCTCCAGGGGATCCAGTGCAGGATCCTCTGACCCACTCCGGGGATGCCAGGTGAGAATCTCTTTAGTTCTCTTCGGGGGGGGGCATTCCAGGGATGCTCTGCTGGACTCTCTCTAGACCCCAGGGGTCGATCTTTTCTTTTGATAACCCTCATGATGGTCATTGTGATGTCGTATTGGTATTGGTAATTCGCCCCAGTACTTTTTGCAAGATGCACGGAAGAAGTCGGCTTTCGCCTTGACAAGCTCTTGAGTTCCGAGCTGCCTGTGTCAGAAGCATCTCTACATCAACAGCGAAAATGGCGCGAGGCAGGCTAACTTGTGCAAGATTCCAACAAACACTTGCGACAATAGGAAACTTGGAACGCCTTGCTGGGCCGACTGGGGGCCTGGGGGCGGGGCGGTGGGGGTGGGGGGGAGGATGTTGCGAGGCTCGGGGTCAAGCTCACATGGAGTCGTGCTTCAAGTCCAGTCCAGAGAAGTCGCATTCTCCAAAGCTCTTCGTGCAAAGCAACATCTTTAAATTTCAGAAGCCTACATGCCCATACATGGGAAGGCGACCTCCCAACTAGTCATATTCGGGGGGTTTCGAAAACAGGGTTGTGCCCTCGTGAAGGGGGTCCCATGACGGAATTATTGTTCGGGGTACCTGGTGGCAGCGTCTGGGACCGTGGATCTTCTGAGTTTTACCGGAGGCCGCCTACATTCACTGAACTGGCGAGTCCTGTTCAGGCCAAGTGGCTGGATGGCGGATGTCTCCTCAACGGTTCTAACCAACAAAGGCCAAAAACAGCGATGGGTCCTTCGTATAATATATCATAGAATACAAGATGCCATAAGACATATCCATAAAGTATACATACGGAGGGCCTTGAAACCAACAGAATCGCGTGCCGTTCAGAAACAACACGGCCGGGCCAAGTTTCGAGCTTGAGGCCCCGCATGACCTCGTGCACGCTGACCTGGGGCTCCGCGCTCCCGTTTTGGGGGGGGGGGGGGGGGGATTCTACCCTAAACCCTAAACCCTAAACCCTGAACCCTAAACCCTAAACCCTAAAGGGGCCCTTTTTCCGGCTCGGGAGTTGGGGCGATTAGGGCTCGCTGTGGGCTCTCTCTGCGGGATTCTTTGGAAGAGGGATCTTCGGGAGGTTGCGGGATTTGCAGGGCATGGGCACTCTAGGGGCACTGTGGAGCTGCCATTTTCAGCCCCACAAAACCTTTGATGCAATACATGCTTGACCCAGAAGCCTAGGTCCAAAGAAGCTGGACGACTCCACTTGAAATGAACCTCCACCTCAAACCCTAACCCCCCCCCCCCCCCCCCCCCCCGCCCTCCCCGCACCCAAGAAACAGAAAACGAAACAGCTGCCCGAAGCCTCAGCTAAGCCCGGCCACATCCACACACCGCTTCGGGAGGAAGTCGAAGCCCTTCTGGGGAACGGTCGACTTGAAAGCCTTCCAGGTCTGGCAGCATCTTTTTTCTTTTGTCTTCGGGTTCCTGTGCATGAGGCTGCTTGTGGGAAATTTTGGGGAAGCATTCGGGATACCCTTATTACTTTCACGGACCCACAGGCCACGTAAACGGATCCAACAGCCCGCGGTGCTGCGACAACCATCAGGCTTTCCGGGAAGGAGCTATCACATCTACATGCGAGCATGGGCATGTCTTGATACTGAGTCGGGGTCTTTGGGATATCGTGCGTATACAGTAGGGATTCGGCAGGTGCCGTGCCTGAATTGCAGTCGCGCTACTGGACCGGGGATGCTTGGCAGAACAAAGCTGCAGGATCTTTATGTGGTATCTGATATCAAAATACAAGCGGGAAAAAACTGGGTGCCAAAACCAAGGGAACGCTGCGTAAAATGCAAAAACACATAAGGTTCCCACAAAAAAAGAAGACACAGGTTTCCGCAGCTAGTTTCTGCAGCCCTGGTGCCCCTAGAGCCGACAGTTCTGCAAAATTTTAGGCTCTCTAGACTACTGCTCCCTCTCCCGCGGCGTTGCGGCAAGTGTGTGCCTGCAGGGTTCATCCTGGATCTTTATGTGCAAATGTCCTTACCTGTCCAATTTCTTCCCTCATTCTAAACCCTGTAATTGGCTCCAGGCAGATGGCAGGGCCTCGAGGTAGTGGAGGTATGGGTCTCCGTTGGTTACCTGCGGTGGAACGCTCAAGCATGGGTGCAAGCAAGGGAAACATTATGGAAATGTTTTACATCTACATATATCCTATATATATATATACTATTTGATCATATATATATATATATGTGTGTGTGTGTTTTTGCAGCCGAAGGATGAGAATACCAACAATTTGGAGTATAATATATGTTCAGAGTCATCAATGACACTACCTGGAGATGTCTCCACCTTCGCAAGCTCCCCAAGCCTCAAGGAAGCGCCTTTGAACACCTGAAGCTGCTGACGATGACCTACCTATGCTGACCCCCGGCGCCTCGAAGTATCTAACGTTGCTGTCGCCCTTGCCAGCGATGTACAGCATCTGCGTGCCCGGGTCGAAGTATGGATACCTTTTGTAAGCCGGGCCATAAGAGTCCCTGCTCCCCCACCCCTGGCACCTTAGGGCCTGCTTTAAGGGCCAAGTTTGGACTGTGGCTTCGACTCTTGCTTGCCTGGCTCAGGGTCCGGATTCCGGATCCTGTAGCTGGCGCACTGCTTTTGCCGACTGGGGGGGCACATGGATGCTTCGTCGGCGTGGTCATGATTCCGTGCCCTTTCATGGCCCGACCCACCTACAGACCCCAGGAGCAACACTGTCGCAAGGTGTAGATGGGCTGCAAGGCCCCGGTGCCCTGGTCCACGTTCAACGACGCCATGGCCGCCACATCCCCCTGGCCATCTGCCGGTAGCTTTCCTGGGCATGTGGAAGCTCTTAGGCACATTAGGCACAAACCTTCCCCCGTTTACGACCTAGGAGAACCTTTCAAGACCAGGTTGGGAAATCCGCCACGTTATCAACTCGCAGCTGCGAAGAAGCTAGTGTGTCCACTGACGCCCTTGTTCCTGCCACCGGGCACTGCGCCAGGGTTGAAACAGGTGGTTCGCACATGGTATCACTTCATGCACCTCATGACCATACTATGCCCTACCCTAACCCTTTTGCATCCGGCTTGGGGCAGTCGGCCGGGGATGTAAGTTGCGGATCTCAATGCATGGCGCTCGAGCAAAGGAGCAGTACTACTGACTGCACGTCTCTATTCGACAATGCCAGCGTCGAGAAACAATTTCAACTGTGAGGACGGATCTCAATGCCTGGCGCTCGAACAATGGAGCAGTACTACTGACCTACCCTAACCCTAAACCCTAAACCCTAAACCCTAAACCCTAAACCCCTAAACCCCTAAACCCCATTATGTCTGTACTGACACACAAGGATTACGAAGAGCTCAGGGCGTCGGATGTCCCAGAGGTTGATCTGCCGCTCGGCCTGAGAGGAGAAGCCGGTGGTGACGAGCATGTTGCAGTCCTCTGGAGGGCTGAAGGTCGTTTAAAGAGGGTTTAGGGTTTAGGGTTTAGGGTTTAGGGTTTAGGGATTAGGGTTTAGGATCTTTGGTAGGGCTCTAAACGTGGCCAGCCGGGTTCAGAAAGAACTGTCGGAAAGCATGGGCAATAAACTTGCCCCCAACTGCGATTCAATCTCCTCACTGCAAGAGCCGACAATTGTGCCTCGCAACATGCTTAAAAGCGACCCCTTACGAATCATGAAGTGCGCAACACAAGGCCGTGCGCCAGGCGCTGATTTCATCGAGCCGAAGACGCGCAAGACTTCCCAGAAGCCCTAAACCGTAAACCCTAAACCCTGGGCGCTCCTCGGGGTTGGTGCCCCCAAGCCACTCCACCTTCCGAAAGCATAGCGGACAAGCTTTCGGGTTTTAAGTGTAAGGATCATTCCACAGATTTCGGGGGTCTTAAGCAACATTGGTTGCAGCGGGAACCCCAACCCCGAAACCTCTGTCTCCGCCCTCCAGGGCACAGGTCCTCTGTTCAGAGAAACCAAACAGCGCGTCAGCGTAAGTCACATGTGACGCTTCTGTACGCGCCTCGTGCATTGTGCTATACTCTCAGAGCCATCGTACGAATATCATAAGATCATCATGACATATTCTTGAGCTCTTGGGGTTCGTAGAATGCAAGCAAGAAGAACACTTAGTTGAGAGGAGACGCTCGTTCTGTGCTACTTGAATGGATCCCGCGACCTTCGTCGGTTTCGGGCCGTCGCAGATTTTGCAGCCCATGGTCATCCTGGGTGCTGCCAGGAAGGCGCGGGAAGAAATGAGTTATAGACTATATGTTTACGCCTTCCAGGTTCGGAAGAGGGTTGAGTGGATGGCATGTCGGTAAGTGGCATTGGGCATTGGGTCTGACGATGACCAAACAAACAAAACGCAAACCACTGTAGAAGTTAGCCAGCGACCATGTCCTCAAGTTGCACAGTACACCCACTTGGCCCGTATTCATGGCGACTGTGCAACCCCCTTAGACACCCGGCCCAACTGTGAACTATATTGGGAAAAAAGCTGCCAAGAAGGGTGGAGTTTCTTGCTCTGTCTGGGATCCACGATGTGGAGCTTCTTGTCCTGAAGCGACGGCGGCAACAGCAAGCTTTCATGGTTTCTGTGCACCAGATTGCACAGCTGGAAGCTCGGCGGTCACCCTAGGGGAATCCTTTTGTTTCCTCGGGGCATGCTTGCTTCGTCACCCTTGAGCCACCGGAGTGGCAATGTTTCACATGGCTACATGTTTGTGTGGTCAACTGCTCTCAAACGCACACCTAAGACCTCAGAAATGTCTTCACAGTTCCCCCCAATTAAGGTTGACCACAGCGTCATGTAGTCGTTCTGGTGCTCCTGTAGGAGCCTGGCCACGGATGCAGAGTGGCTTCTACGCCTAAAGCGAGGATCCGAAGCTCGGTTTTCGAGCTCCTCCTTCACGTCCACTAATGACAAAGTGCCACTGCGGAGAAATTCCTCCATCGCTCCATTGCCCTTCAGCGGGTCGATCTTGGTGAGGCTGTCGACGATGTTCTTCTGGTGCGGCGTCCAACGGACGAAGGACCGGGTCTCCTGCAGGTCCTTCACCACTATCGCCAACTCCAATGCGGCCTTTCTGTCTTGACGTCCTTGAGGATTTTCTTTTAGGATGCAGTCGAAGAGGGACTTCGCGTCGGTCACTGAACATTGTTGTTGTCTCCCGTGTAGCTGGCATTCACCACGAAGAACCAACATGTGCGGAGACAAACTGCTTCTCCAATCACGAAGCTGCACGTCGTGGACCACGGCGTCCCTGATCATCACCTGCAACCAGTCCACCTCATTGATCCCTTGGAGCATCGCTTGCGCTTCTCCGCCGAAGCTGGAGAAAACCTTTCGCTTGAGTTTGCTCGATCGCCAGGCCAGCAGTGAGCCTTTGACACGTTCTCTCCCGGTCGGCAGGTGGGAGGTTGCTATCACGGCCCAGGCTCCTTGGGTCGCGTCTACTGGTAAGCCAGCTTCGTCTTCTTCACCTGGACGCGTAGTGATCCCGCCGGCGTCGGTCACCACCACAAAGGACATCTCCTCGGGATTGAACTTCCACAGGGTGATGGCGCGGTCGGCGGTGTTGTTCAGGTGATTCACACATTTGTTGACAGTCATCACGTCCTCGATGGTCGCCACTGCTAGCCGTGAGGCCATGATCGACGCCAGACCTGCCATCTCTGGCCTTGATTCCTTTGCCAACCAGTTGATCTTGTAGATGCAGGACCTGAGCTTTTCGAACTCCTCCTTCGTGAGTGAGCTCCTCTTGTCTTGCTTGCGAGACTTCTCCAAGACGACTGGTCGGACTTGCTCCCGGATGTACTTGCCTTGGTCGACCAAGATCCGATCATGTAGAACTTGAACTCGTCGTCCGGCGTATTCGGCCTCGTTTCTTTCCCACTTGCCGAAATGGAATCTGTCTCGAAGACGTTTCTCAATCTCTGCTTCGTGGGATGGCAGCGCAGTCACGATGAAGTCGTCCACCTCGAGGAGTATCTGAGACACGTTCTTCTTCTTGCCGCCGGTCTCCTCTTCAAACTTCATGAACCAACATGGCTCCACAAGGTTCCGGACGTAGCCCATTTCCTCGACCAGGTGCCGAACCACTGTCGTCCTCCATGCCGCTGGCGCATCGTCCAACCCGTAGACCGGGACGTCGATGGCGATTAGGGCTCCTTCTGGGAGCTTGAGCCCCTCGCACGGGGTCGCGTAGATGGGTCCCCGAGGCCTCTGCAGCTTGTTGGATTGACAGAAGGCATTGCGAACGTCCGTGAAGGAAAAGCGATGTCCGAGGTTCAGGCTTGTCTGCATGAAGGCCATCATTCCCTCGCCTTGTGGCGTTGGGGAGTACGTGGTGAGGGAGCCCGTATCTGGATCAGTATGACCTCCCACACACCACCGTGATTTGGCCTTCCACTTGTGGTCCTCGGGGAGGGGCTTTCTCCTTCGAACCATCCTGGAGCTGAGAATACGCTCCGGCCAGCGCTGCCGAACTTCGGCTGCTTCTTTCCCCACGACCACGCGAACAGCTTTCGTCTGCAAGATAGCCTGCCACTCTATTTGGTCGGAGGCCTCGAACAACTTGCGCTCTTCCTCATTCAGCTCCTTCAACGTGACTTCATCGCCTCTTTTAGCCAGGAGCACCAGACCGCCTTCTTCGTCGAAGTGGAACCATGAGTGCAGCTCGTGTCCGTGCGCCTCGTGGCTTCTCCGGGGAGAGCGGGAACTCTCTCGAGTGGAATCAGGAACGGAGGTCCGTGCTCCCGTGGCTTCAGCTGAGGAGCTGGATGCCGCCCCTTCACGACCTCTCTGTATGATCTGTAGAAGCGGCTGTATAGGCGTGCCGGGTGCACGGGTTTCTCCCACCCTGGCCATCTTGTTTGGAGGAGCTTCTTCTGACCTTGCTGACGATGAAGGCCAATCTCCTTCTTCAGGAACAGGAGGAAGAACTCCAGGAGCTTCCGGTTCTTGCGCTGGTTCCTCCACTGACGATCTTCTGGATCCTATGGTCCCCGTGTGAGTGTCCCCGTTGCTGACTTGGCGAGGAACTCCCGGATTGAGCAGCCCAGGAGGTATGGGAATCCTTGGCTCTGGGGCCTGAGGAACTTCTCCTGAAGGAAGACGGAGAGGAGGTCGCGATTCTGGGATAGGATGGTCACCATCTTGCGTAGGAATTGGTGATCCTTCGCCTCTCCAGGAGGAGGTCCTTCTCTTGCCACATCCACTGCCCCAGCCCTGGTGTTTGATGTCACCTTGCGGATCAGATCGGCCAGGGAAGGATCGCTGCTCAGCTGACTTCCCAAGACCTCTGAAGGAAACGCCGCTCTGAGCTGCTCGGCCGTGCATCGCCACAGTCTCGTTCGCATGGCCACCCAGACAATGCCTTGGGAATTCATCACCACCAGTCCAGGTCCCACCCACCGAGAGGTGGGGTGTAGACTATCCCCTGGCTTGGCTCTGCGGAACACGTAGACCCATTGTCCGATGTTCCACTTCCTGGAGGCACTGGTGGTTGTCTTCAATGCCTTGCTGATCGCCTCTTTGGAGTCGCTCTCCATGGCTGCTTGCCTTGCCCTTTCTCTGATCCTCATCCTCCTTCGGAACTCGGCACCAACCGCGGGATCATGAAGAGCATCGAGATATGGTACCAGTCCTCCGGGATGATCGTTGAGTAGCTCAGCAGGTATCCTGGGCAGCTCTCCAAACACCAATTGCGTTGGAGAGTACCCGCCTTGATTGAACCACCGATTCTTCGCCGCTGTCAGAGAGGCCAAGAATTCATCCAGCTCGCCTAATGATCCGAAGGTGCATCTTCCGGACTCTATCTCCTGAGTCAGGCGTCGCTTCAGCCATCCTCCATGCCTCTCCGACTTGGCGTTTTGCCACGGACTCTCTGCCGCACACACGTGCTGCAGACACCCCAGCTGCTCTAGTCCTCGTTCAAAGGAACCCTTGAACTCATTGCCGCCATCGCAGATGACCAGACTTGGTGCCCCGAGATGTCGTACCCAGGTCTCGTTGAAGGTTCTCCATGCAGAGGACGAACTGGGATTGCCATCTTCATCTTGAACTCTAGCCGCCACATGATAGTTCGTGCCGGCACAGACCATATTCAGGATGGGAACCTGGTGTTGATTGAAGCGGATATACATCACATCCACGGAGACGGCGCGATTGAAGGAGTAGAGCCTTGGACATTGTGCCCTTCGCCGAGAATCGGCTTGCACCTTCACAGCACAGTCGTCGCACTTGAAGTGGTCGCGCACATACTCCAGGACATGGGGAAGGGCTCCGGCAGCCCTCAACGTCCTCAAGAACCGATCTTGGGGAGGATGTCCTGTGTTCACGTGCAGTTTGCGAATGAGCTTCTTCTGTTCCTCGGACACTCGAGCTCTTGACGTCTCAGTTGTACCTGAACGGGCTCTCACTCCCGGGGTTTCTCTTTCCTCAGGCTCCTCTTCCTCCTCGCCTTCGGCCTCCGTGCTGACGGGATAGGACTCCTCAGGATCTGCAGGGCTTCCGGAGTCCGCGTAGAAGGCGTGGTCAAGGAGCGCAAGGTCATACCTCCTGTCCCCAGAGGGATATCCCACCAGGTTGAAGCCCAGGTCGCCGAGGGTGGCTTGTTCCAGTGCTGAAAGTTTCTGAGAGGATCTGGTCTTGTAGGCCGTCACGCTCCAGCGACTTCCCTGATAGGGCTCGATTCCGTGGAAGTTCTTCGGCTCAAACTCTGTCAGTCGGTGGTACGTCTTGTGGCATCTCCCAGCTACCCATCTTCCGGGTCGCACTTGCCGTAGGGATGGGCCTCTCTCTTCTTCGATCCAAACTTCTCCGCCATGGAATTTGCCAAATGATATGGTCCAGTTCTTGCCGACGTTGTGCAGATCTTGATGGTAGGTGAGGCGAAGGTTGCGGGATATCGCCAATGACGACCGAGGGCCCGTGGCCCCCTGACGGGTCATGTAGGAGTTCATGTATCTCGTGAGCTCCGGCATCATCCGCGTGGCTCGCGTGATGCCCTGGACACCACCGTGGGTGTACTGCCCCAAGGTGACGCTCGTGCGCCTTTCGCGCGCCACAGGTCCATCGGCTTGTCTTCCTACAGGTAGCTTGCTCCAAGGAACCTTTCGGAGTAGCTGCTGGCAGGCCTTGTGGGAGTAGTCGCGGTCTTGATGAACGAGCCATGGCTTCCGTCTCCGCGAAGGCCTCGTCTTGTGGCCTGGATGGCTTAGTTGTCTCCTCGATGATCTCCTTGTTCCCGTTGTCGTTCTTGTGAAAGACCTTCTGGATCTTCCTGGCGAGGAGAACGTCATTCGTGAGGTACCTCATGCCGTTGGGATCGGTCAGCGTCGAGGTCTCCGGGTCCTCGAGGATCTTTGCCATCTCGGGCTGCTTCCACACTTCTGCTTGAACATTGCTTTCGAGGAGGTAGTGCAAGCCGTGGTCCTTCTGCGTCTTCGCAATCTCAAGAGCCAAGCCTGCTCGAACTCCTCCTTCGCGAAGGGCTCGTTCATCTTCTTGGTTCGCCATGTCGTTCTGCCGGTCCAGCCTCATTCTGACGAGGCATGGTCGTTCCGCCTGCAGGATATGACGAACTTGTTTTCGGTGCCCCTTGTCCAGTCCTGTCCACCCTGATGCATCAGAGAATCGCGAAGGGTCTTCGAGCACCTTCAGTCCATTCTGACGTGCCATGGTGGACACTTCCCCGGCGTGGAACACCTCCAACAGATCAACCCTGCTGCCGCTCAGTTCTCGTTGTCTACCTCGAACCAAGCTTCCAAGTCGCCGCACTGCTTCTTCATCGTCGGCCTTTAGGAGAACTTCCCCGGATTCGTGGTTCCCGGCGACGAAGTCCCCCAAGAGCTCTGCTGAGAAATGCCAGTAGGGCCCCTCCGAGGATTGATTCCCTGCAGAGTCCATGCCGAAGACGCCGGCATTCTTATCGTGGATTTCCAAGAGCGAGACCAGCTTGTTCTTTGTTGCCCATCGATGGAGAGTATGTCCTTCGGGGGGATCACCTGCGGGTCCTGACCCAGGGCCTCGATGAAGTACTTCTCCGTCAACTCCTCGATGCTCGTGCCACACACATACATCATCTGGTCCTAGAACAGTGGTGAGGTACACCCACGGATGCTTGAGCGACTGTGGAGGCTCGGGGCCTCTCGATGTTTCCCCCTTGTCCTTCTGTCGCAGTTCGCAATGGACCACCCAACTGTGATGCCCTCCGCCTTGCACTGACAGATGCTCCTTCATCTCCTGGGTGCACTGGCCCCACTGGATCAGTGTTGAGGCACACATCAGGGTAGTCATCCACGTTGGCCAGCGATGGGCGCGTCCAGCAGGTTGGGGTTCACCATCTCGGCGCCTTCCGCGCGGCGTTCCTGCACTGGAGACCAACTCTCGTCGGTCTCCCCCTCGTCGATGTTCATTGAGAAGATCTCGGTCGCCGCTCTCGCCGCCAGGCCGGAGGTCTCTTCCAGGGACATGTGGTTGAAGCTGCGTGACTCTGGCTGATTCATCATGATTGTGATCATCTGGTTCTGGCCACGCATCAACTCGGCCATTGTGTTGTTCATCTGCTGGAAGCCCAGAGCCATCACTTGCAGTGCCCCCGCGATCTCCGACGTCCCATCGGACGCACTTGACGTGCTTCCGGCTTGCCGACTGACGCTCGGTCCCGGAGGTTGAGGTGCCGGAGATGATGTTGTGGTCCGAGCTTTCGCCTTCGCCTTGGATCGTCCCCTCTGAGCATAGTTGATCCTCGCCCCGCAGTTCTCGCAAACCTGCCAGCTGGCGTACTGGTTGCCCCTGTTGATGTGTTTTCCGGCGTGGAGGCATCGTCCTGGGGTCTGGGCATCCGCCTCCAAGAACTTCCTTCTCTCGGACTTCGAGGACTTCTGGCCTCTTTCCGCCAAGATAAGCCGGGCATACATCATGCGTGTGGCCTCCATCATGAAGAACATCCGGTTCACTAGCGCTCGCCATCCTTGCGCCGCCCGAGTGCCGCGCGCCGTCTCCATCATGCTGGTGCAAGGCGAGGCCGGAACCGGATGTTGTCGAATTTATTCTCTGACACATTGGGCCGAGATCTGCCGGGTAGGAGTGCATGGATCTTGCTCGAAAGTCATGGCTGGGAATGTGGCTGCAGGAACTCAGAACTCGTGGATCAGCAGGCTCCAAGTGCATCACTTGACAATGCTCAGACGAATGACCAGACACTTTGCCTATGCAGCTGACTTCAGGAACGCTCGGCCCTTCGCCCTTTTGTTTTGCGTACGCGGAGGAGTCCTTGCCCTTCAGCATGAAGGCGTCTCGAGCCAGCCCAAACTTCTTCCGGGCTTCGTCAGGCACTGGGAAAAATCCGCCTCCCCACTCTACTAGTGGAATGGTCCTGTGACCGGAGGTCTCCTTGCGCATGGCCTGCTTCACCCCGATCTTCTTGAACTCCACGGTGTTCGTCGTAAGGCACATGGTCGCCCCCAGATGCTCCAGCAGCCCCACCGACAAGAGCGGCGGCACGTTCTCGCCGATCACCACAAAGTGAACAGTGCCCGGCACTCCGCCAAACGATATGGGAACTAGGACCGCCTTCTTCACTGTCGCGGCCCCTCCAATGCCTGTTGGTGCACCTCCTGGCGCCGGTACTTCCACCGGCTTCAGACCCTTCGAGGCCAAAACCTGCTCCAGCGCACCCAGCGCCACCTCTCCGATGAGGTCCTGGGTGGCGCCGATGTCCAAGATCGCCGCTCCAGACTGCAGTGCCAGGAAGGTTCCCTTCTGCTCGATCATGTCCTTCTCCTCGTTCTTCACCTGGGAGAGGATCTTGTGAAGCTCCGCCATGGTCACACCGACGAAGGAGTTGCTGGAGGAAGGACCCAGATAGCAGAAGCCCGAGACATTGCTGTTCTCTCCGGAACTGGGCCTTGACTGATCGCAATCCTCAGCCCAATGCCCTCTTCGACCGCATAGTCGACATTTTGAAAGTTTCTTCAGCTGTTCTCGAGACACTCGGGGACGATCTCCTCGACCATTGCCTCGGCCTCCAGATCCGTGCGGCGGCGACGAACCCTTTCGGAAGGGCTTCCTCTCCTTCCGCACCTCTGCCTTGAACAGCTTGTTCTCTTTCCACGTCCGACGGCGTCGAGGGGGTCGGTTCTCGATCAGTGCAAAGACCAGGGCCGCCTGCTCCTCGTTGAACGAGAGGTCCTCCAGCTCTGCCAAGACTGCTTCATCCGGAATCGACTCATCGTCCTGTGAATCGGCATCGCTCTCCTCGATCTCCATCTCCCGCTCGACTCCCTCGGCATACACGTTGCCGCGGCCACGATCTTCTGCCTCTTCGTGGACGTACCCTGACAATCGGTCCCCTCGAACGTCTAGTCGAGCCATAGCCGTCGCCAAGAAATCCACGTCGTTCTCTTTGCCGAGGGTCAAGACAGCCAAATTCTGGAGGTTCTGGTCGGTGAGGTTGGCGCCCTCCTTCATGAGCGACACCTTGAACTCGGCTGGCAAGCTGATCCCGTAGGTCTCGGCCTTGGTAAAATCCCGAAGGCGCCGGGTGGCGTACTGGCCAAGGCTTTCGTCCTTCTTGCGAGCCACTCCATGGATCACGTCCCGGAAGGCTTGGCGCTTCTCGTCGTCCTCCCGGACCCCAGCCTTCAGGTTCATCACGGCGAGGATGGCCTCCAGATATCCCGGACTGGAAAGCTCTGCCTCCGAGATGTGCTCGAAGTCTACCTGCATCTCCCATCCCAGTGACCTCAACACCTTTTCGGCTCTCCTGAACACTGGGACGTCCGTCTGCTTGTTCCATCTTCGAAGAGCAATCTCCCACTGCTTTCGATACGTCCACCCTGGCCAGGCAGGGGGGTCCGCGTAGTCCCCCTTCTGCTGTGGTCCTCCTCCATTCCACGTCCAGGGATTCGACCAACCGGCTGGCGGAGGGCCTCCATCCATTCCTGGCCACGCGGGGACTCCAGGACATCCTCCAGTAGCCGCGACTCCTCCGGCTCGCTCACTTGCGTGTCCCTGAGGGTCTCGAGGAGGTCCCCATCGCCCAGGATGTAGTGCGCCAGCTCCTCCATGATGAACTGAACCTGGTCCAGGAAGGTGAGGAGGAACGCCCCACGATCCAGCAGGATGAGCCATGGGCGGAGGTCCAGCCATCGGGAAATTTGGCCAAGGAGGCGCTTCCGGGCGCATCGTCGGGGCGGTGGTGGTAGTCGCCCGAATGAGCTGCCTGGCCGCTTCAGCCCAGGGATCCCATGTCGCCCCACTGGGTGGAGATCCTGGTGCAACAGGACCCAGGCCGGGTGGAGCGGCTGCTCCGGTGCTTGAAGCCGGGGCCGTTGACATTTCTCCTTCTGGACGCGTAGCTCCTGGCGTCCCCGGAAACTGGCTTGTCCCAGTGGCATCTGAGGTCATGTATGAGGGGTGCCATCCGCCATGCGGCGGCGCAATCGGCCACTCAGGCTGGCCCATCCAGTTTCTCTGCCAAGACATCTCTTGCGTCCATGGTAACGTTGCATGCTCGCCCTGGGAATAAGCTCCTGGCGTGCCGCCAGCTCCAGCTGTCCAAGTGCCGGTGAGCCCATCGAAGACGGCCTCACGAACCATGCTCCGCTACCAACTGTGCACCAGATTGCACAGCTGGAAGCTCGGCGGTCACCCTAGGGGAATCCTTTTGTTTCCTCGGGGCATGCTTGCTTCGTCACCCTTGAGCCACCGGAGTGGCAATGTTTCACATGGCTACATGTTTGTGTGGTCAACTGCTCTCAAACGCACACCTAAGACCTCAGAAATGTCTTCACAGTTTCATGCTCAAATTAGAATCCTAGAATTAGGCCAACCTAAGCCTAAACCCTAAACCCGAAACCCCAAACCCTAAACAGGTTTTGTACCCCGTTCTCGAATCAGCAGCTCCTTGCAGGTCACGGCCAGCAAGGAGCCTGTGTAGTTCCACTTGATGTGCATCACCTGCTCCGGCACTGGTATGCTGAAGGATGCCTCCTGCTCCGTGAGGTTCCAGACCTGAGCAAGAAGCCCATGCGCACATGCGCAGCATCTGTGGCAAGCTTTCTCTGCCGGAGTTCTGCAAATTCAAAACTGCCCAGCCATTACGAGAATACCGGGATTGTTATTCCTACTCTCTTTATATATATATATATATATATATATATATATATAAGTACAGCATAGAATGTTTTTGGGGGTCTCAAGCAAGTAGTAGTTGAAGCCGACCCTTGGATCGGAGGTCCCGCTGAGCTCGACGCCTTGCAGGTCAGGTCGAAGGCCGTGGACGCTACGATGTTGGAGACACAAGGGTTGAAGGTGCTAAAGGAAACCTGGCCAGGGTTTAGGGTTTAGGGTTTAGGGTTTAGGGTTTAGGGTTTAGGGTTTAGGGTTTAGGGCTTAGGGCTTAGGGCTTAGGGTTTAGGGTTTAGGGTTTAGGGTTTTTTCCCACCCGTTTCGCAAGCGTTTACGGGGAAAAGGTCAGAGACATAGTGGAGCCCAAGTACAGACAAACTGGATTGCTTCGAGCGGGCCTCAGGACTGTTCACTTGTGTAGAATCCCCGGGCTATGCCTAACCAAGTTCACAATCCCTCAGTCGGTACCGTAGACTAGAAATATACATCAGAGGACTGTTGACCGCGGACTCGAAAATGTGCATGGCATGAGTCTGCCGATATGACATGGCAGATGCCGCACTTTGCAGCACACAGCTTACCACGCCCTAAAGAGAGCTCAACTCACATCATGTCGGATCCACCGGGCTCAGCTTGTGTGAGGCATCGGCCGTTCCGAGCATTGGGAGGGAGGGGGTGCCTTTTCGGCCTAGGGTTTAGGGTTTAGGGTTTAGGGTTTAGGGTTTAGGGTTTAGGGTTTAGGGTTTAGGGTTTAGGGTTTAGGGTTTAGGGTTTAGGGTTTAGGGTTTAGGGTTTAGGGTTTAGGGTTTAGGGTTTAGGGTTTAGGGTTTCGCCACCCGCAGTTTAGGGTTTAGGGTTTAGGGTTTAGGGTGTAGGGTTTAGGGTTTAGGGTTTAGGTTTCAGAAGGGCCTGTCATGGGGCCTGGGTTTTTTTGGCATATTTTCAGGGTTGCTTGCATGCTTCGGAAGGCCCTTATGAATTCATGTAACCCGTCGTTACACCAGCACGCGCCTTATGCGCCTTCTACAAAGCCAAACAAACCAAAAAAACCAAAAGAACCAAAAAAACCAAAACAACCAAAAAAACCAAAAAAACCAAGGATTTCCGCACTACTCTGAAACCTTCGGACTAGTGTGAAAATCCTTGGTTTTTTTGGTTTTTTTGGTTCTTTTGGTTTTTTTGGTTTTTTTGGTTTCCGCTGCAGGTGACGCACTCGGACAACTCCCTGCGACTGCTCTTTTGGGTTGGGTTTGGGGTCTATGTAAACATGACTATTGTATAATATATCTTATGCTATGCTTCCGATGGGTCCAGCTGCTTATAAGCAAGCCTTCTGCTTATAAGCAGTCAGACTGCTTATAAGTTCGGCTGAAAACGACAGTCCGAGAGTCGCAGGGTGTATCGGCTTAGGTGGGTTTTCAACCTTAATGACCCTAAGCCCCAAACCCTGCATCCTAACCCCCGTCCATCCCCCAGTAAACCTCTTCCCTAACTACGAGGTTTGGGGGTTTAGGTTTGAGAAAGGATGCCTGTGCGTGTGTGTTTTTCTCTTGGTTTTGGCTCGGCTGCGCGTTTACCCTGAATACTAGGTGGTGGGTGTGTGTGTGTGCTTGTGACGCATTAGGAAGCCAAGCGTTGTAAACACATCCTGTGTTTACAAACAGGCCGGGTGTTTATACACAGGCTGGGCGTTTATAAACACATAAATCTTTGGGTGGGGTCGCACGTCCTGTGTGTATAAACAGGCTGGGTGTTTATAAACATATAAATCTTTGGGCGGGGTTGCACGTCCTGTGTTTATAAACAGGCTGGGTGTTTATAAACATATCAATCTTTGGGCGGGGTTGGGTGGGGGTGGGAGGTGGGGGTGGCGGGTGGGGGGAGGGTCTTGGGTGTTGAGCTGAGCCCTCCCCCCCCGCCCTCCCCCCCCCCGCCCTCCCCCCCCTCCCTTCCGCGGATTCAAGCATCGAGCATCAACGTTCTTACTCGCTTGCTTCGGCGAAACGTTCCCCTGAACACTAATTTTATTCACTAAATCTTAAACGGATAAGGTCTAGGTCTTAAACGAATAAGGTTTAGGAATAGGGTTTGGCAAGAAGCATGAAACGAAAAAGCTTCAGGCATAGGCATAGGGTTCAGCAAGTAGGGTTCAAGAATCAAGCTATCAGCCCAAGAGTCTCCCCTTCTCCCATCTCCTACAACGCCCAGGTGCGCGGTTTGGGAATCTGGACCAAATAGACCTACTTGTCTGGCACAACATCCCCAAATGTTAAAGGAATAGGTTTGGGAACAAGGTATGTATGTCCCTAAACCTTAAACAAGCATGCATAATAAATATATTGGAATAGCGTCTGACCCTAGGTCTTAATCGAATAAGTTGCTTAGAAATCTAAACCTTGAAAGAGTAGGGTTTATGAGTTGCTTGCTTGTGATTCTTGAGGATAGTTTACGTGTGAGTCTTATCCTTGAGAAATGGGTACTCTTTTGGAGACCCTTTGAGATATATTGAGATGAAAACCCACATAATTACTTGCGAGTAAGTCGGGCTGTTGGGCAAGCGCATAGTCAAAGGGTATTTGCTCACAGTATTCTCGCTTCCCTGAGACGTGCATATACTGTATTTCTTCGCATCACCCTATGCCCTCAAACACTTCCTAGGAGTTCTTCGCATCTCCATTTTCTCTATTCGAGTGGGTAGAATTTCTACCTTTTGCATACAATACATACACCGTATGTACATACTCAAAGTGGGCAGTTATTCTCCATGCTCTTTGCATTCCACAGGAGGCAAGTCCTGAACTTTGTGGGCATTGCTTAAGGAGACGGCTCACGCATTGTTTTTTTGTCTAGACTTTGTTTATATTCAGTCAATCTTAGACGAATAAGGTTTTTGGCCCTAAATCTTGGACGAATAAGGTTTAGGAATAGGGTTTGGCTTGTGTATTAAGCAAATAAGCTTCAGGCATGAGGTTCAGCGAGTAAAATATACGGCCGAAACCTTAAACGAATAAGGTTTAGGAGTAGGGTCCAACAAATATTTTTTGGCCCAAACCGTAAACGACTAAGGTTTAGGATCTGGGTCCGACAAATGTTTCCCCCCCCCCCCCGCTCTTCTGGCACGTGGACTCCTGTTCATCCAATCGGTTCACGAAACATATCCCACTCAGCATGTGTAGCAGGCTTCTACCAAAAGCTTTGCTCACAATAACATCGTCGACATGGGTTGCTTCGACGAAAAATCGCGACTTTTATGCTGGGTGCACGCAACATTCGCAAAACATGCACCATGGAAAACGCAGGCCCCATGACAGGCCGCTCTCTTAGGTTTAGGGTTGGGTTTAGGGTTTAGGGTTTAGGTTTTTGCTTGGCACACTTCGCCCTGTGGGCTATGCAGGGACCCAGACCACCACTGCGGGTAGTGACGTCGAAGGCATCTGTGCAGAACAACGTCTTACAGATTAAGCTCGGCACCTTCTTGCCGTGGCCCTCCAATGTTAGGAGTGGCTCCTCCAGGCACAGGCACCATGCATCGGGATCATTCAGCACGTGTTTTTTCTCAAGTGCCATCCTCGCCATGAACATTTGCGGAAACGAAGCTGTGCCCAGCGCCCGCCCCTGAAGCAGGTTGTCCTTCAAATGCTGGGTCAACCCATCGCTTGGGATCTGCCACAGCTTCATTGTCAGGTCTTCGCTTGCGCTAAGCAGAAGGTGATCGTCGAAGGGGCTGAACTCAAAATCCATGATACCTCGAGGGAGCAGCATATGAGAAAACACGCGCGCCGCCCAATCCAACAGATTATCTGACATGTGCGGTGCGATGAAGGCCTCCAGTGTGACCTGCCACCAGCGGCGTTTCTCGTGGCAATCGGCCGAACTTGGTCGCCGGGATCACCTCAACCACGAGAACGCTTGAACACACGAGCTTGCAGGCAAACAGTGTGCGGGTGGGAAGGGATTACGATGCTTGGATCTTGGCCGTTTGGCATCTACGAGTAACTCGAAGCTTACTCCCTGCACCCGCTCGGTCAAAGGTCCAACAGCGCCCAGCGGCTGCCAATGTGCCACCGCCACCAGACTCCCAAGGGAAGCACACAAACTTGGCATTGCCTGTTTCCGGTTTGTTTTGTCTGCACACAACACAGATCACTTCCATGAAACGGTCAGCACTAAGCTCCAGCCCACTGTCTCTGCCCTTACGGAATCTTCCGTGCGGCTCATATGGCATTTGCTCTATCAGACTTGATCATGTAAACATATATAGAGATATATGTATACATACTAATATAAGTATGCACCCTCACATGTTAAAAAAAAACACATTAAAAAAATGTGTATTCATGTATGGTACAATATGTATACGTACGAGCTCCGAGGCGCCGCGGATGCCCGTTGTCTCCAAGGGCTTCGAAGAGAGGCGGAGGTCCTGAAAGTTCTCCTTCGTTGCCTGAGCGTCTAGGGTTTAGGGTTTAGGGTTTAGGGTTTAGGGTTTAGGGTTTAGGGTTTAGGGTTTAGGGTTTAGGGTTTAGGTCTGTCTCCAACTTAGGCATGTTCTTGTTTTTGCAGGGTTGCTGCGCGCGCTACAGATGCGAGGCCGACAGTCTCAAACAGTTCCCAATTCCCACGTACTACAACCCCCTCTCTCTCTTTTTTCTTTTTCTTCCCACGGCTATGACCCCTTACCCTCAAACGGTCGTGCACCTGATACACTTTGCGTCTGAACTCGAGGACGGTGCGTGGCACGAATTCTCACAAAAGTCGGGCGTGGATGCGGCTTCAAAGCCGCTTCTGTTTTTCGCGTTTTGCAATTTCAGAATGCTTGCCGTACTTGCCTAATGACGAAATTCTTGTGGGATCCGATGCTACAGCGGCCCAACTTCCCTCAGTCCCCCCCAAACAGGAACCTGAAGTCGCGAACCTTGCCGAGTTTCAGCCGAGCTGCATTGCCAAAGACGTGCCTGAACTTGGAATCACGCACGACCTTCATCCTGGCCACACAGGCCCTTCGCGGCCCTGGAATCTGCGCCCACTACAGCGCATCGGCTCGAGCCAAAGGATGTGTGCACCGTGCACATTGCAAAACGCTGGGAGCATTCTTGAAGTAGGGGGGTTCCCCTGACTGAAGATGCACGCGGCCGTGCCCTGTTGATTGGAAGCGGATGGCAAAGGTGCAGCTTGCCCTGCCTGCGGTGGAGCCCTTTCGCTCCAGTGCGCCGTTGTCGCGCTTTTCCCGGGCAGGGTGTTGCTTGGGCTAGCAGAACTCGGGCACGGTAGGGCTGTGCAACCGCCCAATCGACTCTTGACCACAACATCTCACATGCACAAGAGAGTACTGTCTGCACACGACCTGGTTGCGTCAATGAACCTCGGTAGTCACGTATCGTCATCTCCATGAATACCATGCGGCAAGGTTGCCTCAATGATTCGAATGAACACAGACTTGGAACTGAGACGAGTGCCATCTGCAAACCAAGTGCGGCGCGCTTGCCTCAAATAACCATCATTCAGCGTTTCCAAACACGGCGCGAGGTGAGTTTTCAACGTTGCTCAATACTCATGAAAACACATCTGCATTGCCGCCACGGCAACGAGCGATTGCCGACTCTGTTGTCTCCAGTAGCCAATCAAGCTCGGCTTGTCGTTTCTTCAACGCTGCCTGTGAAAAGCCCATCGTCTTCAAACTCACACCCAAACAAGAATCGCCCCCACCCTCCTGCTAGGACCCCATGCGCATTGCTTGCAGTGGGGCGCCTCCATGTCGTCAAAGCTGCTCATGCTCGTTGAACTTGCACGATCCGATCCCATAAGTTCGGCGTACAGCTCGTTCAATTTCCTTTGCTTGGGGCAAACATATTCGAAGCGATCCCACACACACATGGCACCCCAATTTTCATGATTCCAGCAAAACGAAGCTGCAGACGAAGGAGAAGAGGAACAACAATAACAAGAACACAAATAACAACAAGCCTAGCGGTGTGGAACATTCGTTTCACCTTTGTATTTACTTGTCACACAGTCTGTCGTGTCGCCTTCGCCGTTTCCATCGGTGCTTCCCGTGTTTCCTGCGGGTCACTCTTGGGAAACCTTGCTTCGGCCGATGGAGTTGTGCTCTTTCTCTTCCCGCTTGTTTTCGACCGCCATTTCTCTTATTGTTTTAACATGCATCGGCTCAAATCTTGCACGCGTGTGGCGCGAAGTCTATCGCCGTTTTGTTGACCAGTTGCGCATATTACCCTTGAACAACTCGGACTGCGTGGTGTTTTCGCACGTACCAAACATGCCATCTGAAAGCACTGTCCTAGGACAGTTCTTGTCCCTTCTTAGCCAAGTTTTCAAGGGGTGCCCCCTGCGCGCAAACACCCCTCCCACAAAGAAGTCCGAAAACGTCGCCCCCCGCAATAGCCACAATCATCCCGAACAAGAAGCGCAGCAAGAACAAGAAGAACAACAAGAAGCTGATGATGACGAAGAAAAAGAACACAAGCTGCTTCCTTGGAAAACTCTGCCGAGATCCTCTCCTGTGTGCGGGAGCTGCTCTGGAGATGCCGTTTTCTCAAGGCGATGTTGCTCTCATATCGCTGTTGGGCATCCAGGTTGCATTCATCCGGCGTCGTGGCCGTGCCCGCATTCATGAGGAACGATTTTTGTATTGCCACCAAGGGCGTGGCATCTGTCATCCTTGGATCGATACAAACAACATCAGACAACATCAAGCAATTGAATGGCTAAGGATGTAGAGCGCATCCTCGAACATACACTTGAGTAATTGAATGCAAACAGTCATCAGCTTGCAGGCAGGCAGCCGCAACAAAGCGAGCAAACACGGAAATGCTTGCAGCCTGGCTGCCGCACATGACAAAGCAGCTATGGGGTGATTCGATACATGGGTGATGCGTGAGACATGTAGGCCAATCCTCATCACGCGCCAAGGGCCCGCGGCCCGTGCTACAGAAAAGTTCGATCCCAGGCTGACATGCAAACAGCAAACATGCAAATCATGCAAACAATGAGCTGTTTCAACTATACCAACCCTTTGTTATGGCGCCGTTGCGCAGGCATAAACGAAAATTGCTTGTTTACTGTCTCGATTTTGTGGGTCCATGATCACCCCCTTTCTTTCCTTCCCCGCAACCGCAACAGTCTCATGCGAAATGTTGGACTGACTTTGGTGTAAGGAGGGTCTATCGGCAGCCCACGGGCCGGTCAGATTGGTTTTTTTTTCCCACCCCCCCCCCACCCCGCCTTTTTATGAACGGTCGCCGCGGTCCCAGTGCAAGAAGCCTACCAACTACGGGCCGGCTCGAGGCGCCGGCAGGCGGCTTGCGAGCAGTGCGGGGCCACCGCGGACCTCAGCGAGGACCTCGTGCCGGTCAGGTGCCCCTCCCGCATCCCAGAGGTCACCCCCAGGCGGCAGCTCCAGGAGGGAGGCCGCATAGGCGCGCATGGCGGCGACCGCGAGGAAGCCGGACCAGCGCTGGACCCAGCCGGCACTGGCAGCGGCCCGGAGCGGCGGCGGCAGGCTGGCAGCGCGGTGCCACGCGAGGTGGCGGAGATTGGCGGAGGAAGGAGGCGGCTTCAGCACCGAACCGCCCGCCAACCTCGACCCCGACAACGACGAAACGCGCCCGTCGCGCGCTCGCAAGCTCGGGGTATGTTTGGCGCCGCTTGCGACGAGCGGCGGCCTGGACTGCCCGGGTAACCGGACTGACGATGGTTGCATCAATCGCGAGCTGCGCCCCGTGCCAAAGGGGCAGGCCGTTCGCGACGACCTCAATGCAACGCGCGTCGCTGACAGGAACATCGATGTTCATGTCAGCGAGCCTGACGTTGCGTGCAACGCGCGCGCCGCTCTCCCGGCAGACGCGGGCGACCGCGTGCTCAAGTGGGAGGGCTCTGGACGCCAACGCACCGGACGTCGCACACGCTGAGCGGTGGTCGCCCAGCGGGTCAAGGCGGCCTCGGCAACGACAGGTGCGCGGCGCCAAGGGGAACGGCAAACGCAGCCGTCGCAGAAGGAGCACACGGAGGTGTTCGGGGGGCAGGGCGACAGCGGCAGACGAAGGGAGCACTGTGAAGGCACGACCTGAGTGGGGTCCAGCTTGCGGAGGGTGAGGTGCTGCAGGCGCGGCCACAGCGTTCCAATCGGGCGCCGGAAAGCCAGCCTCACACACTCGTGTTGCGGCTGTGCAAGCGGCGGCAAGGGCTGGTGGCATCCCGGCATGCGGCTCACGGAGGCAAGCTTGCAGCCGTGCTGCATCAGCCGCGAAGCGCTGGAACAACGCAGGAAACACATCCTGCCACGAGGCCCAGTAGGCAGCCGGGGCACCGAAGGTGGCAGATCGCAGACCCAGGCCCCCTAACCCAAGCGGTAGCTGCGCCGTGGCAAGGGCATCAGCCGGCAGCTCGGGCGCTTCCTCCCCGTAAAGACACGAGGCTATGGCGCGATATTGGCGCGATCATGTTCACGGGAGTAAACGGAGGAGGTAGTTGGCGCGGGTTGACGCGCAGAAAAGCAGCCGCAACCAGGCCGACTGCAAGTCGCCGAGTGTGGGGATTCGCTCGAGGAGGGCATTCTGGTTGCGGCGCCGGTCCCTCAAGTGCCGTTGCACAAATGCCTCAGGGCCGAGCGGCGCACCGAGCACGACGAGCCCTTGCTGCTCAAGCCCCGACCCAAACGCCCGTGGCAGAGCTGGGGCCTGGTTGGAGTGCAGCGAGGTTCGGGGGTTCCTCCCCTGCTGCGTTCCAAAAGTGTTCCAAACACGGGTTTTGCCCTGGTTGAGCTGGACCCGGGCATGATCCCAGAGGGCAGCGGCGAGGACACCATAAAGAGTGGCAACGCGCTCTGGGGAGCAGACGATGTAGATGTCGTCTAGGAATGCAAACACCCCTTCGCCTGGCTGCAACGCAGCTGCAACGGCTTCAAGGGCGCGGTGTTGGGCCACCGCATAGAGCGCAGGCATGAGGGGGTCAGCCCTCGGCTTGCAGGACCTCATGCTCGGCGCCGGCGTCGTCGGTCCACACATAGCTGCTCTCGCTGCCGTAGAATTGGCGGGCGAACGGCAGCAACGGGGCAAGCTGAGGTCGCGAGCGCACTCCCTTCGAGCATGGCCTGACGGGATATATGATCGAATGCCCCAACCGCATCGACTGTGAGGACGGTGGCGCGGCGATCTGGAGAAGCTTGTAAAGCGCTTCGGTGCCCGCGCGCGCGTGCTCAAGCCGAACTGGTAGGGCATGCATGCCGCCTGAAGCTCTTCGGCGAATTGTTGGGCCAAAGTACGGGCAACAAGGCGGCGAAGGACATCCCCAACCACCAGGGCGCGGACACGGCCATTCGGCCTCCGGAGCGCGACGATGCGTCCAAGACGCGCGGCTGCCAGAATGGGCGCCGGCATGTCAGCGTTGGCGAACCGGAATGCGGCTTGGTGGCGCAGGCTGAAGTCACCGGGGTCGTCCAACATCAAACGAAGCTGCTCATTCGTCATGCCGGAAGGGCCCGCTGAACGCAGATTGGCCAGCAGCAACGTGTCTGACATGGGACATGGCCCCGCGACATGGTTGAGCACCGCCGGGCTGAGCGGCACCACTGGCGTTCGGGGTCGGAGGCTGGGATCCCGCAGTTCAGCCAGCGTGGCCTCGTTGCTGTCGGCGAGCGGCTCGGCCGTGAGAGCCCGACTCGCTGCGGAAAGCTCGCCGAGGTGGACGAGCGCTGCAGCCCGCGCCGCGTGACGGTCGGAGTCATCCTCTGCGGGCGAGCGTTGGGCAGGCCGCGCGGGAGTGGAGGGGCAGGCTGCACGGAGAAGGGAGGGCCACTCGCCGCGGCGGAAAGCATCAGCGCGCGGCGGAAAGCATCAGCGCGCGGCGCTGCAGGCTCGATGCGTGACTGGCCGGGCTCGCGGTGCGGGAGCATGCGGGGCGCGAGGAAAACAAGCTTCCAGCCGCGTGCAGCGGCGGAGACGGCTTGCTCAAACCCTGTCCGCAGCGCGA